ATAAGTTTTCTCGAGCAAACGAATCAATGGATGGAAGAATGTCGTTGGGCAGTAAAAGAATACTCTTCGTCCCTGCGTGCAATTTAATAAAACGCGACTGCAATCTCAATCTCTCCGTTTCCTCAATTTTTTTCTATTACGCGTTCTTTTTCCGCTCTAATTTTCACGCCGTCACTTTTTTTTTCAAATCACAAGCGAGAGCCTACCGAACGACCGTTCTACTCGAGGAAATATAAAATGTTCGATAAAAATGTTTTCACACAATTTTCGTCAGTCATTTTGTATTTTCGTAATGCAAAATGCCATTCGATGGCCTAATGTTTAGCAAGCAAAACGGACATCCGTTTCAGACTGGATTCAGTAGTATAGATCAAGTTCTGGTCAGACCGATACGAAAACTAGGATTTTTGGCGAGTATGGATTTCAACAATCCACCAGGAAAGTAACGTTTTCTCTAAAAACATACTTGTGAAATAATCTGCAAACACAAGTACACACAGTGAACTTTATGAGATCTGCGTGAAATAAGCAGCCAAGCGTGGTCGCTGCCTCACCACAAGAACGTGAATCATCAGGGGCAGAGTCTTTCTTCTCATCTGCTCGTATATCAAGTAATAGTGCTGGTAGAAAATGAGGAGACGACTGGCAGAGTAACAATACAATATAACTGGTCGTAGCCTGCGAGCTCGTAACTTTTTCAATATGCGCTCTAGTTTATAAGTGTACAAAGGGAAAGGTGAAGCCAGCGCGCGCGAGAGAGTCAGCAATATGTCTTTTCCACGAGAGCTACTCTGCCGCTCTCGGTGTACAAGGAAAATCCGCTCTCGAATTAACGTTGATTCTTGCGGCAAATCTATCTCCTCTCTTCCCTCAGTCGCCGTCGCCGTCGCTGCCGTCGTCGTCGTCGTCGTCGTCGTCGTCGTCGTCGTCGTCGTCGTCGTCGTCGTCGTCGTCGTCGTCGTCGTCGTCGTCGTCGTCGTCGTCGTCGTCGTCGTCGTCGTCGACGACGATAGATGCGCAAAGAGCTACTTTAAATTAGATTGCCGCGCCGAGTCTTTGTGCAAGCTCCGCGCACATATTGCTCTACTCTCTTGCTCTCTCTCGCTCCTCGGGGAGCCTTCCGTTTAAAGGCGCGAACAACTTTTTGCCTGCAGACGCCCTGGCTGATTTGAATTTTTCTTCCATAGCGCTATAAACTTTACTTCTTCCTTCAATTTTTTGTTCTTGTCCGTAGTACTTTTCTGAGCGTTCTTAAACAATACTGTATTGTATTACAGATATTGAAAAAATATACATGCTCGTTGATAAATTTATACTTTTCTCTTCTGTCTTTTGACTATTTATTTGCTATGAAATCTGTGATTAAGAGATTGTAACATAATGTTTTATATACATAGATCAAATCAAAACATAAATTGAAACTATACACATTCATGATACGATTACTATTTCTTCGAATCGGACTTTCCAATAATGTTTATATAAATTAATATCAATAGAACCACTACTTCATTTCATAAAATTAAAATGTTAAATGCCAATAATATTTTGAAATATATATAATCAAAAATAAAATAGATACAGCCATATTTAGTTGTCATTTATTGTTGACCATTTCATTTGAAAATTCATTATTTTCATTATCTACATCATCATCAAAAGCGTAATGTCGAATATATCTTCACGTACAATGTAAAAAGAACAAACAAAAACATTTTTTTAATTACCTTGTGCTTTCATCAGTACTTATTACTGCTTTGATGTAAAGTTTTCAATGACGTATCGGCAAATTATCAAAGAACAGGATTAATATTTTGTAAAATCAGAGTATAAACGTGTATTTACGATGAATCGAACATCAAATGAAAAATACCATATTTATTTTATCATTCTTCTCTTTCCTCCTCTTATAAAAGAGAGAATCTGATGAAGCGAAGCCAGTTTATTCGTGATCTGATTGGCTAAAAAATCGTCACATGATCAGCTTTTATGTGGTAGTATATATATATAGTGTATACGCCCATGAAACATTACTACAGATATGCGATAATGATTAAATGTTCGAAAAATGTAACAGCATCGTCGGTATAGATGATTGATTTAACCATACTGACCTCAAAAAAAAGTCGACTGATACCGCAATTTAGAGAAATTAATTGAACTTTGCTCTATGTCTAAATTAACTTAGAATAAACAAAATAAATAATAAAAAATTTATAGATTATTGCGATAAAATATTGTGCAGTGATTTCAGTTTCGTTACGTAAAATAGAAAACTTTTTTGAAAATAGACTAATTATATCCGTGAGCATCTACCGAACTACGTCATTTATATCGTGAAGGATATGATTTAAAAAACTATAATATTTTTACAACTTATTTTACATTTTTTATCATATTTTTAAACTTTTTGATGTTTTTCCATTACAGATCTTTAGATCATAAAATCTCAAAACTTCATTGATAACATTTTTAAGTCAGGAATATCAACGTAATTACATATTTATTTACAGATAAATAATATCATGGGCTATATCTCATATCAAATCATGGGAATATTTAATGCACATTTAATTTTCGAATTTTCAATTTCGCCAATAAAAGTTTTGATCTACATTCGACTTTGAGCCTTACACATATAAAAATGATCAGACATATGAAATTTTTATATTTGTTATCGTGATTCCATCAGTTCAAATTGCACCTTAAACTGTACGTAGGTCCAGTCATGATGCGTGTAAAACAACTTCTTTCTCGCCGTTCCACAACTGGTACAGGAGATAAGTTTACATGCTAATGACTATAGGGAATTAAGTACAGGTATCTAATGTACCTCTGTAATGTTCTACGTGAACGCAGTTCTAAAAGTAATAATAAAAATAATAATATTCGTGCGTTAAAATGAATACAAGAAAAGACGAACACGATGAGCGCGTAATGCTCTAGACATTCCTAGCGATATTAAATATTAATTATGGATTCCTGTTATTCCTTTGTAATCCATTGAAATTGGCAAGCAGATTAAAAGTTTATTCTGAATGACTGAACCAATTGCAATATAAAATCCATGAATAAATTCATTAAAATCTGTGCTTATTAATATCCTCGTACAAAAAGAAATCTCATCGGTGAATTTTAAAGCAAACGCCAGGCTGACAAAGTGAAAAAAAGAGAGAGCAACGTATCCGTCATTGTTGTCGCCGGTAAACTTCCGGGCTCCATTCAAGTGCCACTTTTTTCACATCTGCTGAAAGTGACGCTATGAAACTTGGCTCCTATATAATCAGGCTGTAGAAGATGGATATACGCGCTTCTCTTTCACACTTGCTTCTCAGCGCCGTAAATCTTGTCGGAATATGACGTCTCCCTTATCTACGCCGAAGTATGCTTTTCTTTTTAAAACTCGGCTTGTTGATTGATTGCTATTAGCGATTCGATTAGCTTGCGGTATTCTGGCAGTGAGATTGATTTTGAGCCTGGTTAAAGTACCGATCGAATTCTCATCACTATCATAACTCGTTCGAAAAACTTTACAGTTCTCGCGGGTACTCGACTCTGCTATCGGAAGCTACCGATTGTTTATCGCGACCGCATCGACAGCCTGTCGATCGTTTCATGCACGCGAGAGTCTACGGGCGCTTATGGGCTTACGAGATCGAATTAACGGTCAGCAGAGACCAGTGAAAGAGAAAGAGAGCATGCTTCTTTTTGCCTTCAGCAGCAAAAGCAACAACGCGAGTAATAGCCGTGAGCACGTCACGAAGGGAGCTTTCTCTCTCTCCTTCCTTCAGCACCATTAAAAATGCTTTCAAGAAGCGTACACCAGATAGAATCCCTTGCCTTTTTTCCCTCCCTCTCTCACGATTTTCCTCCATAAAGTGATATTGACCTGTAGGTAGCCTTCTCTCTCTCTCTCTCTCTCTCTCTCTCTCTCTCTCTCTCACTCTCTACGAGCCATATAATGACGCAATTTATCGTTGCTCCGCCATCTCTTTTCTCGAAGCTCCACTTATTTCTATAGTCACGATCTCGTTCACCCTCTTCATTGTTGTTTGATTTGGATCCGCACCGATAGTTAAATTGAAATATGCTAGATTTTAATTATTATTTCTCCAAGTGTGACAACAAACCGAAGATTGTGAATACAATCTTATGGATTTTTTCATGTTAACGTGCTCATTATATTTTTCAATGTTTATTTGAATCTTACATCAAAGCAATATCTTTGTAAGAATGATAGCCTTATAGTTATCGAATGAGAAGTAAATTATGTATAATCATAATATCTCTCATGTGATTTTTTACCCTTGTTCGATATAGAAAAATAAAATTAAATCAGCTGTCACGGGTGCGACACCGGTGACTCCGTAGAGACGCTGTTTCCACCTTTGGGCTTTCTCACGCCCGGGCAGACGCTTATCAGCGTTTTCCGAGTGGCACCTGCATGCATACGTGCCACCAATGCAGATGCGTTCGCACTGATATATTAGTAAAGGGAACGATTAGGCGGGATATTAAAACAGGCGCGGATTAGCGTGATGATGGAATTCGAGCGTCGAACACGGGCAAGTACGCGACAACCGCGAGCGCAAGCACACACACGATCTTCCTCGATATTTTAGCTTAAATAAAGTGTAGCTACAGCGACTAACTACGACTCTCTTTCATTCACATATCCAAACCCGTTCGAAGGACCGGGCAACGACATAACGAACCGACCACCCGTGATACAGCGCAAGTTAATAAAACTCCCATGCCAAACTAAAAAATATAGTAAACAATGCAAAACCTAGATGAAATCATTAAAAATCGTCAAGTTATGTTTGTAGCAGACAGCCAAGCAAAATAAACATTGGGACAATCGGACTGTCCTATAATTACCCAAGCAGATGCGCGTAGTGTGTGTGTAAGGGAGGGAAAGAGAGGGCTATGGAGAAAGGTAGTGAGAGAGAGAGAGAGAGCGGTTAATGACATCCGGTGCTTTGCTCTGTTGCTTGCAGAGTCTGCCACAGACGCCGGCCGGCAAGTCGGGCACGAACAGTGGTGCAGGCATCGTCAATGGTTCCGGGACCAATCATCCGGACGCCGCTGCCGTCAACCCCGAACATCACGTAAGTCTCTCTCACTCTGACTATATGTGATTGTACGTTATTGCGCCTACTGCTAGCCCCTGCCCCCTCTCTCTCTCTCTCATGCTCTTGATGATGCTCGAGCAATTAGAGCAATTAGCCTCACGTCAAAGTCGATATGTCGATTCTCGCTACGGCAATCGCGCGCAACTATATACAGTCGAGTGCTACTTGCGCGCTCGCGCGCAGCGTTGATTGATTATTTCCGATTGTGGAGTAACTAACTTATCGTGAAATATGTGCCGCGCATAGTCCAACTTTTACCCGTCTCACATCATTCGCGCGCAATAGCAGCCCCGATTGAAGTAACTCATTATCCACCCAAAAGTTTGTTTTTAACAATTCTATCAACAAAATCGATGACTGCTCATCATGACCTACATAACACAATGAATCAATAATGATACGAGATTGAAAGCCTACGAGAGCGAAAGCGCAGCGTCGTCAATTGGACTTCCTTTTTGCGCATGTAGCATTTTGAAGATTCAGTCGTCAACAATGAATTAATTACTTTAAATTGCGCGACGACCCCGACGACCCGAAAAAAAGAACGACAGCAAATAACTATAAATTCGCGCGTGCGTTCGTCGCCCTTCAACCGCGCGACACGATAATGGGCTAAACGGAATACTTCTCTTGTCGCTCGACGGGGGGGGGGGGGGGGGGGAGGGGGTTGGCCCAGTGATACACCGTGTGCCGGCGCTACATCAATTTTCTAATGCGCGAGGACGCGGTCAGCTAGCAATAAAACCCGCGCGAGGAAATTTACATCGCGCATCGGCGATTTATGACTGACGATAATAAATTTGTTTGCGGCCATCACCACCACCGGCACCATCATCATCATCACAAAGCGTCAGACGAGAAAATTCCGTGTGATTTTTTGTTTTGTAGTCGTTGGCGTGCCGTTAATAGCAATCGCAATGAAGGCTGAATGTTCAGTCGCGTAAAAAAGACGGTCTTTTTAAATGATTTACAGTGGCCACCGCGTCGATTAACCAAATTAGCCGACGCACACCACAGGGCTAATGACATTAGTGCAACGTTAAACTATCACGTACAAAATGCGTCGGGAATTTGCGCGGTGGATTAGGGAGGCAGCTGGGGGGGAGGGGGGTTACAGAGCAAAGTTTGTATTAAATTCTGTCCGCGAAACTCATAAAAGCTTTCAAAACAAAAGTAAAGCGCTGCTCGACGAGAATAAGCTGACTAAACGTATTAAGTGACCTTTTGAATGACTACGGTGTGTTTAAATACTTCATCCAACTATAAAGACAGAGAAAAAAGTCGATGATGTACAGCGAGACGACTACGTTTTTTTTTTCCTGGTCAACTGCGTTGTTCAAAGTTATATAATGCGCTTGGCTGCGGTATAATTAGGCCATGGCTATAATTCCCGTTAATGACCCTTGCCATCGAGCAAACTTTTTACGATGCTCCGACCAGCAATAATAACACATATATACTAGAAAAAAAACCAGCGTTGGGTTGAATATTCTTTTCCTCTTGAAAACCACTGCTACGAGAATTTGGTTTTGAATTTGTAGTCGTCTGGAACTGAGAAAATGAAGTAACAAACTTCAGGTGTTTAAGTCTGCAGTGTCATAAACAATACGCCTGAAATATGGAGCTGTCCTAACTTTAACAACGATACTAGTTCACGTTGGAAAGTAAAGCACGCGCTGGCAATGAAAATAAAGCATCTCGTAGAGGAGGAGCTTAACACCATGTCATGGTTATCACAAACAATAATCGGGCGATCGCGCTCACGTGAATACGGCCATGATAGCTGTCGGTGGCACTTACCTTATAAAACTGACTGCCTGTCAGGTAGCGCAAGTAGCACAAGCCAGCGAGTAGCTTTTAAACTTTCGGAATATTCAGCAAATAAACATAGTTTAGCTCTTGGCTCCTCTCTCCTCTGGGCTAAACGCGTTTCACCGCCTGCCCATCCGACTCGAAAGTTAGCAACGATAAATTAGTTTAATCCCCCAGCATAAAGTTCAGTAGCAGGGCGCTATTCTCCTCGCCGCACCGCCACTTCACCTTCGTTCGCCGACAACTTCGCACGCGGACCCTCGCTCGCATCAAGCGCACGATTTTGATCGAATTTGACCGGCAAGTCCTGCTACACGCTTCTTCTTATTCTTCTTGCTTGCTTACTTACTTACTCGCTGGATCTTTGAATATTCAGTGGCTTTGCTGCGAATGCTTTTCCATCTTCTCTAATGGCATATTGCCTGAGTGTACCTTGCAAATTATGAAATTACATTAGATGAAATTACATTAGAGATAGCGAGAAAGAGAGAGAGAGAGAGAGAGAGAGAGTGAGAGAGAGAGAATGGAAATCGAGCGAACTGACAGAAAAGCAATGATGAGAATCCGATGAGGCTACAAAAAATTTCATTTTCATGAAGTCGTATCTCATCTATATCATTTATACAACTATGCCCAAGATTCATAGTCGGCAGTGCCGCGAGCAGCTTGAACATAGTTGTATAAACAATATAGATGTGATATGACTTCATGAAAATGAAATTTTTTGTAGCCTCATCGGATTCTCATCACTGCAGGAAAGCGTCGCACAGCGCTCGGTCAAAGCCGCTCAAATTTAACTCTCCTTCATCCCTGTGGCGTCCCCATAGCGCTCTCGGCGCAGTTGGCAAATCAAAGAATAAAGAGTCATTCGTCCCCTCCGCCCTCCGATGCGCAGCCATTTTCCACGGCAAAAGCTATTTATGCGTTTGTCTCTTGAGCCGCGCGTACTTTGAAAATGCGCTCGTCGTTGCCGTTGACGCGGAAAGTGAGCAAGTCGAGGAGAATTACATTGCGTCCACCCCAATCGTTATGGTGGCCGCGCAGACGTGACGAAAGATCGACGCGGCTGTGCGGTCGCGAGGCGCGAGCGCTCGCGTGCTCGACAACGAGTAACAAGTTCGCTCGACGTGCACATTTTCGAAATTTTTCTTGCCGCCCGGGAATTTCCTTAACGACTGACGACTAAGTCATTCGGCGGGGGCGGTTGGGGATTATTATTAACGCAATGGCTCACTCGAGCCGCGCTAATTGCAAGTAAAATGAATATGAATCCTGAGTGTACGTTCCTTTTCTGTACAGCCGCCAATTATAATTCCAATTAAAATGGTTGCCCAGACTTATTTGATCGTTCTTAGAAAAATGGTAATCCGGTGCGATACCCTTCCTTTTTTTTCTCGTGCGTTCAACCGTTTAATCGGTTACGTATTTACCTTCATCTCTGCAAGTTTACCCTACTTGCAGAAGACCGCGCTGCGTGAAAAAGAGAAGTTTCTCGTGATGAAGCTTTCATCAAGTGCATCGGAGACTATTAGAAAGTCATCGCGCGGTAAGGTGCGGGGTAAAAAAAAAACGAGCTCGCCCGTGGCAAGAGAGAAAGAAAAGAAAGGAAAAAAGGTGCGAGCGAGAAGAAGCAGCGCCGGCAATTGTAGCTACATTGCTTTTAATGCAGCGGCCGCCAAGAAAAATGAAGGCAGCGGTGAAGGCAGCACTCCTCATTTCTCATTCACGCCGCCCTATTTTCTTTTTCTTTTTTGTTTTCTCCTGTCGAAGATACGATGCGCTTTGAAAATGTACCTTACCGCCTATCTACTATATACAGCGCGAATATTATTCTTTAATATTTAGCTCGCGCTAAAAGCTGCCGCGCGAATAGTCGATCTTAATCACAAGGCAATTATTGATATTGAAACTTCGAACCTGAGGATTGAACACTTCGTGAAATTGCACTTTAGCTTTGTCAAGCGTTTCCAATCGCTGGAGCTGTCATTGATATAATCTCCATCGATTGCCGAATCAAAATACATTGACGTCATTCACTGGCAATCCTGAAAGCTAATTGCTCCAGTTTGACCTGCTTAATTCGAAAAGAAACGAATTGATTGCCCCCTCCACGTGAAAATAACGCTTTCACTTTCCCTCGCGATGACCTTCCTAGCCATCGTACTCGAGTATTCAGTGCGCATGCATAGCCAGCAAATCCCTAACTTGGTCTTAGCGTCTCAAACCGAATGGATTGCACGCGGCTTTGAACGAGTGAGCGAGCAATCAAGAAATTTCGCGACTTATAACGAAATCTCTTTCCTCGAGAGGCTACGGTAATGGGAAAACGCTTTTCTCTCTACCCCCATCGGCTAAATTGCCCAAGGAAGCCAGCGCAGTTGGAATGTTTATATCGCAGATGCATCGAGAATGAGAACTTTGACGACAAGCACGACGACGGCGAAGTAATTTCGTTGGAGCTACTAATTGGTGTGCAACTGCTTTCTTATTAAGGCATCTAACTAGACACTTTCAAAGCTTTGACGTAAAAGCGGCCGGGTACGAGCTAAGAAAGTAATGATTATCATAATAGGCGTTCCACTTTTATAATGATGTGTCAATTATCTGTAGCCTCACCAAGAGAGAGAAGGAGAGAGAGTGAGAGTGAGAGAACTTGTTGAGCTTGCGTATGCAGCTCGAAAGTTTTATCTACTTGAAAATATCGCCTTAAAATATATTCGGTGTTTGTGCAAGCTGTACATACGTATCACGTGTCAATGAGTTTTCTAATTTGAGTGATAATTAATTCGAGCAGTTATTTCAATCTCGTACTACTTTTGCGCAGTGATGCAGTTCAAGACGCGGCGAAAAAAAAAATTATTGAATTTAGGAGATTGGGTCAATTGGTATTACTGAGTGTTCTCATTACAAATGTTTGTCAATTCAAGAATAAAACATTGGCTAGAGAGAGTGAGAGAGAGAAAGAGAAAGCGAGAGTGCTATAAAAGAGGAACCCCAATGATATTTTCTTGAAAAGGCTGCTAATGTACAAATGTATACAGAATTATACCTTCAATCACAAAGAAGAACATTTTGACGTTAACGCGAAGGTAAAAGAAATAGAGAGTGAGAGAGAGAGAGAGCAACATTTTCTCATATATAAGCGCAACGACAAACGTCACTCTTGACGCTCGTCGCGGGCAACAAAACTCTTATTGCGCGCCTGGAAATATTCATTTCCAGCTTTTCGCTCGCGCGCCAACCGAGAACAAAAAGCTTCGCCTGGGAAAGCACTTGCGCACACGACTACGCGATATTATGCGTTTTTCGGCCGGAACTTTCATAGCCACGCGTGCAAAAGCCTCAGAGAGTAATCGCGCTATAAGAATTTCATTTCGCCGCGAAAACTCTCTCTGGCTCGGCAAACAGGGACTCGATTCGTGCTCGCGCCAAAGACGTGCGGGTATAAATTTAAAGGAGTGTGCAGAGCAACGCTCGCACGTGCAAAAGCTGCGGGTGGAAAGTACGGGAAGCAAAAGTCGAAAATGCGCGCGCGACTCGCGTTGTCGTTGCCTTTATACTCGGCGCGCGTCGCGCGCAAAAATGTTTCTCCCCCCCTCCCCTCCCCAAAAGATATCGCAAGAGCGCGCGGCGAGCTATTCCCGAAAAACTTTTACGCTCGATTGCGAGAACCACTTAGACGAATGAGATCTCTTTTTCTCGTGTATACGGCGAGAGTTTGTCAACAAACAAACAGAAAAAATGAAAAAAAAAAAAAAAAACAAACGACATGATATTTCTCTTACGAGCTTGGAATCGCTCGAGAAGGATTTAGGATTTGTCGAGGCTCTCGAGGCAGACAATAATAAAAATTTACTATTGAGTTTTTCTTTAATGGATTGAATGTTGATGCACGTTTACCACTAACCATATTTCAAAGTAATTAAAAAACAAAGTGTATCATGTGCAATCGAGCAAATGAAAATACCTTTAAATCGATCTTTCAAGTAGAAACATTTCCAATTTACTCGAGTGTCTCTTATACAAATCCGCCCACTTTCCCTAATCATCGAGTATAAAGCATTTGCTCTTTGTCGGTTTTCTCCAATTCTCGAACAAAAAACCAACAACTCCATCGTTTCATGAAAAAAAAATTCTCTCCATGAATATTAAAAAAAAGAAATTCATACCGTGTAACGCATGATACACGCGTACGGCACTTTTATTCGATCAAGCTCGACGTTGCTCTAACATCAGTAGCGAAACAATGAAAGGGACACGGGAGAAAAAAAAGAGAAAAAAACGACCAATTGGAAGTGAATTACCTCGTTGACGATAGCAGTCAGAGCAAGTTGAATAGAACGCTGAAAAATTTCGAATTTCTCTCTCTCTCTATCTATCTCTCTCTCTCTCTCTCTCTCTCTCTCCCTCTCTCTCTCTCTTTGTGCACATCTCGCGCGTCTGTCTGCATGTGCTGCTACTCATATTAGTTAGAGTCGCGTGGTTTCAATGCACGCAATTGAAACACCGCCACCACAAGCGAACAATGCAACTACGTTCCCCATTGTCACTCTCTTGTTGTTTATTTTCCGAAAGTAGAATTTTTCACTCGCTGTCGACGATTAAAAGAGAAAGAAGAAAAGCTAAGGTTCCCTACATTGGTGATCAGTAGAGATGCATCGATAGCGACGTAGCCTGATTGCTTTCTTGCAGCGATAAAAAGAAGGGATCGCGACGATGGCAGCGAAGTGAGCCAAAAAAACGTGGCACTGCCAGTAGTAGCAGTGGAGTTCGCATGTCCGCGCGGAGTATTTTTCCCGCTTGCGACTTTTTGCAATCTCACAGTCCCTCGTGCTTCTAGCTTACTGCACCGTCGGAGTTCGAATTCGCAATGTGTACAATGCACATCGCACAGCGCGCCGGCGTGTCGAGAGCGGAATGTTTTTATCGGCCACACGCGCGCCGGCGAGTTTTCTTTTGCCAGTTTGGACTTTTCTTGATTGCTTGCTTGTACGCAAGAGAGAGAGAGAGAGAGAGAGTTAGACGATCAATCCTTGCTGACCAACGTATCTTGATGTAGACAGACTTCAAACTATTTTATTTCAATCAATAAAAAATCGCGTTCCTTTCATTTACGTAGATTTCCGTTGGATTTTAAATAAATGTAATGGTAAGGATTTTAACAAAATGCAAATTTTACGTTAATGAAATAAATTTTCTCTACTTTTAAGGAGTAATTACGAACAAACTTTCGTCATTGACTTAGCATTTCGTAATGATACATTTAATTAAAATTATATCAAACGAATTGAAAACGGCGATGTGTCGTGGTCGTACATCATCGTTATACCTAACAAAAGATATACATCCCGCAATGTAAGAGAGAGAACTTTGGTGAAACTCAACCGTCACACCGCGAATTCCTATAACAATCTTAAGCGCAAGCACGTACTATGGCTGACGTTCAAAATCAAGCGACCCTATAAAACAACGATCCGATTCGACCGAGTACGCCCGGCTCTACAAATGTGTGCGACACCACCAGTTGAGCTCGCGGTAGAAAATGAGATTTCACTGTGATATAATTAGGGCGATTAAGCAAATGGAAAGCAGAAGACAAAAAGAAGAAGGGAAATTGTTTCGGTGGAGAAAAAAGTAGGCTAAGCGGACGCGCTGGCAAGTGGCGCAGTCTGAATGGAAGTGGGTCGTGCGCGCGCAAGCAATTCGGCCAGTGTATTAGGCGAGCGAAAATAAATGTCGACGCGTTTCGGGCGACACTTCATCGCGGAAACGTGCGCGTAAAATGCCGTTATTCTTGCGAACGTTTTGTCTTGCCCTCGCGCGCATTTATTTTGCGCCGAGATGCGCGCCGAGGCTATGTGGTATTTATTGTAATGCCGTCGCTAGGCGAGGATAACGAGAAATTTTCAAGCTGTAAGCCACCGTCGTCGCTCCAGTTACAAGAGGCTGGAATTTCCCGGATAAACTGGAGCCATCGCTGAAAGAAATTTTATAGCTCTGAGACGTGGAATCGCTTTGAAAGGGCGCGTCGCGAGATTTTATTGGCTGCTGTGCGAGAGCGGCCTATTTTGTTCGCTGTAAAAAAGCGAGAGAGAGAGAGAGAAACTGAACGAGCCTATGTACAGATATTTGTATTTCTTTTACGAGCCGCGATAGCCGGAAAGATTAATTAGAGTTTCCTTTGTAATTTTATCACAGTACGTAGCAAGATTTTTTTTTAGTTTTTTTTTCCTGTTTTTACGATTTATGCAAATCATATGAAAGGATTACAGTCATCAGATTGAAAAAAAAAGAAAAGAAAAACCATTCCGTATCACACTTGTCGTTTCTGCGAGTGCTATTGCATTTCCAAGCGCACGTAGTTATCTCTGACGTACACATATAGCTTTAAAAGATATATAATTTCACGCAAATTTTAGTACGAACTCGGTACAAAGCGGGCCCTGCTCAAAGTCATTCCGATTCAGTGGGGAAAAAAGTCCTCCTCGAATGTCCGCGTCATAGAGTCGAAATATGCAAACGAGTAAATCGACCTGGTACTTTTAGAAAAAAAATTAAAGGTATATCGAACAAATCACTTTTTCCATTCGCGAGTACAATATCAGATGTCTACCTTAGTCCCCCTCGATGCACATGATTTATAGGGCATTGTGCTGTTCCACCTTGGAATAACCTTCAAATGAGCGTACAACCTGTATAAAAATCCTTTGACTCTTCGATCAGCATGTAAACGACAATGAGCGCCCTTATACCCGTGAGCTATTTTTCACGAGGTTCTTTGTCTCTCTTCTTCTTCCACGAAGAAAGATAAGCCACTAGGAGGGGGGGGGGGGGGCAAAAAGGGTGAAACTATAGAACGATTTTGCAGTTAGATGAAATGACGATGTATGTGCTGGATTCGAATGAGCGAACGATTTTATTTCAGAAATAGATGTGAAATCTCGGCCTTTTATCTTGTTCAATAACATATGAAAACAATTGCATAATAGAAAAATAGTATTCGCATACAAATTATACATATTAGTTAGGTGCATTTTATAGTACAGATTTATGAAAAGCGCCAACAAAAGCGACCGCAATATCGTGAATTACGAACGAAAATTATAAATAAATGATTAACCGACAGTGTAAATTTGTTCTCGGGCATTTGCAGGAGCTGGTCTATCGTGACGGGAATCTGGTGTCTGGCTCGTTGGAGGCGCTGGTGCAGCACATGGTTCCGACCGAGGAGTACTATCCGGATCGGGCTTACCTGTTCGCCTTTCTGCTGAGCGCTCGCCTCTTCATCAAACCCCACGAGCTTCTTGGCGAGGTCTGCGCTCTCTGCGAGCATCAGCAGAATCTCAACGGCGAAGGTGGCAAGGTGAGACCGAGTAGTCTTGCTCTTCTTTAACCCCCCTCCCCCCTTCTCGATTCTTTCTCACGTACGCGAGGCTTAAATATTTTGAAGCTTTTCCACAGTTTTCCGGAAAAATGCAACGCCGTGAAATTTGTCTTTTATTTGTACCACGACTACGTTTTCTTTTTCTATTATTTTTTCAATCGTAATGAAAATTTCAAATGTCATTCGTATCGAGTTTCTCCCGGTGAAATTTCATATTGAAAAAAATTCTAGGCTGGACGACGGTGGCGGCGGTGGCGGCGACGATGCAAAAATGCCAAAAAAGAGTGGAACCTAGCAACGCGTATGATATATACGTCGAAAGACAACGCGCCAAGTGAAATTCGCGTATATCCGCTCGGAAGCGCCGATATATTCCTTTTAGAAAAACGTGCATGAGAAAGATGAATAAAAACAATGCGACCGCAGCAACACAGGCGTAGCGGGAGTATAAATATGAAAAGAAAAAAGAAATCAACTAGACTAAAAAAAAAAAAAAAAAACAGGAACGGAAAAGTGCGCCTTAAAAAATATATCTATACGTATACGCGGCGAAGGCTGACACAGGTCGTAGAGGGGCCACTTCAAGCGAGAGCTCGTGCATTATCGTTTCATCAGCTCGCTCTCTCGCATCCGAGCACACGAGGGGAGGGCCACGTACAATGTAAATCGATCTCTCGACCCTTTCACACACACACACATGCTTCGCTTTTCTTCGAAGGCACGAATAGCTCTAGTCTCTTTGCTCGCCGTCCAGATATGTGGCTCACGCGTGACCGAGCTTTTCAGCATGTCTGAATGACGTATTGTCGAACAGGAGATCTATATATACGCGAATTCAAAGTTCTCTCGCTTTTTGCCCCGATCGCGAACAGCTGCAATTTTCTTTTTTCCTTTTTTTTTTTTTAACATAGAACGGGATTTTGTACGTCCAAAGGACGTTTTCCTTCGACTACTGTGCCAGCTGAAACCGTGCTTTTTCGGTTAGTTTACAAAACTGCTCCCGTCGCGCGTACATTCGAGTGATCTACTGTCCGCCATTGAGCGCGCCGTTCATTTGAATTTCTAGCACGGGAGCCGAACGAGCGCGCATTCTGTGTCTTGAATGGATCTGGAGTACACTCGGCTAGCAAAAGCACCAATCCACTTGCTGGGCGTGTGCTTTTTCCGTGTAATTATTTAAGATTTTGGATTCCATAGGTCTGTCGGTGACAGTGCGGCGTTGATATTGATTTCAGTTTGAAACGCAGTCGTGCGAGCGTGTGTCCCCGTTGACGAGTGACGGCGAGGAGTCGATCGATCTCGGGAGCGCGTTCGGAGATCAAGTTCGGGAAAAATTTTTCAGCAAAGCGCTCAGCTCGCGTTCGCGTGCTAGTCCGACCGTAGAGTGCTTTAATCGCTCGCTCGCTCGCTCGCTGGATTTCCGGCTCATTTTGTTTCTATTCAGCCGCCTCGATTACGGCCGCGCGATCGTGGATCGCAATTGATCGAACGTTCCTATACGTGGGCGAACAATGGCCCTGGGATTTAGCCTCGGGCAAAATGAAAAATCGCCATAAAATATTCATTGATCAACCTTATTGTTACGCAGGAGCGACTGCATCGCTTCGTGCCACGTCTGGTGCAGCTGTTGGCCGAATGGACGGAGACATTCCCGTACGATTTCCGGGACGAGCGGGTGATGGGCCACGTGCGCTCGATCACGCAGAAAGTGGCCAACGTCGACGCGGCAGCGCGCCAAGAAGTCTCGGTACTGCTCCAAAACTTGCTGGTCAAGCTGACGGCATTAGAGAGGTACGAGGAGGCCCTTTCCAGACTTGCAACCGACTCGGCTACCGAGCAGCTTAGCCAGGTAAGCCTTCGCGTATCATCCAAGTTTGCTTTGGCCGTGTACATACACGTTGACGCGCCCACGTGGCTTTTGTTCATTATCGATTTCCGGGCGTCAATTTCTTGTTGGAAGCTATTTCGGTACGGAGGAGCAGGCTAATTACAGCTCGGCTATGTGGACTCCGCGATTAGGCCACGCGCCTCTATGCGTGTTTATCGTTGCGGATGAATTTGCACTTCAAAGCACGCTTCGCTCGCAGCCAATGGCAAATTTTATCGCGGGCATGTGTACCCGTCGGCCCGAATCAATCGCTGTAATAACGAGCTTACGCGGGTAAATATGTAAGAACCGGTAATAACCTAAACGCCATTAGCGTGAGTGGCAATCTCGCTGACGACCATCCAAATAACTGCAATAATCATCCGTTCCAAAACAGTCGCATTCGATTTCTCGCAGTTGCGAACGAAAGCCAATCGTCGCCGATGTATACATAAACGAAAGCGGACACTTGGGCGTTATGCGCGGCTGGGCGGCAAATAACCCAATCGGCAATCGACGCGACAGGCGAAATCCGGAACGCGCGTAACCACGCACGTAACCCTTGAAATCCTCTTAGCAGCCCCCCCTCCGAGCCATCAAAAGCGTAACGTCTTTGGTCAAGCGAAACGATCAGGGAGAGGGCTGATTCATTGACGCGCGCATTCCGAATGCTCTTATAGCCAGCTGTTCGCTTAAACTCTCTAATAGCCGATTGCATACTTTACGGCCTACGAAACGAGACAAATCGCGTTTGTGCGTACGTACGCGAAGCTCGCTCGTTATGCCCTTGATCAGCTTTGCCTTCGCTCGTTGCCCGGTTGCTTTCCACGTGCTCCGCGTGCTCTTTCGGCCTCCGCGTAGGGCCGCTGAGCCGATCGCTGCGTGTGCGGTCTGGCGAATTTTTTCGCCGCTTATCGCGTGCTCGCGCGGATCAACTTTTGCGATTTCGATTGATCGATCCTTTCTTTCGCGTTACTATTTCCTTGCGAAAGGGAACTTGCCGCTTGTTACGATAGAGCGGCGCTCGCGTTATCGATTGTTAGCGAAATTCAAGAGCGGACAATAGGCCAGCGCCCGCCTTTTCTTATACGCTTCGCACACTAGAGGAATTTCATTCGTTTTCCAAAAACGCCAAATTTTCCATTCGCTTCAAAAATGTTCTCGAAACAGCGACGGTCACTTTTCGAATAACAGTACTTTCTTTCGAAATTCAACCAGTTCAAGCGCGCCTTAACGTTTTTGTGTATTTCATTATTGAATATCAAGAGAGTAGTCGAGCAAAACTTTCCATCTTTTTAACAAACTGCTATCGCTGTAGAGAACTATGTTAGCGAATCCAACAAATTGGCTCTCATTTTCTCGGTCGTCAACACAACGGCCACTACAATACACTCTGTCGCAGTGCAGTTAGCCTAACATAGTTAGGCTCTCGCTCGCGCTTCTAGCCCTAGCATCTCTCGTCGGAGAGAGGGAGAGAGAGCAACTATTCAACTCTAATTCGATGAGGCTGCTCACGGCGCCAACACCTGCCTAATGGCTCATTTGAACTACGCATCGGTTAGTTAAATATGCCCAGGCCTTCTCTCCTAGAGAGCGAGAGAGTGAGAGACAGAAAGCGCTAATCAGACTCAATTTGCTTGTTGAATGATGGAAGCAATCTGCTGTTCTAGTCTATACGGTTGTTGCATCGTACGCACGTCTAACATGTACCAAACAACCTTTTGGTCATTGTGATCGATGGCCCAATTGATTTCCAATGATAGCCAACCTTTTCTGATGTGTGTGTGTGTGTGTGTGTGTGTGTGTGTGTGTGTGTGTGTGTGTGTGTGTGTGTGTGTGTGTATGTAGGACTTCAATCTGCCAAGAGAATGAATGAATGAGAACAATGCAGCAAAGAGCGGAGAATAAATAAAGAGAGTGGGGGAGGGAAGGGGTAAAAAACAAACGAACGGACTTTCAATAGCTGACGTTATCAGCGATGCACAGTTACGGTAGTTCAAATTGAGCGCAGAGTATGTGCAATCGACGTTGTTATAGAATCGACAAATGAGTTATTTGCCGAAAAGTTTTTTCGTTGAAATGGAATTGTTTTATTTCTGCATAGTAAGCGAAATCGAATGGAAATATACGATTACCTCGGCTTTCTTGTCAATGATCAATTAGAATACAAACTGTTGAACTGTTTGTTTTCACAGGTGGACGTGACAGAGCTCTGTCCGTCGGCATCAGTGTTGGCGCAACAGCTGACACACGTCGAGCTCGAGCGGCTGTCGTACATTGGCCCCGAGGAATTCGTGCAGGCATTCGCCAAGGTACTTTTTTTTTACTTTTATGAGGGTTGTTTGAGGGTGAAACACGCCGATTTATCGTCGAGCGCGTCGATGGGATTACCACGGCCACTTAATTATTTTTTATCGGTTTTATCGATTTGCGATTGCGCTTCTTTTTTTTATTTATTTTATCAATTTTTTTAACGTCGCCCATTTGTCATTGCAAGGAATCACCGCACTTGGAAACGTCTTTTAAGGACATGAAGAAAACACGGAACCTCGAGTCTTATGTTCAGTGGTTCAATAGACTCAGCTACTTCGTAGCTACCGAAGTTTGTAAAGTAGGTTGACAAAGATGAATGCAGTTAAGACATGTTTTTCTTATACATAACGAGTTGATTTTGATTTTAGCATCCCAAGAAGAAACAGCGGGTTCGAGTGGTCGAGTATTGGATAGAGGCAGCCCGAGAGTGCTTCAACATCGGTAACTTTAACTCGCTTATGGCAATTATAGCTGGACTAAATATGTCGCCAATATCACGACTGAAGAAGACCGTAAGTGACATTATTTACTTGCCTCGACTTAAACAGAAACGATTAGAACAAACAATCTAATGTTAGTCAAAATCGCAGTGGTCGAAAGTGCAATCGGCGAAATTCTCAATCCTGGAGCACCATATGGATCCGAGCAGTAATTTCAGCAGCTACCGCAGCACCTTGAAGGCGGCGATGTGGCGTAGCGCCGGCGCTACGGATGAGAGGCAGCGCATCGTCGTGCCGTTCTTCAGTCTACTCGTCAAGGACCTCTACTTCCTCAACGAGGGCTGTAGTAACAAGTGAGTCGCAGACTTTATATACTTTAACCCTACGCGCGACAAACCCCACTTCTACTCCGCCATCCTCTCTTTAAGCATCACCCACGCTGCTTTCCATTTTTTTTCGGTGGAGCTCTTATTTCCTGTATTTTAACGAGCAGTCCTTCTTCTTTTCGTCTCGAGAGTGAATGCAAGAATATTTTTCGTTGGCTAGTGCTACTTTTGTGACTTGCTACTCACGGATTGATCATTCAATAATAAGAAGCCGATTTAGTCAGACAAATGCGCGTCGAAATGAAAAGTTAGCCTGCAAAAATATCGAAATTCCAATCCTTCAAGGCGTGGAAAAGAAGCCACATAGCTCTTCGCTCCGTCGATTTTCGCGAGCACGAAAGCTAACACGCGGCGACGTTGCTGCTGCTGAACTTATTAAACTTGTAATGACGAAAGTTGCAGCAAGAATCTGTCGGCTTATCCCATATCCGTGTAAAAAGAAGCCTCTCCCTCTTACTCTCGCGTGTGACTACCTTCGGAACTATACTATACATGCTTGCTAGATGCAAAAATTCATACAACTGAAGTAAAAAAAAATAAGGCTTCGATTGCAGCGGCGCTATTCTCAAGGGATGCTCGCTTGCCGAGCGAAAAACTTGAAATGTTGCGTAACAACGTCATACGATTTTCTGAAATTTGCAAAAAACGACACGTCACTTCGCGATTGATTCCCGTAAAATCGATAGGCACCGAGAGAAGTTTGCGAGGCTAAAATCTCTTCATTCCTCTCTCCGACGGCGCGCGAGAATGTAATTTCTGAGAAAAAAAACAAACACACGAGTGACTGCGCTGATTTTTCAGGCTACCCAACGGCCACATCAACTTCGAAAAGTTCTGGCAGCTAGCCAAGCAGGTGACGGAGTTCATAGCCTGGAAGCAAGTGACCTGTCCTTTCGAGAAGAATTCTCGAGTCATAGCCTTCTTACAGGCAAGCCCTGTACTTACGGAGAACGGTAAGGAATAGCGGAAAAGACCAATCGAAATCGCCAATGTCGCTGCTCGCTCGCGCGCTCTCGATTTAATGCATAATGTATTTTTCTTCTTTCCTTCTGTGCTCTGCCGCAGCACTGGTGCTGGCGTCCTTCGAGTGCGAGCCACCGGATAATAACCACGAGAAGGAACGGTACAAAGCCTTAAAGTAAGTGTAGACACTGTGCTCCCGCCAGATGTAATAAAGATCGAAAATTTTAAACTTTTCTTTTTCACCGTTCGATAGAGTGGAGCTGGGTAGCCAGTGAAACCTCGTCGGGCAAACGACGTGAGACGACTGCAGGCAGAGGTACTGAGACGAGACAAAAACAGAAAAAAGCACATTTTTCAAAGAACGCGCAAGGCTTTCGTCGCGTATACTCATTTACCTGTGTAACGCATTTTTCTTTTTAATTCTATCAAATGACAATCTCATCAATACGCCAAAAAGAAATAAAATACGCTGCAGAAGGGCTCTTTGAAATGCGCAACGGCAAAGTTTACGAGAGACGAGGAAGAAGGCAAATGCGAGATTTATTCTTTCGGTAAAGTGTATGTTTTTCGAAAAGGAAGAAGAAGAAGAGCACAAGTGTACGCGAGAATTTTCGTAATAACTTGCGAGCCAGGGCAGTTTCTCTCAAGTTTCAAGTGCTCGACTATAAACAGAAAGAAAGACTTCTCTTGCACTGTGCTACCGAGTTGAATCCCAAACGAACGTTTTTTTTCACTTACATGCAAAGTGTTCTTACAGTGAAATCCATGACAGCCAATCCCAGCCAAATTGTATGCACGCGTGCATTAAAGAAAGGCCTATTGTGTTATTAAAATTCATCCTAGGCTCAACAAGTCAATTTCAGATTTGCCAAATGAAAAATATATTATTTGTGATTAGTGAAACATTCACGTACAATAGTACGAAACATACAAATATTTATGGAACAATAGCGATTTCATGCAGCATGAAATGTTTTGTTATCGAACTTTTCAATGTACCAAGTTTTTGAATATTATTACCGTTAGGCAGCTTTATGAGCGTTTGCATAAACACGAGATAGAAAAACGCCCTTCTGAAAGAGAGCACAAAAGAGAGAGGGACCAAAAAAACGAAAAAAGCAAAGTTGAGAGTATTGCACACATTCCCGGTGCAAAATGATGCGTGCAACGGGAGATACAAACGAGTACGAAAGTCTCGTGGGGAGAATTTGTGTAATAAGGAAATTCCACTGTCACAATGGAACTACGCGGGGAACGCGATCGCGCAAGCAGGAAAAAAGTGCGAAAGGGCTTTAAGCGTTATAATACACTTAAGGAATAAGTGTTATATAACGCTTTCAAGACGTCATGAAAGCCTCGATTTCCCGTCATACTATTCGAGTGAACAAGTCGATATCCGTGTATTATAAAAGCCTCTTTGTCAAACAAACTTATATTTGTTCTTAATCGATATCAATGTTTTTTTTTTCGAATACGTGACGCCAACGCGAAAAAAATTCACCGAAACGAAAGAGAACAGAACATACGTGTTTCATAAAGTTTAAATTGTACATAGATAAATAGCAGAAAAATACATGCAATTCCCTTTTGAGCATTTTTGATGAGATCTAACAGCGCAGAGTCATTTTTTGATGAAACTTTGTAGAGCAGCATTGACAGTTTATCTGCCCTTGATATGAATTTTACAATGTTCATAGATGTATCATTCAACTTTTTTCTTCGACAAAAACTTATTCAATTGTTATCGATGAAAAAGTGTACAATGATTTTTCAAACCGAAACAGTAAAACGTATAGTAGTTAGAAACCATTGGACAGACTTAATTCATTCTTCCTATGTACACTGTCAATCGAGATAATTACGCATTCAAACTCTATGACGCAAAATGAACTTCGAGAAAAGTTTCAACAACGATATATTTTAACCTTTTTGGGTACTTAAAAAATATAGTCATCGTATACATTTAAACGCCAATCAGTATATACACTGCCCGTCAATCACTTTTGCCATGCTTACCTCAAAATTAGGCAAACTTGAAAGTTTTGTATCTCGGTCGGAAATCATCGTATCACAAAAAACCGCAGGGCATTTTAAAGATAATTGCAAAAGCTTCCATTTAAGACGTGCAGAGACTTAAAAATGAAAATATGTGTTTTTTACAGTAAAAAACTGATTAAAAAAATTTCAATTTTTTTAACTTCGACTTAAATCAATGCCAATTTAGAACCAGGCGGTGGAGGGCAAATCGACCTGAGGGGTTCGGAGGGTAATGTCTTTCCCTTTAAAATGAGCTCCCGCGGGGTTCTATCCGATGTTTTTTAACCGAGTTACGGCGTTTTTTGTAAAAAGCAACCTTTTTTCCAATCCTCAATTACTTCGACTTGCGTACGTTTTGGAAAAAAATGCCAAAGAGAAAAAAGTTTCATTATGTGTCCAAGAATACGAAAATAAAGTCAAAATAAAGAAATAGAGAAAAAATTTTTTTTCGGTTTTTTAGCGCATTAAAAAAATAAAGGAATTTAACTTTTTTTTTTTACGCTTAGTTTTAGTTTTTTTGTGATTTACTACGTCCCTAGACATTTTAAAACTAAGCGTAAAAAAAAAAGTTAAATTCCTTTATTTTTTTAATGCGCTAAAAAACCGAAAAAAAATTTTTCTCTATTTCTTTATTTTGACTTTATTTTCGTATTCTTGGACACAAAATGAAACTTTTTTCTCTTTGGCATTTTTTTCCAAAACGTACGCAAGTCGAAGTAATTGAGGATTGGAAAAAAGGTTGCTTTTTACAAAAAACGCCGTAACTCGGTTAAAAAACATCGGATATAACCCCGCGGGAGCTCATTTTAAAGGGAAAGACATTACCCTCCGAACCCCTCAGGTCGATTTGCCCTCCACCGCCTGGTTCTAAATTGGCATTGATTTAAGTCGAGGTTAAAAAAATTGAAATTTTTTTAATCAGTTTTTTACTGTAAAAAACACATATTTTCATTTTTAAGTCTCTGCACGTCTTAAATGGAAGCTTTTGCAATTACCTTTAAAATGCCCTGCGGTTTTTTGTGATACGATGATTTCCGACCGAGATACAAAACTTTCAAGTTTGCCTAATTTTGAGGTAAGCATGGCAAAAGTGATTGACGGGCAGTGTATGCATATGCATTAACCATGCGATTCATATCGGTTTTTCCGTTCAAATCTGGCATCTTTTTTGAGCTTTATAACTACTGCGTTTTATTGTTTGGTTGTCAAAGTAATTAAAAATATTGATTACGATGGTGAAAACGAAATAACGAGATTTAATAATTCACGTACAAGAATACTTTTATACAATAAATTTATTTATATAATCAACGTGCGATTTGTAAAAAATTAATTATTTATAGAGCGAGTCGGAGATTTATATTGCATGTATAACCCGTACTATTTTTTTAATATTTGTTTTAAGTACTTGTCCGAAATAAAAAAAAAAAATTTTAATTCACTATCCGTGGACATCATCGTTGTCGATGTTCTATAATTCCATGATTTGTCTGTGTGTTTGTGTGCATGTGTATATTATACCGACAAGTATGTCAGTACATTTATTGTAAATAATGTTTGTAAATAAGTATAAACAGCGAAATGCGATCTGAGATCAAGGTGAAAAAAAATTGGTACCCAAACACCTAGCGTCAATCGAAGGATAACGTAAAAAACACGTAGTACGTAGTAGCCTGGTGTATAAGAAGCGTAAGTACACTCTTGTTTAACTGAAGAATGAAAGAAAGTATTACTGAGATTAACGAAATAATTGTGACTGTTTGACAGAAAAACTTTAAGTACTTGCTTTCACATCTAGTCACTAGTCATTAGTCTAGTCTAGCCTTTGCTGCTAATTTTATGCGCGCGTGCGTGATGATTTTTCAACCACAACGAGCGTACGAAGATAACAAATAATCACTGCTAAACGACTCTAAACGTCATATTCAAACATTTTCGTTCAAATTATTTGCTTATATATTAATGATATTCCAGGTGAATCTAACACGTAATCATGAAATAATTATAATACTTGATGCTAATCAATATGCGATTGTTGGAAAATCTCATTTCGATGATCATCACATGGAAAAATTCTTCGATGTACATTAATTAATTAAATATCGGGAGCGAATATAATTAAAAATTATATCGCAACAAAGTTAATACGGTTGTCTTTTTATCTATATCATTCTTTTTGTTTGATTCACAATCATTCATGTATCATACGATAAAAATCCTTAACCGATCCTCTTGTATCCATTGCCGAAATGAGATGTTTAGTAACAATAAAAGAAACTTATTGCAACACCCTGTTCATAATTTAAGGCGTAATTATACGGTGTAAGAATGAAATTACGACGTATCGTAATTATGTATTACTTGACAATTCACATTTAAAAGTTTTTAGATGTAAAACGATGTGTTTTAATAAGTTTTGTCAAAGTAATTATTGTTGCAACTACTTTGATTTTATAGTAAAGATATGTATTAACGTGTCAGTATTAACGAATCGTATATTAGCGTATACTCGAAAGAAAATGTTTACTGTAACCTCTGTATAGTATTAATCAATTTGACACGTATGCATGATAAATAACTTAAGTGTCTTGGCACTTAAAAAAAATTAAAAAAAAAACAAAAAAATCGAACTCCCTTGAAAACTTAAACTATTTTTCAATTGCACGTTATTTTTTACTTTTTAATAAATACAAAAGGTGACTAATAGTATTCATTTGTACAGATATAGAAATACGCTATTTCAATTAGAAGTCTGAATATAGTGATTTCGTGCAAATATGAATAATACATTTTTCTTACACCGTCAACGCCGAGTATTATTTCTCATGTACATTATGTATTTAATATTAATCAAACTTGCACGACTAGAGAAAACTCTTTGTCATGAATAAACTAAAAAAAGAACAACAGCAATAGAGTTAGTTAATCATCGTCAAAACTGGTTTGACACAAAAATTAATTGTCTTCTTAGACAAGTAAAACGCGAAGGAAAATGCAAACCAGAATCGACTATATATATATTCAACAACTAATTTTAAGGGTAGCGGTAGCTATGATAGTACTAAACTACAAAGAGCAGCGATAACAATATTTATAACAAAAAATATAATAATCTAAATGAGCACAGCGTGTAACGCAATAAATGAAATTGTACTACAGAGAAGAAAATAATATAAAATAAATTTCGAGGATAAGTTTTGTATCTTAAAGTTTTGTTTATTTATTTGTCTGTTTATGTTTCGTCACTGAAATAGAATATATCTATAATTGTATAAATAATGTAAACACAATGCGTTAACGCTTTCTTTTTTTCTGCTGTTTTATTCCAACATTCCGTTTGAATTGTGACTGTGAGTTCTACTAATAAGCCTCGCTATGTGTATCGACGCAGAAATAAAATTCACAAAATTTGGAATTCTTTTTTTTCAACTAGTTGGATTTATACTTTAATGAATAATCAATTGAATATATTATTAAATTGAATACATTAGAATCGTCGATGATAAAATTCATCAGTTGTTATGCATTTATATACTCGTGAAGCGTCTAAATGGAATCTTTCTCATTGATAACATTTGTCCTTTGTACATTTGGCAATATTTTCTATGATTTTATACTAATAATAAAATACAGCAAATTGCACGACAAAAAGAAAAAAAAAGGAAAAGAAGATTGGAATAATAACATTGTACATATAAATGATACACAAAAATTGACGAACAGCCATTATATTGATGGACTGTAGATGCGAGTGTTGGCACATTATATGTACGACATTAATATACAAGACATTTCAAAGAAAAATACATAGATTAATAATCTATCCATAATAATTTCAAAGAATTATTTCCTTTCTCCATATCCCTAATATCACACCTAGTGTTGATTTCATTATCTCATTTTTTCAATACAGTTGCGAACAAACTTGATAAAAAAATTTCAGTTTACCAAATGTTTCCATGTTCTAACTACACATATATTTAGTTTTGATATTTTTTATATAGTTATTAAAAATACTGGAATAAATTATATAGTTTATTCCATTTTCTTTTATTAATAGATCAGTTGCATTTTTTTTAACCAAAATTATTAATGTAATAACATAAAATTACGATGACTTTTAATTTATTTATTTATACAAATTACAAACTGAGCGACGCCAACAGTCATCCTGGTAACTATGATATTAATATTATTTATCGTATTCGTTATTGTTAAAATCATAATGGTCGATTAGGCAAGCGCATCGAAGATGTTGTTGATGTATTTGTGAAAATAGAAATATATTTCAACAATTAATATCTTTGATCAAATAAACTTTGATAAGTATTACATATAGAATGACTTAATAACCGTTTCTATCTATTCTTACATATTAACAAAAGTTTCTGAATTTCTAAAGGCAAAAGTTCTACCAATGATAAATTTCCAATTAAAATACGATTTAATATAACAAAAATTCTTTTAAAAAAATAAAAGATTTAAATTATTATACTAAATGTTTTAAAAATATTTGTCTTTTTAAATTCCCGCTACAATTGTTTTACCAGTTGCCGATAAAACTGACATAGTAACCCTATTTGATATTGACGTAATTCGCCTTCTGTACTATATTACCGTTTGCCGTATACTATATAGTATGCTGTGTATACATCATTGCCCTTTGCTTTGACTTCACCTATTGTTGTTGACATGGACGAGTCCGAAAAGTGATTTCTGAATTGTTTTTGTGTGAAACGCGCAGGCTGTGTTGAACTTTTAAGTTAAATAAATAATTACGACAGACTTGAGAATAATTAAACTTTATAATGTTAAGTCAGGCCATAGTTGATACAATTTACTCAACAAAATTTATCCAAAATTACTTTGACTGCATAGAAAATTTACCACTACAATTGCAACGATATCTTTCACGATTACGAGAGCTGGATGCTACTTGTCAGAGTAAGAATATATTCATACAAAACCCTACTACAGTTTAAACAATGCATTTAATCTTTGTCTTCATCAAAGTGTCAAATATTTTAATCGAAGTAAGCTTCTGCAACTCTTGAGTACAAACGTAAACTATACACAAAAAAAATAACTGAAACTCTTATTAATTATTTAATTTTGTCTATTTGTAAAGTGATATAAGGTTGAAAACTTTGTAACCAATGTCAGTTTTTGTTATTCACACAAATAGTCTACCTTCGAGAAATCGATCAACAACAGGAAGAACTAAGTAATCCAGATATTGACGTCTCAACAAAGTCTCAAGCTCTAAAAAAATTAATGCAGGCACTCATTTACACTCAAGAAATTGGAGATGAAAAACTTCATATAGTGCAAATTATTCAAGATCTTGTAGAAAGTAGAACTAAGCAGTTAGATGTAAATTTTGAACATATAGGTATGTTACAGAGATAATTTACTTACTTCCAAGTACAAAATATATATTCAATTTCTGAATTTTTCTTTTATTCAGATGCTTTAAGAGATCAAGAAAGCAATCAACCAATCAAGGATCCTAGTATAAATACCAATATCAATGCAAATAGTAGTAATAGTAACAATGAGAAATCAGTGAAACGAGTGAGGCGCACCAGAGCTGAAATGGAATCTGCTCAAGCTATGGACCTTGATGCAATGTCTGAAAATCCATCATCTAGTGCTGTAAACTCTTCAAATGGAAACCAAAGGAAAGCAAATGCAACAAACACTAGTAAGAAGAAAAAAAGGAAATCACGTCATGACAGTGTACGTGAAGATACACCACCATTACCTGACGAAGAAATAGATCCAAATGAGCCTACTTATTGTTTATGTGATCAAATTTCTTATGGAGAAATGATTATGTGTGACAATGACTTATGTCCAATAGAATGGTTTCATTTTTCTTGTGTTTCTTTGAGTACAAAGCCTAAAGGTAAATGGTTTTGTCCAAAATGTAGAGGTGATAGACCTAATATTATGAAACCTAAAGCTCAATTCTTAAAAGAATTAGCATTATACAATAAAGAGAAAGAGGAAAAATCGTAATTGGAATAATATTAAATATTATTTTTTAATTTACTTTTCAAATGATCAAGTGAATCTTTTCAATAATAATAAAATTATGTCAAATTGACAATGAATTAAATTAAGTTAGAAAAGTAATGTATTCTATTGGAAACAATTTTCGAAATATTGCATATTAAAATGTATATTATTTCTACAGGTATAATAAAAAACAGTTCAGTTATGCAAAGAAAGTTTTTATATATATACAAATTAAACAAATAAAAAAATTCTTTTTTTAATCATACACGCACACTTTTATTCACACATACGAGCATTTGCAATATTTGCAACCTTTTTTAGCAAACACTTACTGTTAAAATTCTAAGACAAATCACAATGATACGTGGATGTCATTTTCACGTTTCTCCAATAATAATTACATCAGAAATGTAGTACGATTGGCGTCAATTGAGGTATTGAACTATACACCTACAAAAATAAATTATTATTTAAATATTCAATAATTACAATAAAAAATAGTAAAATATTGTTACATTTTTAAAACAGAAAAATAAGGTATTTAAAGTGACTTTACTTTGTTTTTAAAAACAAACTTGTTCACGGCTGTCAATAAGAACTCGAAATATTGACATGATTTTATAAATAAAAAATAAAATTCATTACTTGGGTGTACTGTCAGCGAGGATCTTCTGTTGAACCTGCTTCTTGAAAGTTCAACCAAGACTGTTCAACTACAGTTGCAACTCTCTTTTCATACTCGCGTTTATTTTCTTGATACAACTGGGCAGCTAAAGAATTTGCTGGGGAGTTTGGATTTGGCTCATCCAATAAGGACTGAAACATTTACAAAAAAGATCGAACAAAATTGAATAGAAAATGGTAATTTTTGGAGTGCAAGATATTCATAGAAAAATTGGTAATGAAAGAAAAAAATACAAAAAACTTGGAGTAAAAATTGAAATTATGCTTTTTATTATATATATTTGTAATGTATATTTTTCATATGTATAAGTGAATGAATTTTCCTGTACTATAAAAGTACTATAATAATTTTACTCATAATAGCAATAGCAATCATAATAATGACAATAATTTCAACCATAAGCACAGTTTGTGCTTATTTTACAGTAACATGATAGGGGAGGATCAGCTTGAAAACTCTCTTGGAGTAAAGAAGCCAAAAAGCTACGTAGTATTAACTTTTCAGTTTATTTCATTTATAACTTCTAATACTTTAATAATTGTATAATTACTAGATTAGTTTTTTAGTTTTTTAAAGCTTCTCTTATATCACTTTGCCTCTTCTCTTTTCGCTGACTCTTTCACAATATTCAAATAAATAAATACATAATTTTATATTAATTTATTATACAACTTTGTAAAAATTTGATCTTATATAGCTGCATATTCGTATAAGTTTTGGGGTAGTCCTTATTTCATGAAAAATGTATGCGTCTTAGCTTCCAATTCAGCACCAAAATACAAAATAAATATGTATATACAATTTTTACAATCAAAAATTCCAAGTATCAAAAAAGTCACATAAAAACATTATTTACCTGCAGATTGACACTCATGATGAAGTTCGCGTTAAAATCAATCACAAATCCGACTTGTTACTATCGCATGCTCAAATTTGAAATAATATTCTATTTATAATTATTGCCTGTATTTATTAATTTAAAGTTGATAATACAATTTTTCAAAGGGACATAGAATAAAATTATTTTATGCACAAATTTGCGTGTATCGATACTAAACTTTTGTGTTTAAAAAAAAAGAGAAATAAAAACAATAGATAATCTAGAATACATTCATAGTAAACAGAAAACAAGAACTACCCAATTAAGTATAAAGTTCATGGTTGTTTTGTTTGGTGTGTAAAAAAGAGGGAGAGAGAGAGTACAATTTGTGTGATCGAATCAGAGACTTGGGGAGTTGAAATGCTTATAAAAAAACTAAAGCACAAAGGCAATAGCTCCAATTCAATAGCGTGGCACGTTAGCTCTCCTCTCGTCCTCAACACGCCTTGTGTAGCAACTGGTGCTGTAGCTGTTGTCAACTGCCGTTAAGGATACGGTATACTGACAAAACTAAAATTTAAAATTGATGCTTGATACACAGTTGCCCATTAGGATTGCTATATCTTTTGGCTCAGTGGCTTCAGTATAGCGTACCCTTAAGTTGCTGCTCCGACAGCGACGAGCTCTTGCCTCCAACTAATCCACAAAACTCTGCTCCACACAAGCCTTCACTCGCTTCTCGTACTCGCGTCGGTTCTCTTTGTACAGTTGTGCCGCCATTGAGTTGGCGGGTGAATTTGGGTTTGGGTCACTTAACAGCGACTGCAACCACACAAAAGTCGTACTTTTATTTTCCTTTCAATATTAATTTCATCTACTCAGTATCCATATTGTTTCCAGACAAAACAATGACAAAATCTATACTCCACACGACAATTTACATCTAAATTTCTAAGTTTCTCTAATGATAATTAATGATTTCTGAAGATTCATGTATAATCTAATAATTTAAATTCATTGAATTATGAAAATTTTACATCAATACAAATATAAACATTAGAATAGAACTATCATCAAAATTAAAAAGATTTATTGTTATAAACATATGTTCTTTTTAGATTCGGAATTCATCATTAGTATTCAAATAATTATCATGAATCTTCTTGTTCATTTTATCAATTTAACACTTAATTTTTGGTTAATAATGACCTTACACTTAAGGTTAATTTTTGTATTTTAAAAATTTAATCTGAATAAAATGAATTCAATGTATAAGATCCCGACTTTGATAAATTGCAACCGCTGTTAAGCCATGAACAAAAATTTACAAAAATAGCAAGGTTGAGACTAAATGATAATGTTTCAGAAATATATTTTCAAGCTTACCTGTATAGATGTCAAAATTGCAGAGACATCATAAGTAGGACTCCAACGATTTTGCAGAATGTCCAGACAGATTCCACCATCTGCGTAGACATTTGGATGAAACATCTTACTAACAAATCTCACTGTTGGTGGCTTATTAGGATATTCCTCTGTGAATTCTATTGTGAGTTTGAAGGTGCCATCTTCAAAGGGAGTGTCATGTGGTCTACAAAATGAATATTGATTTTTCAAATTCAATACATGTCTATCATTACTTTCATACAATACTTTATTGTATATGTTTATTGATACTTTTTTCTGATTAAAAAATCAGTTGAGTTATCATTGTATATATTCAATTTTCACTATTTGGATCAAACAGTCTTGTCAATAACAGTTTGTTGTATAAGCTTTTCTTCACAACTTCCAGGAGTCATAGTTTGTTATAGAAAATTTAATCAAATATGATAAAACTAATAAATAATATTTGGATAACACTGAATATATAATACATATATTCTATCCAAATACTTGCATTTTTATATAATACCTGGCATATAACTACTCATTGAATTACTTAACAAATTCCAAATGATACCAATCATATGATGACAACTGCTCATCAAAGTATAGCAAGTAAAATACATCAACACTCTTCCTATCAATTTCATTTTAAACACTTGTCTTTAAAGATACCAATGTACAACTCATTCTTCATACTTCCTTTCTCTTAATAGTGTTAACTGCAAGCTACAAGTGGAAAGATTTTCAGTTAGCAGTGTCAACACTTACCCAAATATAACAGCATTCCATATCATAATATTGTTATCAGTGGGTGCACCGGAGACTCCAGTGGGTGGATCTTCCTGTAGCCTGTAACAAAACAAGCAGAAACATCCCAAGATCAAGGCTAGTGTAGTAGAAAACGCAGGAGAAACAGCTTCCCCGTCGCGATACGCAATTCTAATAATAAAACCAACGTCATCAACGAGTGTCTCGTCGTCGTCGTGACTCTGATCAGCCCATCTCTGTCGCACTCTCGAAGACGACGTAGTGTCTCCTCGATAGACTGACAAACTTAAAAGTAATCGCGAATTTTCAAAACAGCAGTAGATAATTTGATTAGGTTATCTGAATGACTTACCTCTTAAAGTCTCGCATGAGTCGCCTTCTGGCTGGGGTCGACATTCCTCGGCACTTAACGACGACGAGGACGAAGACGTATAGGTTTAGCAGCCAAAAGTTCGGCTGTTAGAGAGCGCGCTCACGAATACACAGAGCTCTCGCGTGCACTCTCACGCACTGCTGTCCCCTTTTTTCTGATTTCTCGTCCTCGTCACTCACTCTGGCGTAAAGAACGTCCTTCGGGTGCTGTGTATGATGTGCGCAAAAACGCAGACAAGCAAACAGGTATCCAAGCAGCTCAAAAGAATTAGTGAGAGAGATTAGGAGAAAAAGTTGTGGAGGATGAATCAGTCTTCTTTGGAGACGGGCGATACGCTGCGCGAACTCGACTGCGCACTAGGAGTTCGCGGAGAAGACGGAGCACGTATGCTGCACACACGACGGGTTACTCGGTGGCCTTGTTACTCTCGCGAGACACTGGTGAATTTTGAAGGCTTATTCCAAGACGAGAAAGGGAGAATGGTGCAGTTACTGCCCGTCGTCGTCCGCAACTCTACGAGAACCCGAGCCTTTTGTCAGTGTGTCTGGCTGCTGCTACCGCTGCTGTTGGCGAAGGCCGCCCTGTGTCTGGTTATACCGTTAGTGCTGGTCCCCTCTCTTTCCTTTCTATATCCATCTATCCCTCTCTCACTCACTCGGTTCTTGCAGTCTTATGTACAAGTGTGTGCGTCCGCATGCGCGAAAGAGCTGGATTTATAATTGCTCGTGTGTGGATATATACAACCGTCTTTGCTTGGTAGTTTTTACTTGTGCATGTATGTGTGAATGTATTGTGCTCTTCTGACTGCCTCTCTGTCTCTCATTTGGCGGATTTTGGAAAGTCAAGGTGCGCTCTGACGGCTATATACGCAGAGCAAGATGAATGGTTCTTTGTCTTCTCCGTGTACGAATACGCGTACTGAGCGTTTATTTATGTATGTTCACGCACGTTGCAGAATTTTCTCGAGATTTCACTCGTAGTAGGCAACTTTCTTGCAGGGGATCTTCGCACTTCCCGAATGAAAACGATGACGAGCTGCCTAACTTTTATCGCCTGTTGACCGCTTGCGGAGGGGAAATTCACGCTCGCATGATAGAGCACTTTAATTTACTCCAAAAAACGCAATCTTTATAGTTCATTGGATTATTTAGCTTTCTCAGAATGCATTATCAGCAGATGATGACAATTTTTACTGTAATGATTATGTCGCTGCTATTTTCTAATCTTCAATAATTCGGCGGAGCCTTGTCGAGAGCCCTGGACGATTTTGGAGCATATGTGCTTATAAGTACGTCTTATATACATATATACTTTGTTATATGTATTTTGTTAATTGTAATAACTGATCAGTAATCTAATAATTTTTATATTAAATCAACTGAATTTCCTAATTATAAGAAAAACGTGAAAGACATACCAATAAACTTATCTTAGTTGCTTATTATTTTAATATTTAAAACTGTGAATAATTGATATTAATATTGTCGATTTTATATCAATAGATTTTTTACATAAAAATGCTCATTTTGTATTGAAAAATTACTTTGAAAAATAAATAAATTTAAAAGAAAATAATTATATTCATAAAAAAATAAAGAATAGTTCATGCTTATTATATTCGAATTTCACATTTATGGCCATCGACCTATAACTGCTATAAAGCTTTTTCAACGTGACTTTTAGGGTCTGTCTCCATAGGGCCTGCCTGAGTCCGTCCGAGCCGGCCGAGATTTTTTATGGGCACGCCATCTCTATAATTTCGTGTTCATGCGTTTCTCGTATTGGCTGCGTCCGATCGGGCTCGTTTATGTAAACGCAGCCATTCACTATGAAACTCGCCATTGGATACGAAATTATAGAGATGGCGTGCCCATAAAAAATCTCGGCCGGCTCGGACGGACTCAGGCAGGCCCTATGGAGACAGACCCTTACCGCTCTGTATTCGTTGTGATCTGAATCTGACACTTGGCAGTGACAGTAGTGACGTCGCTGCGCGACCGGACTGTATCGATAGTGACAGTGGTTAATCTTTCTTACTTTCATTTTATATTTTCAAGCATTATTAACTTAACGTTTAAAATTCTCATGTTTAATGTAGTTTTATAGCTTGAAGTTTTCATATACATCTGAAATTACAAAGATACTTAAATATGGGCCCATCAAAACGCTTTAAAAAAGATTCGGGTAACCTACAATTTTTAAACTTAGTTTTAATTATAAAATGTAATGTGGTCTTTTGTTTAAATGTAATTTTCATTTATGTAGAACGTGGAAAATCAAGGAAGAATAAAAAGACAGATGAGGCTGATCCTGAATATGTTATCGATGATGATCTCAATGGTGAAAATATAGACACTGAAGGTATTCCGGATGCAGCCAAAAATGATGTAGAAAAACAAGATGATGGTGTTTTGGAAGATGAGTTTGGAGCCAAAGATTATCGTTCACAAATGATATTAAAGCCTGATAATGCTTCAAGACCATTATGGGTTGTATGTAAAACTTTTCAACTATTTTCATGTTTATTTTATTTAATTACAAATAAGAAGAATTAGGTCTTTATAATGATATCTTACAGGCTCCTAATGGGCACATCTTTTTAGAATCTTTTTCACCAGTGTACAAGCATGCACATGATTTTCTTATAGCTATTTCAGAACCAGTATGTAGGCCAGAACATTTACATGAGGTGAGTTATAATTACTTTTTTTGAACAAATATTAAGAATGTTTTAATTATCCATTGAAATGCATTATATTTTTCAGTATAAGTTAACTGCTTATTCTTTGTATGCTGCTGTAAGCGTTGGATTGCAAACTCATGACATAATTGAATATTTAAAAAGACTGAGTAAAACTAGTATTCCTGATGGTATTATAGAATTCATCAAGTTGTGCACTCTTTCATATGGGAAAGTAAGTTGATGGTATTGATGTTAATTTATAAATTATTTGGCTCATTAATAACCATAAAATTCTTCCATTCATCAGGTCAAACTTGTCTTAAAACACAATAAGTATTTTATTGAATCACCATTCCCAGAAGTATTACAAAAGATGTTGAAAGATCCTGTTATTCAAGAGTGTAGATTAAGAAAAAAATTTTCAGATGAAGTCAAAGACAAAGACGAATTTATTACTAACGTACAAAAAAAAATGAAAGCTCCACAAGTAATTTAAAACTGCAGTTATTTTTGAGATTGTATTTCTTAAGGATAATCATGTGATAATTGATTGATTTTACAGTTTGGAGCAAAGCCACTTCCAGATATATCACAAAATAATCCTTCAGAAATATCAAAATTACCAGGAGATGAAAATACAACTGAAACAATTACTGAAGCTATAGTTCCTGAAGATATTACTAACTTTTATGACAAAATTGATAAAGAAGATGAAGATGAGGAAGAGCAGCATCTAAAAACTGTTAGTTTCGAAGTCAATCAAGAGAAAATTGAAATAATTCAAAAGAGGTGTATTGAATTGGAATATCCTCTACTAGCTGAGTATGATTTTCGAAATGATACTGTCAATCCAGACATCAAGTAAGTCATCTCATTAAAATTGTTAGTGAAAAATTAGAAATCATTTCAACCTTTTTTTCATTGTTTAGTATTGATTTAAAACCTGCAACACTTTTACGCCCTTATCAAGAAAAAAGTTTACGTAAGATGTTTGGTAACGGGAGGGCAAGATCTGGAGTTATTGTATTACCTTGCGGTATGTAGAATAAAAAAATGCCATTTGAATAATGATATTTATGAAACAATAAATTTTACCTGATTATTGGATTATTGTAGGTGCTGGTAAAAGTTTAGTAGGTGTGACAGCCTGTTGCACAGTAAGGAAGCGAGCTTTAGTACTGTGTAATTCAGGTGTTTCAGTAGAACAATGGAAGCAACAATTTAAAATGTGGTCTACTGCCGATGATTCAATGATTTGTCGTTTTACAAGTGAAGCTAAAGATAAACCAATGGGCTGTGGTATTCTAATCACTACATATTCTATGATCACTCATACACAGAAAAGATCATGGGAAGCTGAACAGACAATGAAATGGGTTCAAGATCAAGAGTGGGGAATAATGGTTTTAGATGGTAAATTTTTTTATTTTATAATGTGATAGTAATTAAGAAAATTAATACAACATAATTAAGAAAATTAAACAACTTTCTTTTTTTGTACAGAGGTACACACTATCCCAGCAAAAATGTTTAGAAGAGTATTAACAATTGTTCAGTCTCATTGTAAATTGGGATTAACAGCTACACTTTTGAGAGAGGACGATAAAATTGCTGACTTAAATTTTCTCATTGGACCAAAGCTATATGAGGCCAATTGGTTAGAATTACAAAAAAGAGGATTCATTGCAAGGGTACAGTGTGCAGAAGTTTGGTGTCCAATGACTCCAGAATTTTACAGAGAATATCTTAGCTGTAAGATGAGCAGAAAATTGGTAAAATACTTTGACAATTTTTATGTTGAACATAGAAATCAAGATTTTTAATAATATGATTTTTTCATTTAGTTACTATATGTGATGAACCCAAATAAATTTCGTGCATGTCAGTATTTAATTCGTTATCATGAAAGACGTGGTGATAAGACTATTGTTTTCTCAGATAATGTGTTTGCATTGAAACATTATGCTCTGAAAATGGGCAAACCTTTTATTTACGGCCCCACTGCTCAGGTACATAAGTAAACTATTGCATCCTTTTTCCAAATATATAAATTAAATTTTATATAGCTTAACTAATAATATTTAATTTTTTTATAGCATGAGAGAATAAAAATTTTGCAAAACTTCAAATACAATGCTGTTATTAATACAATTTTTGTCAGTAAAGTAGCAGATACATCGTTTGATTTGCCAGAGGCTAATGTTTTGATTCAAATTTCTTCACACGGTGGCTCACGACGACAAGAAGCTCAGCGATTAGGTCGTATTCTTCGAGCTAAAAAAGGTAGTACACGTATCAAAATGTTAATATTTTTGTTTATTAGCTTCATTACAAATCTTATGATTATATTTATAAACATCGTAGGTGCTGTTGCCGAAGAGTACAATGCATTCTTCTACACATTAGTATCTCAAGACACAATGGAAATGAATTACTCCAGAAAAAGACAACGGTTTCTGGTCAACCAAGGATATGCATATAAAGTTATCACAAAGCTTGCTGGAATAGAAAATGTAAGCATGAATTCAGTTACAAGGAAATATTATGAGATCTTGTGCAGTCGCTAATAAAGATGAATAAAGTATTCTTGTTATCTTATCAAAGGAACCGGATATGCAGTACAATACGAGGGAAGAACAAGGTGCACTTTTGCAACAAGTTTTATCTGCTAGTGACATGGACGCGGACGAGGAAAGAATTCCCGGCGAAGGCTCTCGATCGGTATAGAATCATTACGTTACATTTTTACTGCATACACTATAAAATATTAAGTTTTTTCAAACAAATGTTGAACTTTTTCAGACAACTCGCAGACCTGGAAATATAGCATCGTTATCTGGAGCAGACGATGCTGTTTATTATGAGTACAAAAGATCTGCTTCTACAGCGAATAAACATCCTTTATTCAAAAAGTTTAGAACTTAGCTAATCGATAAAAGTTAATTCGTTATTCCTGTAAATATGTTTTTTTGCAATCTTGTTTGTTTCTATGAATAAAATCGGAAAAAGTCGGAATAAAATGACATATTTATTACTGCCATAGATTTTTATATTTACTTAAACCCATCACAAAATTTAAACTTTAAATGCTTTATTGAAATTTTTTTCTACAAAGATTAGGAACTTTAACTACTTATTTAAAGTATATTTAGTTGAGAACTGAGTTCAACAAACATTTATTTTGTTAGGTAAAAATCATTCTAATCAATAATTTAAAAAATCGACAGTTGAAAACAATTTTATTAATTGTTGATCTTCTAAATTGTAAAATTCTTCATTCATTTATTTACAAAGTCTTAAAATACTCATCACATTATCAAACAAATATACACACATTTTGATATTACACTTATAAAATGGAATGTAATCAATTAAAAGCACTTAAAGTGTTTTATATTTTTTTGCTTATTTATGTTACGGTGAAAAATATTTGTATGTTAATTAAAAATACTATGCACAATAATATTAGGGTTTGATTAAATACTTTATTTGAAATTTGTTTTTCATATTTTACAATGAGCAAATGTCATCGTTTGAAGCGTCGTCGTTGTATTTTGGTCAATGAAGGTCTCTGTTTGACTTATATTAGAACGTCATTCAAGAACTCATTATACTGTGTATTATTTATGTAAAAACTGTTTAACCCTTTGACGCTCATCAATTTTTCAAGCTCTTCATTAAAATGACTTTTCATTTAACTAATTCCGATGTTCGTCATTTAAATTAAACTTACAGTAAGTATAACTAAACTAAACAATGTAAACATGTAAACGATGCTTTATTCTTTATATACAAATTTTGATTATATATATATTATACTAAAAGGGAGGCTTCGCCCCTGCTCACTTCACTCGCCAACCATCAAAATCGAGTTAAGTATAGTTGGAAAAAGATAAAAAAGACTCAATAATTCTGCAATCTCCAGCTATATAAGATAAATGATAAATATGAAAGAATAGAAATCAAAACGTTTTAAAATATTAGTTTTCAGAATCTCTGAAATTAACTGATTTTGACATATTTTTATTAAATTATGACCGAAATTGTCGTGGCAATAAACAGTTTTATAATAATCTAATTTTGATTTAATATGCATGTCATATGATCGATCGCCTTAGCCGACATTTTTCTCAGACAACTTTGCTTAAGTTATAATGAATAAAAAATATTATCGAAAATAATTATATTGTCGACATTGTCCCATTAATCGACATCTTTCGCAAATGAATTGAATTTATTTCAAAAGAATATTTTAATAAAATTTGTTATTAGTAATAGAATTTTCGTAATTAATTGCGCATAAAAGCTTTCTAGTCCAAAATTAATTAATGTATTTCCATTATTATTATTATTATTATTTCAATAGAATTGAAAATTATTATTTTTACTTTACGTTCCGTATTATTCTGATTTTTTGCCTTGTTTTATATTACCCTTATAATTCAAAATTTTTATTCCTAAATTATATATATTATATAAATTATATGTATATACCATCATTTCTTGTTCCATGAAACAAATTAGGTCTGTTTTTACTTGTATTTTTAAACTCGTTTCTGACATAGCCTTCTGTCTCTAAACATGTAATTCCATCATAAATATATATTACAATTATATTAATGTATAACATTACATATGGGTTATTTATTTATATAATTATTTTTAGACCATATTTTGTCGAAAGTTGAAACTATTAATGTATCATCCACTTGCATATGTGTGCTCATATTGTATACAGTATAGTCGTATCGTGATTAAAAAAACCTGATATCAAAAAACATTGGATTATACATATTAAAAAAAAATCAAATTCAAACAATTTTTGAACATCAAAATCCTTAGTAGGTATAGCAATAAAATCCCTAAGATTTCTCTTTTATGACAGAGGTGACACGGTAACATCCTTGCATTATGACAGTCAACTTAAAATGATCAATTCAACGCGCGCGGTAGTATGCAGAGTATGACGCCGCAGCAGACGCGACGCCGGACGCGACATGGATAAACATGACGCGACGCGGTCAGCACGATTTCAGGTTATGTATAGAGCATAAATGTGTGGATTGAATAGCCAAAAATGCAACCGTGTACAACACACCACCCTAAATAAGGATCTCTGGATTTATTTCTTGCTAAGTTAGTGGTAGCAGTGATATCTTAAAGTGGTGTAATTTAGTGTATGTAAAACTGTCTTCAGTTTAGGTGTATAAGTGTACTGTTGTCCGTCGCCGTGTCGAGCGAATTGCTGTTGCTGTTTTCTCGTCTCGGCGAAGATTTTCATCTTCAAGATTTACTGGGTAGCTTTAAAACTCGTCCGTCGCTTCATAGCAGTTAAAAACAGCCAGCACCATGGCTGACTTCCTAGACTCGGAAGCTGAAGAAAGCGAGGTCAGTTTTACAATAATATTCTTCTCATTTTGGTTTCTGCTGCGATACACTCTTTGACCTCAATGACGTTTAAAATAAACAAATTTTCCACTGTTTTCGTCAAGTTGTTTGAAGTACATTACGTTGCATTTGCTTGCTTTACACTTCATTTTTATTTATTGAAAATCACAATATGACAGAACGTCGAAATGAGGAAAAAAGTTTCGTTCATCTTGATTTCAACATGGAGTACCTAAGTAGTTGGATTGAATGGATAATTGATGCTGACTTACTTTTTAGCTGCAATTTTTTCGATTTAACTTTTGATTTACCCATTAGTCGTTTTTGATATCAGTTTAGTTTATCTTTTAGTAATTTTTAAAAGACCATCTACAATGAATCACTAATTTGTAATAAGATAAATACTACAAAATTAACCTATAAAACCATATTTGACTTCTACAACCTTCCAAAGATTAAACTCACCTAATATGAATTGGAATTATCTGTTAAAATTCATTTTTTTATTTGAAGTTGCCCCCATAGCACTAATAATTTTACTAGCTGTATGGGTAACAGCTTATACCTATTACTAAAGCTATTGTATTTAAAAATATGTCCAAAAAAGAAACAATCAACAAGTATTAATATGTATACGCATATTCTTAAAGTAAATACATCTACAACTTATTAGAGTTTCAATATTGAAAGCATGAAACGTTTTCTCTTATTACATTGTCAAACTAAAACTATTACATTTTTAATTTATGTAAAAGACAGCTGATATTGAATTAATACATGTTGCAGGATGAGATGCTTGATAAAAATGACAAAAAAAGACTAAAGAAAATCCAAGATTCAGAAAGTGAAGAAGAAGGTTAATAAATAATCTGAAATTATTATTTTATTTTTAATGTAAAGTTATATAATGATAAATATACTTGATTTCTAATATATTTAGATGATGAGGAGAAGTTGCGTGAAGAGTTAAAAGACTTGATTGATGATAATCCTATTGAGGAAGAAAGTGATGGGGATGACAGTGATGCATCGCAAAATTCCAAGAAACGTAAAAAAAGCGATGATGAAGATTTTGATGATCGTTTAGATGATGAAGACTATGATGTTATTGAAGAAAATTTAGGTGTAAAAGTTGAAAGAGTAAGTTGAAATTTTATATATAATTTATTTGTTGAATTATTAAATTGAAAGTATATGATCATTTAAATATTATTATTCACAGAAAAGATTTAAACGTTTAAAAAGAATTGATGATGAAGAATCTGAAGATGAAGGACAAGATCAGGAAGCTGAGCAGGACAGAGATGCTATTGCTAATGAATTGTTTGATGGAGGATCTGGTGATGTAAGTATTACTTTTCATTAAAATTCTTTTATATTTTGTAAAAGCTTTCATGATGAGGAGAAGTATTATATTATATTTATGCTAATCCATGCTAGGAAAGGGATGCACTAGTGGTATGTCTTGCACTTGCACTAATTTAGAATGTTGTTATTTTCTAACTATAATTTTTAGCCAACATATATTTAAAAACATAATTTATCTACAGGAAGATGAAAGAAGTGAACGCAGCCATAGACCAGTGGCTGAAACTTATGATGATGTAGGAAGTGAAGAGGAGTCAGATGCTGATGATTTTATTGTTGATGATGATGGCGAACCAATTCGTAAACCTGGTCCAAGGAAAAAGCACATTTTTAATGATGTGTAAGTCAAATATTATAAATATTTCTCATAAATACTATCTATCGCTACTGTAACTGAAATTTACAGGGCATTACAAGAAGCTCAAGATATTTTTGGTATTGATTTTGATTATGATGAATTTGAGAAATATGGTGATGATTATGAGGAAGATGAAGAAGAAGAGGAGGAGGATGAATATGCAGAAGATGATGATGCAGAACGTCTCAAAAAGACAAAAAAAGCAGCTAAGAAGAAAGCTACAAAAAAAAGTATTTTTGAAATTTATGAACCTAGTGAGTTGAAACGTGGCCATTTCACTGATTTAGATAATGAGGTAATTTTAATTTAATTTGAATATAGTATTTTTTTATTTTATTGCTATTTCGATATTTTCACGAAATTTTATTGTTAATTTATGTTAGATACGTACAACCGATATTCCTGAGCGAATGCAACTTAGATCTGTACCAGTGACTCTTGCCTCAGAAGAAGAGCTTACAACAGAAGCACAGTGGATCTATAATCAAGCATTTGAACGCAAGACTGTTTCCATACAAGATGCTCATTTAAACGCAGAAGCTAAAGAGCGCGCCAGAAAAGGGCCCCAAGCGGTATCTAAAATCAAAAAGGCTCTTGACTTCATGAGAAATCAGCATTTCGAAGTTCCATTTATCTCTTTCTATCGAAAAGAATACGTTCTACCAGAATTGAATATCAACGATCTTTGGAAAATTTACAAATACGACGCCAAGTGGTGCCAACTACGTCAACGCAAAGAAGCTCTACTTGTTCTTTTTCGAAAAATGAAGCGTTACCAAGAAGATCATATTATGAAAGATATAGATGCGCCTCTTCCAGAAAACATGAGACTAATAGAAGATGAGGATATTAAACAACTTGAGAATGTACAGACAACTGAAGAATTAAACGACTCTTATCATCATTTCATGTTATATTATAGCCATGAAATACCAAAAATGCAAGAGATTGTTAGGAAACAGGAAAAAGAAAAACGGCACTTGGAAAGAATAGCTAGACGAAAACAGCAAATAACTGAGGCAGAGGAGAACGGAGAAGAGCCACCACCCGAAGAACCTGAAGATGTGGAAGAAGAAGAGAATGATGAGACATTAAAACAAGCTGTTCGTACTGGTCCTTATTCCATTTGCCGCAGAGCTGGGTTAGACAGTTTAGCCAAGAAGTTTGGTTTACCACCAGAACAGTTTGCTAAAAATCTCAGCGAAGAGTACCAGATTTACGAGGTTGACCAAGAACCGACTGAGCCGAATGTCGTTGCTGCAGAGTTTATCAATGAAAAGTTCTCAACTACGGAAGAAGTGCGTATTGAATTTTCTTTAATATTGTCAATATTATTGATTAAATATGAATAAAAATTTCAGGTACTTAAAGCTGCACAACTGATGGTAGCTATGCAAATAGCAAGAGAACCTTTGGTTAGAGAATCGGTTAGAAAAATGTACAAAGAGAAGGCAAAGATCTCTGTGCGGCCAACGAAGAAAGGTATCAAGATTATTGATGAAAATCATCCTATCTATACTATGAAATACGTGAAAGGCAAGCCTGTAAGAGACCTTGTAGGAGATCAGTATTTGAAACTTGCAATGGCACAAGATGATAAATTAATCACAATAAGCTTTTCCGATCAAATTGAAGGAAATACGACCAATAACTACGTAGAACAAATGAAACAACTTTACTACAGGTTCGTATAATGGTCTAATTCATATCTTCTCATAAAAAATGTTTTTATGATTGCTTATATCTAACGAATGAAACAATTTTTTCATAGAGATGAATTCAGTAAAAACGTTCAAGAATGGAATGACCTTCGCGTGGGAAGTGTAGAAATGGCTTTGACGAAAATGGTCATACCAGACCTGAAAAAGGAGCTGCATTCGATATTGTTGACTGAAGCCAAGGACTGTGTAATGCGATCATGCGCTCGCAAAATGTATAATTGGATAAAAATTGCACCGTACAGTTGTGAATACCCCGACGAAGAAGACGAAGAATGGGATACCACGAAAGGTATTCGCGTTATGGGCTTAGCTTATGTATCAGATTTTTCAGTGGCAGCGTTTGCATGTATGATTGCCCCTGACGGCGAGTGTACTGACTATTTGAAATTACCGCACATTCTTAAAAGAAAGAACAGTTTTCGAGAATCCGATAAAGTCATGAAGGAGGCCGATCTTTTGGCAATCAAAAATTTCATTGCAACAAAGAAACCTCATACAGTTGTGATTGGAGGAGAATCCAGAGATGCACTGATGATCGCGGAAGATGTTAAAGAAGTGATCGCAAGTTTGGTTGCAGACGAACAGTTTCCAAATATTGGTGTAGAGATCATGGATAACGAACTTGCGGCTATTTACTCCAACAGTCATAAAGGTATCTCTGAATTCAGAGACTATCCGGAACTTTTGCGTCAAGCAATTTCACTAGCGCGTCGTTTACAAGACCCATTAGTCGAATTTTCGCAATTGTGCAACGCCGATGATGAAATTCTTTGTCTAAAATTCCATAGCTTACAAGACCAACTACCCAAAGAAGATTTGCTTGAAAATATTTGTTTAGAATTTGTAAATCGAGTAAACGAAGTTGGCGTTGATGTTAACAAAGCTGTGCAACAGCCTTACTCGGGTAATCTTGTGCAATTTGTGGCTGGTTTAGGCCCGAGGAAGGGACAGTATCTAATGAAGACTCTGAAGCAGACAAATCAACGACTGGAAAACCGTACGCAGGTAAACAATTTTACGAATCTTGACGAAATTCAATGATATTAATTTCGAGTTTTTGTAGCTCGTTACATTGTGTCACATGGGGCCCAAAGTGTTTATTAACTGCGCGGGTTTCATTAAAATCGATACAAATAGTTTGGGTGACAGCACGGAAGCCTATGTCGAAGTTCTCGATGGGTCACGTGTTCATCCTGAAACGTACGAGTGGGCGAGGAAAATGGCTGTGGACGCGTTGGAATATGAAGATGAAGAAACAAATCCTGCGGGTGCGTTAGAAGAGATTCTTGAGTCTCCTGAAAGATTGAAAGATTTGGATCTTGATGCATTTGCCGAAGAACTTGAGAGACAGGGCTTCGGAAATAAATGTATCACGCTCTACGATATTCGTTCAGAGCTCAATTGTAGGCATGTATCTCAATTTTATCATAAGAAACTGTTCAGAAAAATTCATTCAATTTATCGATTGATTTTTAGATACAAAGATTTGCGAATTCCATACCAATCCGCGACACCCGACAAACTTTTTGATATCCTTACAAAGGAAACTCCAGAAACCTTTCACATTGGTAAGCTCCTTGAAGCTACAGTCGTAGGAATCAGCTATAAGAAACCCAAAGGCGAGCAATTAGATCAAGCCAATCCTGTACGTAATGATGACACTGGTTTATGGCAGTGTCCATTCTGTTTGAAAAATGAGTTTCCCGAGCTCTCGGAGGTATGGAATCATTTTGACGCCGGTGCCTGTCCAGGAAAAGCAACTGGTATTAGATTACGTCTAGACAATGGAATATCCGGTTATATTCACATTAAGAATTTATCAGATAAACATGTTGTCAATCCAGAGGAAAGAGTTCGTATAGGTCATCGAATTCACTGTCGGATCATTAAAATTGAAACCGATAGGTTTGGCGTTGAGGCTACCAGTAAAAGTAGCGATTTGGCCGATAAAAATAATGAATGGAGGTGAGTTCAAAGTTATTTATATCAATTTATCGTAGCACAACTTGATTTTTAGTTCCCTTGCTAATCTTTCACTTTATATTTATGATAGGCCGCCAAAAGATCCTTACTACGATAATGAAACCGAAGGCAAAGACAATTTAGTCGAAGAAGAGGCAAAGAAGACAAAACAAAGACAAATTTATGTAACTCGCGTAATCATTCATCCATCGTTCAAAAATATCACATACGCTGACGCGGAGAAGCTGATGCAGAGTATGCAACAGGGTGAGGTAATAATTCGTCCCTCGAGTAAAGGAGACGATCACTTGACTGTCACGTGGAAGGTCACCGACGACGTGCACCAACACATCGATGTTCGCGAGGAAGGCAAAGAAAACAAATACTCGCTTGGGCGTAGTTTGTGGATCGGCAATGAAGAATTTGAAGATCTCGATGAAATCATTGCTAGGCATATCAATCCTATGGCTGCATATGCTTCCGAGCTTTTGGAATTTAAATACTTCAAACCACATGTTATGGGTATGAAAGACAAAGCGGAAGAGATACTTAAAGAATCAAAGAGAGAAAATCCTGGTGGCATTCCTTATGTCGTTTCTGCAGCTAAGGTAATGACAATATTTCTTATCAACTTTTGTCTGAATCGTTTTTCATGAATAATTTTTCTACAGAATTATCCTGGAAAATTCATGCTATCTTATCTTCCTCGTACGCGATGTCGCCACGAGTACATTTCCGTAACTCCAGATGGTTTTAAATTTAGAGGTAATAGTTTTTCTCGAGTGGGTGATCTGTTCCGTTGGTTCAAGGAACATTTTAGGGATCCGATTCCTGGTCAAGCTACTCCAAGTACACCGAGAGTGTACCACACTACACCTGGCATGAACATGAATGGTGAGTCTACTAAAAATTCATCGTTTACTCAGGCTTGCATACTTGGTTATCTACTTAAACCTTTGTTTTAATTTCGATAGGAATGAATCAAGAAACTATACAGGCAGTTGCTCGACAATTGCCCCGTGCAGTCATGCACTCGTTATCACAAGTGGCGAACCATACTCCGCACTATCCACAAACACCAGGCGCTGCCAGTACCGCCACTGGTTATGGTATACATGGTACTCCATATGCTATCAATACACCGTATACACCGTCCGGGCAGACGCCCTACATAACTCCTTATCAAACACCTGCTAATCCGACACCTCGTTACGGAGAATCAACTCCTAGTAGTCACAACATGTCTGGACACCAATTCACTGGAGTTAATGAAGCCGATTGGAGGAGAGCTGCTGAAGCTTGGGCCAGACATACTTCAAGACCGGGGTAAGTTATTGATTCTCTTTTATTTATAGTTATCTAAATTGTGCAAATTGATATAAAGTTTTTAAAGTTGTTATCAAATTGAGATAGTAGGATTGTTTTTTAATGAATAAGATAACTAAATAGGCCCCTATTCTTTTCTTTCAGAACCAATCAAGGAACTCCACACACAAATTCCAGTCCAAGAAGTATGTCACTAAGTGGAGATGGTACGCCTTTGTACGACGAAAGCCTCTAATTATGTAATTAGTTTCATTGTATTTATGTAAATGACATTATAATTATATGAGTGAGAATTCGTAGCTTGCTTAAAGAGATTTTTACGTTTTTTAAAAAAACTACACACTCGTAAGCTTGTAAGTACGAATTCTTTTACAAAAAAGTGTAAAAAAAATTTGTGTTAAAAAGAATTTTTTCAAATAAAATTTGGAAATGTAGCTTGCTTGATACTCGTTGCAAGTATGGTACATTAAGTTAATTTGTTTATTTATAATTGGTTTTTCCGAGTCCTTTTATGCAAAGCTACTCATTAATTGAAGCGGTTTTTGTGTTATGTTTGTGTAAATTGTAGAATTTACAAAAGATAATAAAAATATGTATGTATGGGTGCAATTGTGGAAAAGTTTATTGAAATGAAATTTTTGAAAATATCACTGACACATTTAAATAAAGAAATTATGCTTAAAATATAAAATAGTACTTTTCAATAAGTGTGAGAAAATGATTTGAATTTTATGTGGACATTTGCGTCCGAGCAACGAGGGTCAGGAGGCCACACGAGAATAAAGTCACTCTCTCAGACACATGTATCTAACTTGATTTTACGATACGAGATTTGAAACACGTTTGCTTTCTTGAGCATGTGTAAATCTAGTTCTCGGACACAAAGTATCAAAAATTAAATTTTATTATTTACCATAACATGTACTCTTAAGAGTATTTATAGGTACAATGTTTTATACAACTAGCGTTGACATATTGTTTACAATTACATTAGAATGGACTTTAATCACTGATTTGTATGTACACTTCATTCTTATTGTAAAAAATTCTTTCGTCGAAATATTTCATAATTGTTTTTACCAAAATTAACACAATAATTAATTATTATAAATAAGATATAATCTAAAAATAAAATCTCTTTATACAAAAGTAATTACTTAAATAATTGTCAACCGGAAATTGATTCATCTTTCTCTATATATATATACATATAAAATAAACAAAATTAAAGATCATTTGCCTTTCAATTTTTCTCACTTCATTACAGAGACTTGATCATCCGATAATATATCAGTTTCGTGATCCTCCTTGTCATAGCTCCATTCATATTTTGGTGACGTTTGCTTTGAGGAACGCATTCTCGATTGTTGTGGTAAATTTCTATAATTTATGATGCAGTTATAATTATACCAATAGCAAATCATTATAGAAGTATGATAATTACTTTTTAATCATTTTTTGGCTGCTTTCCTGACCTTTTTTAATTTCTTTTCTGATCTCTCTACTTGCTAATTGATCTAACTGAATTTCGTTTGGTGATTTTCTAAACTTAATATTTAATTATATTATTAAAAATCAACCTTCAATTAAATTTTTAGAAAATTATAAATCTTCCTAGTGCAATACTTTACCTTTTCACGTTTCTGATCTGGGCTATGATCTTCACTTGACGAGTACGTTAATTGCTGAATGAAACGTCTTTTCATTGGAAAATGTATCTCTTCTAAATCTGATGAATTTCCTATAGTTTTTGAAGGCTTTGAGCTCATACTGCCTTTTGAATTAGTATCTTTTTTAGTATTACTACGTAGTGTTCTTTTTTCGCTCAGAGGCTGGTACAAACAATTGAGAAATTATTTGATAGATTATTATAATTGAACACTAAGTTGTGTTATGTAATAAAAAAAGTAAACGTACTGAAGTTTTTTTGCCCCTATTGATTTTTAATGGTAAAACATTTTCTTTCATATTTCCTGGATTATATGTGACTTCAGTCTCTTTTTTCACCAATCTTTCTCCTGAAATCCAAATTACAATATGGTTTTTCATTTTTATTAGAAATTGTTTCCGTGCACATAATACCATTCCAATAGATCAAAGAAGGGATCATGAGGCGACCTCGCTTGCTTGTCCGTAAGTTAAAAAGATTGATTGAAACGTTATGCAAATTGTCTGGCTTAATTGATTCACGTTCCTCTAGAACTTTGAAAAAGCTTTGATTATTTTTTAAAAGCTTTTATTCGGAGTGCGTTTTTATCATAAGCCAATCAATATTATTTATAGTTAACAATGTGAATAATAATAAGTATATAAAAGTATTTATGGAATAAAATTTAATGAATTGTCATATTTCTAGAAAATTTTAATTTAAGATCATAATTTAATCTTTTTTGTATAGATAATATGAAAATATACCTGATGAAAATTTTTTCCAATCTACACAAAATTCTTTGATTTTTGCAGGACATCCAGTGCTACAATGTTTCAGCAATTCTTTTGGTACAACTGATATATAAATGACCATTTTATCACTTGAATCTTACTGCATTTTCAAAAATTAAAATATAAAACAAATTTTACCGTGTTTCGTATCACTGATGTCTCCAACTAACATAAAGTATTCATTTTCTTCAGTTTCTACCAGTTTTAAAGAATGCCTTCGTACAATTGGATTTGTTACAAACTTCCTATGAAGAATATGCCCGCGTTCGCTACAATTTATAACATTATATTATATAACACAATATTTGTCAACGCATCCATGAGTTTTATTCTTACTCTACCATGTATTCTAGAAATAAAACTTACTTGAGAAGTTTTCCTGCAAACTGTAAACTAAGTTTATTGTTACTTTCATCATAATCTACATACGGAACCCAAGATATTAGCGACTTTGGATTGCTCTTTGAGCCAAAAGCTTCACTTTGATCGGTTTTGCTACTCATCGCTGAATTTTTAGTTTCTAGTGATGTATTTTTTTCTGTTAACAATTTTTTTTTATTATCTTGTTTAGCTAGCATATCTTCTGAATTTTCTTTATTCTTTTCAATTGAGCTGATTTTTCTATCTTTTATTTTATCACTTGAACTTGACATTGTGGATGGTAACTATTTTCAATAATGTGGTCAATAAGTTAACAATTTGGTTTTTATATAAATTGATTTTGAATAAATTTTTTGAAAAAAAATGCCAGTCAATACTGGCACACTCAAACTGAGTCTTACCTTAATTTGCATTTGAGCTTCTTTTTCATTGAGATAATCTTCTGAATCATAAGAAAGTAAAGGTTGCTTTAATATATCTTTCTGTAACTTCTCTTGCAGCTTATCTACATTTTCATTTCGATTTTTATGTTTAAAATTCAAACCATCCTGAAATATCAAGAAACAAATTGTTATCATGTTTTGAATTGAAACTTTTTAAACTTAATAATTATATCTTACGTTGGCTTTTACAGCAACATTTTCAGAAAGTATAGTAATATCAAGTGGAATAGTACTAGGTTTGCTTATTTTTTGTGATGTTACCAATTTATAATGAACTGGTTCACAACTTTTGATTACTGGTTTTTGTTTTTCTATTAAATTTGACACTAATTTATCCGAACCTGAACACAAATTTGACTTATAATTCATGATATTTACATTTTCATTTCCCTTTTCAATAAAATCAAAAGCTAAAAGATAGATAATAATAGATATTCAAAGTGATTTTCGATATCTGAAAAATTAAGTTACCTTTCTCATAGTTTCGCAACTTTGTGTCAAGATTTACATGTTTAGAATACGGTTGTTTAAAATGATTATCTTGCATTTCATGTTTTTTTCTTTCAGACTCATCTTCTGTGATACTAATACTAGAATCGTCAAATTGTAGAGATTTTATATTTGAAACAGGAATCATTTTAACTTCAATTTGGTCATTTTTTCTGACATCATTTCTTTCTCTATTGTGATTTTTTTTATCTTTATACCTTTGAAATCTTGGAGATTTGGGTTGTATTAGGCGATTAATGGGTATATGTGGAACACCCATGCAACTATCACTATCTGAAGAGTTATGAGCTGATTCAATTTCATTGTGAAGATTTGACTGTTTCAAACTTTCAATAATAGGACTATGTTCTGCTTGGTCATTTATTTTAGAAAAATTCTTATTGACATTGTCACTTTTTATGCATTCACTTTTATTCTTAAGTTTCACTAAACTATCTTCATGACTTGATTCTGCAAGCGATACGGTACTATTGTTACACTTTTCACATACTTGAATTTGAGATCTAGATAGAGATAAATCTTTTTTTTTACAATCTATTCCACAATTATCTGGAGTGTACGACAAGATATACCTTAACAAGTCACTTAACTCAATTAATTTATCAAGATATTCAGGAGAACAGTTTTCATTACCAAGGTTTGACATTATAATACGTAATTTTTCTTCTTTAATTATTTGTGATAAAAAACTTGCATTCTTCAAATTGGTATTAGAAAGATGATTAGCACAAGGTTCTTGTGTAACATGTTGAACTTCATGTTCAGTATTACAAATATTTGAATCTCTTATCTCAGAAGAATGACCAGAATCTTCTACACTTATATTATCAACTTGAAGCTTATTGTAATTTTCATTATTGAACTTATCTACAATTGTTTTTTCAGAATTAAAATTATTGTTTGACTGAGTTCTAGAATGATAACCTAACGATGAACTATTATTTACAACAATTTTAGGATCTTGCCCTATGTATTCAATTCGGTTACTTTTAAAACAGGAAAAATCAGTAATTTCACTGTACAAATCATCATCACTGTCAGTAATAGGTGTAGGCCATCGAAAAGTTTCTTTGCATCCTTTAGATACATAAGCAGTCCATAATTGATAAACATTTTCCCAATCATCTGGAAATCCATTATAAAATTTCCCTCTAACATAATCAGGTAGTTCTATAAGAATGTAATCATATTATTTTCATTATAAAAAAATCAAATATTAGACAATATTACAAGATATTATTAATAAAAGTTTACCTTCTTTTTCATCACTTATAGGACCATTCAAAATATAAGTATGTTTATATATAGACCTTACTATTGCACTGGACAGTCTGTGAGCAACAGGCTTGCTTCTAGCTATTTTACCACTTGATAAAAAATGACTTTTATTATTTTTTAACACCTAACATAATTTATTAGAGAAAACAAATATCATACCAATCTAATATTCCTTTTATTATAAGCTGTCCTTGAGCATTTAAAAGTACTTTCCAACGATAAAATGTTCTGCTGTGACTGAAATTTTGTAAACTATTGAAGTTCTCTTCTTGATAAGATGAACAAGATGTAGCTGATGATATTTTTGTACAAGAATCATGAGATTCAACCTGCTCATTCTGCTTTGTATTTAACGTAGATAATCTCCTTGTACTAGTAGAAATAATGTTAGTGGATGGTGGTGGCATAATAGCTCGATCATTGTCATAATCTTTAATTGTAAAGTGTTTTATGCTTGATGTAGCCATTGGCAATCGCTCAACAGACTTTTGAGTTGGAAAAACTTTGTGTAAATTGGAACTAGATGCAATTACTTCACTCTCAACCTTTGAAACTTGTAAGCCATGTGCACAACTTGAATCAAGATTATCTGTAGTAATACTTGACAAACTAGGCCAAGTAGGAGATGTGCACTGATCTTTATTAATGTCTGCTTTCAACCTTTCCAAACGTTTAAAATATTCCAATCTCAAATCTCTTTCAAGTCTTTTGTATCGTTCTTCTTTTTTCAGGTCTCCAAATTTGATCTAAAGTAACATTAAAGATTAGATATTAAAAATATGTAAAAGTACATATATTGAATAATATGTTAAAGGATAACTGAAGGAAAGTACACAATGATGTTTGATGTTGGTACACATGATAATTGTATATATAATTGATTGATACATTTAGAAGCATAATATAGAGGTTTTTCAATGATTCCATAAACAATATTTCTAACAGGAATAACATTGGTAAATCTTTTAGTCTTGCATTGCTTATTAAAAAATGTGGAAGAATTTACTTATAATTACAAAAAACAAATAAAAGTGAGTGTATTTAACATTAAAATCTCACCCCTGTTGAATTATCGGTCGAAATATCCATTGATTAAAAATTTTTTGTTATTTTAAGTTTCTAAAGTGATTTTAATGCACTTTTATATGCACAGTGCATTTTACAGTTAAGGGTTATCTGACTACGTAAATAAATCGTTGCTTCGACGCTGCATGTATGTATATTTTTACGCGCCAAATGCAGTGTTGCCAAACTCGTATGGAAGAGCCATATCCCATCAATGAATCAATCTGACCATCACTAATATCCATTCTCCATTTTTGAGTAACAATGAGCAATTTTGCCACTAAAAAAAATTTTCTTAGAATCCCTAGAAATAATTCTATGCTTATTCTATGTATGTACATAATATAATGCAATAATTTCTAGGAATCCTGAGAAAAATATTTAGGACTACGAAGTTCCCCCCCCCCCCCCCATTTTTAAGGAAAATTAGCAACGAAAAAGAAAAACGGCATTAATTGCCCTATTTGTCGCTGATATAAGTGCTGATTTCCCTTTTTCGATTACTTACTGGGAAATATGTGATAATTCCAATTTTCCAATCACCTAATAGCTATTATCTAGATGATTTGTTGATGAATTTTTGCCGGTAAAAATTTATTAAAATAATAAAAAGGAATTTTTGTTCGCCTCCATTCGCTTTTTCAATAAATTAAAAAGCGGAAAAAAGAACTCAGTCCATATTTTGCTCTTCCATATTCTGACGAAGTTCCTAGTTAACGGCGCGCAGCTGTTTGGTTATGAATAAAAAGAACGTCATTTCATCAGCGGTACATCGAAAAACAAGAACAAAGGGAGTTACATTAAATCTGTAGCGGTCGAAGTTCAGCAGCTGCTGCTATCTTCGGGTCATGACCGTCGACGTAAACAGTCTCTATGGGATCCCACGTGGGTATTCCCAACCAGGTACTGATTAAAAAGTTAGTTTAAGGGTGAAGACTCTTAGGGAGACTAATCCTTTTCCCCCTAAAGTCTCCCTAAGACCATTAAGCCCACGAACGAAAGAACTAACGGTTGTCAGGACAGAGTGCATAAATAATGGGTCCAGTCCACTGGGCAACCAGTTCTTCTACCTACACCGCCTCTGCACACGTCAGTACCGTTCTATTGTTATCCTGTAAGGACATCATCACGAGATATTACCAGAGCATACCCCGCTCTTGTACCGTCAACTGTTCTTCTCCAAATAAGGTCATCTTTGTTTGTAACGCATCTGGAATCAACTACCAGGAGACGGATATTTGCATTTGCAGGCCGGCCGCGACAGTTGTGTTACTTTAACGACAATAACTTTGGAATCATCATTTTTTATTGAGACTACTGCGTTCTCTCTCTCTCTCTATCTCTCTCTCTCTCTCTCTCTCTCTCTCTCTCTCTCTCTCTCTCTCTCTTTCTAGCCTGCAACTCCATAGCCATACATGTATACAGGCGAGGATCTTTGAAAGTTTCCAGAAGGGGAAGCGTTAGATAGAGGAGACGAGTAGTTTTGGTTCAGTCTCAATTGGATGTCTGTAGGTGGAGCCGAAGTTGTTCTAACCGTACGACGCTGCAAACTGTTATGAAAGATGTAAGCTGATGGATTGTTGTAGATCCGGATAGGTAAGGAGGGTTCGGTTGACCAAGATGATTTGGTTTCGGTGGACGAGGAGGATTGTAGCGGGAGTGGTATTCGAAGAGATTGGAGGAGGGAGTGTGGACATGGTATGATTTGGACTGTGGATTTAGAGATGTTTGCATAGAATTTGGGTGGTTAAAGACTAGTGAGTAGAATGTCCGAAGGGAGGATTGGGAGTTATGGAGATTTGAAAAGAGTGTGGGATAATGAATTTGTGTCGAAAGTGGAGAATCAGTTGACTGATGCTTCCTTCTTTTGTAATTTTCCTAGGCCCTTGAGTGGTGGATCGGCGGACAGTCTTTATAAAAGACGACGATTCTTCGCGAATCGGTATGTTGTTTTGAGCCGCGAATTTGCTGACTTTCTGCTGGTATTGGTACTCTGAAAAGTCCTTGCAGCTTGGCATGTGTTCGATTTGTGTAATTGTCAGTGAAATGAATTTAAATGTAAATTAATGAAATAATGTTTAGTGAGTATGAGAAAGAGAAAAGTGAGGTACTGTGTCACTTGTCCGCCATCGAGCACCACTCAGTCGCTTTTTTCCGTAAAACTAAGCAGACGCGAGACAACCCACTATTCTTGCTTTCCGATGTAGTACTGGCGAAGGTAAATGATGTTTTCATTCAAAAGCAAACGACTGCGCGCCGTTGACCAGGACCTTCGTCAGAATATGGAACGGCAAAATATAGACTGAATTTTTTTTGTTGCTATTTGAGACGTCAAAAATTGTTATTAATTTTATTTAAAATTCATGCAGTTTATTGAAAAAGCGAATGGGGGATAATAAGGGAAATAATAATTTCCTTTCGAGACCTTACTCAAAAATTCTACAACAAATCGTCAAAATAATAGTCATTAACTAGGTGATTCGAAAATCAAAATGTTCACGTATTTCCAAGTAATTGAAAAAGGGAAATTTGCAATTATACCAGAGATAAATAAGGCAATAAATGCCGTTTTCCCTTTTTCGCTATTAATTTCCCTTGAAAATTGCGAGGGGGCAACTTCGTGTCCTAAAATGTTTCCACGGTAGCCCGGTCAGTTATGTAATACAATAGATTTAAAAATATTTGCAAAATAAAAAATGATACTCAAAATGTGGTAAAAAAGATAATGTATTAATTAAAAAACTATTTGTTATTCTTATAAGAATTTATTTACAGTGTTATAATTGATAGTATTTTGAAAATATTTATTTTCCTTATATATATTTACAATCAATTATTTTTTTATTTTCATTTTAGTTGTATTGTTGCTTTTTCTTTGTTTAATAAAAATCATGTGTCAGTTGGCAGCGCTATACAAAACAAAATTTTCACATGTTATGCAAGCAAACCATTGAAAACTTGTGAGACATAACTAGTTAATTATGCCATTTTCTTTTGTCTACTTTTTAGGTGTATCGCTATATATTAGAAAGGCACCGTTAGCCTATTTATCAGCGAGGTTTTCTCTTAATTTTAATAAAAAATAAAATGCATCTTCAAAGTTATATTGTTAAAAATTCGACTAAGCAATATAATTATTTCATATCGTTTGTTACGATTTATTATCATCATGTGCTCATCAGCGGAAGCGATTACTATAAAATAAATTACAACTTATTTTATTTTTTTCCAAACTAATATTTCCATTTCACAGAGTTTTTTCAAATATACAATATATGTGATAATATTCCCATCATTTACAGATGAATATTGTATTACTTTAACATGATGGAAAAATATTATTTTGTTTATTGTAGTATTGCGAATACGGTTCGTATCAGTCCTTGATTGTTAAAAGGAATACGCCTTATATTCTTAATACACAACAGACTGACTAAAAATATTATTATATTGTCATTTAAGTAGCCATATTTTAAGTCTCCATTAATTCACACGTTTACAAAGTATAAAAGGACATTTATCATATCATATACGTTAAAAAGAAAATCAGTTTAAAAAGCTTATCGACTTTTAAACGACTTATTTTCTTTTAATAAGTAACAATTCATTGCAAAACAAATTGTCAGTACAAATAATAACACTAAATTTAGATATACGCCATTATTGAAATAAACAAAATAAAATTCATAAATAATGCATATTTATGCATTGTTAATAATTTACATGGAATTTAGTAATTGCATTTAAAGATATGATATTCGGCATATATGACTTTACTTCTGTATATAGCAGATGTAAATACAATATAGTTTTAATGACCTCATAACTGTTATTGTAATTTAAACGGTAATTATTGCACTTCTGTATATTTTGAAATGATAAGTTGCGAATAAAAAATATTTTTATTGTATTACAATATATTTATGTCTGACTATTTGAAGTAAAACATTATCACTTGATTTATTCTATAAATTGCAGTATATATAACTTGTGTTAAAATAATATTTAATACAATGGTTCAATTTGTTTAATACCGATTCTACATGAACTTCTAAATTTTGTTTTATTTAAAGTAATGCTTTTCTAATTGAACAGAAAACAAAAAATAGTATTCATCATTAAATAAGGTACTATTAGACATATAAAATTTCCACGTGAAATTAGATTGCAAAATAATTAGCCTAAAGTATTCTACATAACATATTTGTGCAGAAACAAATAAATTTTTGAAAGAATTATAGACTTGAAATTTTGCCTATTAAAAAATTATGAAATGTGCGATTTTGTCGTGTAAAATATTTTATACCAATTAATTCTTTGTTAATTTTTCTGTAAAAAGATATAATGTCCGATAATATTTTATTTTTTAAGAGAATATTATCTTATTTTTGGTGTTTAATAGAAAAGCATTATATTAGATAAATCAAAAAAATTCGTATGAAATCAAATCACGGAATATCTGTACGAAACGGACACTGCCAATCTGATAAAACAATGCGATATTTTATAACTTTAAATAAATATATCTTGTATATTTGTGCTTTGCATAAATCCTAAAAAAATGCTTCCATAATAATTTAAAAAAACAAAATCCAATAAAATTTATCATTTTTAAGTATGCTTACGATTAATTTCAATGACTATACAAATAAATGAAGTACATCAATAATTGAAATGTATCTTTAAAAGTTTCTCTTCATAAAATTTCATATAACGTTAATGAAGAAGTCTTGGTAGAAAAAACACATTGCAAATCGTTTGTGAACAAAAATTAGTAAAATCATGTACATACTTATAAATATCTTCAATGCACGTACTGATTTTTCTAATATATATTTCGGTTTAAAATTGATTTTAATCGATTTAATTATATTATTTCTAGTCAATAAATGAATCAATAAAAATTCAATTTTTTACCAACTCATAGTTTCAGCGTCAAAGGATGAGGCTGCCAATTTTCATAATTATTATAATCTCGTATTCATAAATTAAACTATGCAGGCTGGGTCGACCAGAGGTTGATTTGCATCCACAATTGAACCTATGACAGCAGTGCTAAAACGGATGTTTCAGAAAAATATTATTAATTAAAGCTATAATAAACATAATTATCATTCATTAATGTCGTGGTATAGTAGGGCATAAGATGAAAATGAAGTGAAAAATCTAATTTGAAAAGTATGTATTTTTATATTCCACATTAAAAAATAATTAAAGTATTTGCTTGGGAATGAATATCACAAATATTCAACTAAAACATCTATATACTTTCTCAAATAGCTCTCAATAGACAATTCAAACATTCAAATGTAAAAAAGTGTGCAAATATTTAAAAATCAATTACAAGTTGTGTTATACAAAAACTGAATAGTGCATGATCTTTGTTTGCAATACGAACATTTTTATTTTAAGAAAGAAATGCAGTAATTGATTTTTTTAAACAGATAAAGAAAACAAATATACTTAGAATACGTATTTTTATACTGATTTTTATAAGCATGTAACAATACACACTCAATACTTTTCATGACTACAACTTTTTTATGTCGAACTAATCAAATATTAAGTTTAAAGCTTATAGTAAATGAACATAAAAAATGAATACCAATTTCTAATTTTCAATAAAATTTCTAATTATTTATGACATCACTATACAATCACATTTTCATATGGTACGTGATATTATTGACGTTAAATATGTGCCATCATTTTACGTACAATAAGCTAATAAACGTACAAAAAAATGTTAGTTAATGAACTGAATACTTAAGTATTAGACAATTTTTTGTTAGTCGATATAAATAAAGTAGAACAGACATTACCCCGTGCCAAGAGCCAATATTGTAGCCCCTTGTACCAAAGTGATTTCATCTAATGGCGACCTATAGACCATAAAGTTTTGCTAGTATTGCTTGAAAATTAATTATTAAAACGTATATACGATAGAAGAAGATTCGTCTTTTTGGCACCTATTTTACACAACTTTGTTTTTCTTTTCTTTCGAAGCCCGTTATTTTTATTTGAACAATGTAAATACATCATATAATTTAAATAAAAAATTAATAGAAACAAATTGTGATAAAATAAATACCCAATCAACTCAATTCCATTAATTATTGTGATTTTATAAATGCAACATGCATAATCCCAACTGTTAAGCTATAAAATTACAAATATAATTCAAATGATCGAAAGATATAAGAATCATCGACAATAAAAACATTTATGATTAATTTCAATTATAACAAAAGATGTAAAGTTTGAATGAATTTCTTATTTTATTATAAGCAATGTACATATTAAAATGCTTAACGAATTCACAAACATTTACTCGTCAATTATTGTCAGTATATATTGTTTGGAAAACAAACGAATTTCTTTTTTTCTACTCATTTCTTCCTTTTTTGCAAGTCTATTTGTTTCAACAATTGCTCAAACGCAAAATAAGGTTCATCGCTATATGAAAAAAAAAATTATTTTTGATAATTGCACATAGATTTTCTTTGTGATACTTTGGTTGCTTACGGTTTTCGTCATAAAAATATTTTCAGAATGTAATTTATAACCATCATTTTACATTGCAAGTACTAAAGTGTACTTATTGACATGTAGTAATGGCGCAACGAAAATTAATGGTCCTGACCAATAAAAAAGAAGAAAACGTACCTATGAATCACGGTATTTGCAGATCATGATATGTTTACTTGACAGTAGATTTAAGTGATATTGCTTAATTAGTTTCACACTTCATCGTATCAAATGAAAACAAAATAATAAGCATAGAAAACAATAGCAAATAAACTAAAATCATTGGCAAAATAATGTTATACAATCAAACAAAAAATTCTGAAAACTGGAAAATTACTTAAAGAGTACGTTTGCTACAGAGTAGCCGAAACTCATGTCGTTGAGACTAGATAAAAAGTGAAAATTATTTCTGTACAATCATACACTAGTGGAAATACTAACACAATTATTATATGGTATAAAATCTAGAAAAATTATCCTGACTTTGGAGTGCAATCGAATTTTTACTTACATCAAGCTATATTGAATGTCAATCTTAACAACTTCACAGTCATTCGTTTTACAAAATTACATTTCTCTACAGTTCATGAGTTTACATATTTCGCTTTGTAAATGCTTACGACTTATGAACTGATTTCATATAGAAAATTTATTCGTTATCAATCTTAAGCTAGTATTTGATTACATCTATCGTATAAAAAGTTTACTCCATAATCCGTAACTATCTGTTTGTAGAAGCGTCATCGAGCAAAGCAGTCTGAATTGCTTATTAATTTTCCAAGAAGATAACTTTGCTTTCGAATAGCTTCGGCCGAGGTGCTATGAAAAACATGATAAACTAAATAAAAAAAAACAAAAAAATACACTTTACGGCTATATCACACTCCGAGAGTAAATGTAGACCTCAGACGAATGTAGTATTTCGCGTGAAAATTCTCCAAATAGCACTTGCTCTAAAAACATTCACGCGAAAATGATTAGATTCTTTCTCTCGACGATGCCAAGTGCAGAGAGATGAGATGGAATGGGAAGGTAGGTAGTAGCGAAGCTAAGTCTTGTCTGTCGCACGTGCTACCAAATACCTGCACGAGAGCCGGCCAAAGGCGAGTCAAGTTCGGTCTCGTCGCCGCCGGTCCATCGTTGCGTCTCGACCCCCAGTAGAGTATGTCGATCCTCGTCGAATTGTCTCTCTGGGAATGTCACCCCGTCGCCAAAGCTGTAAACCCATTGTTCATGCGATCTAATGATTATCTATTGTCAATCTTTTCGACCTTCTGGCTTATTTGCAGCCGTGTATACCCATGAATTTTACCATAGTAAATTGCATGGTAAAAAAGGCTCTTGCTTTTTTTTTCTTTCAATCCAATTGATTGACTCTGTGCTCCGTTTAATAACTGAATTTCATAGTTTGCACGATCGAGAAAAGTGTTGTTTTCCAATTTTGCCGCGGCAAAAAATCCTTTTCTACGCGTGAACTTGTTTTGTGCTCTACTGAAGCGAGAGCCTAATGAAACGATTGCACTGCGTTTCTGTGCTGTATTCTCAACGGTGTAACTATACCAGTCCTATTTTATATTTGGACAACTGACTTTTTATTTTACAACTGGTTACGCGATTTTTTAGAAATAACACGTGTCTTGAGCTCGAGATTTTGTAAAACAAATTTAAAGAATTATTTGTTCTTCTAGAGAGATTTTCAACTTATAAAAGTACACTGACTTTCTTATAAAAGCAAACAATTAGATTCAGTGTACACAACTAGTGCGATCTCGATCTAAAGAAAACAAACAAACTGGATGAAGCAGCCAACTGCTGCGATACGAAAAACGTTATTTGTTGAGCGAATCATATTTACAGAAAGTGAAATTGTAATTTTTGCAAATACTTCTAATTCTCGTCAGATTTAATGAGCGATATTTGATACATCACAAAATTCCGAAATGCCCAAAAGCTTTAAGTAAAAATATTTAATAGGAAAGCTGACGATCGTACAGACAATTATTTTACACATGAATTATTGGCACAATAAGACAGCAGTTACCCTGATTCATCACTCCATATTACTATGCAGAATAGTTATGTGTAAAACAATTATGTGCACAATTGTCAGCTTGCCTTTATATGGGCTACACGTTTCCGTATTTGCTGTAGATCGATTTGTGTATTGTGTTTCTTATTTATATAAGTAGCAAAATTCTTTCATCGACATTCATAACACGTTAAAATAAATAGATAAGAAAAAAAATTAGTTGTGATTTTCGTTCAAATACTTGATTAAATCAGAATGTATTCGGTATTTGGAACAAAAAACACTAAAATATTCATGCTGATTAATTATTATTAAAGGTTCTTCGAAAAAGAATTGAAAAATTTGCTTTCTTCGCATGACTTTCACTTATTTTTACAACTAAAACCAAATTTAATCTTGTATACACAAAAAACCAATTGGGAGATCGATATTACTTGTTCAATTGCTTTATGAAGAGACGTCTAATGCAGATATAAAAAGTATAGGAAAATAGTGTAAGCTGCGGATATCGATGAATGACTTTCTATCTCAAATGTTACTTTATACATGATTTTTATGAAAGTATTTTGATGTAAAATGTTGAATTAAGAAATGACATCATATAATTACATCAAAATTAATATATTTACACAAAAAGATCTAAGCGTTTTGGGAAATATTAAAAAAATCACGTAATTAGATAGATGCTATCGGAATTCAATGTAATTTGTTATCTGCACAGTTACACCATTCGAAATTCACACGTAAGACGCATAAAAGTAATGTGTATATATATATAAATCTAGGAACCAGATGCACAATACCTCTGAGATTGGTAACGATCGCGTTATGATGTTGGATCTATTTATATAATCAGAGGAGCTTTTATGAAGGTATCACGAACAATGATGTATATATGCGATGAAGGTCCAAAGTACGGCTACATCTTGGGTCCATGCAATATCGCATGATTCTCTAAATCGCATGTGTGTTCTATGTTTATGGAGTTTCTCTTTTCACCTACATAATACGGAAGCATATATTTTTAATATACGCATTTACATGATGAAGTGGCTCTTAATAATATTGTCTATATGTACACGTTACATTCACGATTTGTTGCAAGTTCGCAATCACTTCTGTCGTTTTATTTATTTGTGTATTTGACGTACATGTAACTCAAAACGCATGCATAAACAAATTACATTCGGCATGTACATACCAACTCAAAAAGAATATCACAACCGAAAACACAAGCACAGTATTCAATAGGAAATTAGAAATCTATACTAATAATAGCTCTAATTTCATAATACTCCAGGCAGTATTATAGTGTTAGTCAGGAAAGGTGTAAGCGTGCGAGAAAATTCTATCACCAGCATGCACGTGCAACGGTAACTTCTTCGCAAATTTTATCGTCCTCACTCTGGAACTCGACTTCTTTCATATCTGATAATAAATTACAAAATAACGCGACTTCAATAGGTAGGCCATTATTCTAATATTTTAAATACACCACTGTTCATCTAATGCTGCAATTTAAGGAAAAAATTGCAAAAACCTTATCAGAGTTCCATAGTAAAGATAGTTTAAAAAACTTGTTTCAAAGATAACAATTATGAAGTTGAGAAATTGGAGTGACGTTAAGTAAGATCTGAAAAAGCAGCTTTATTTCTTGATGTTAATAAAATTGCTAAAAATGCTGCGAGCTTAGGCTCGGATAATGAATGCTGACCTGTTTTGAGTACTGCCCATCGAGTTGTACGTATTGGGGGCACCCTGGTGCTGCGAGCGTACCGGAAAATCCACTCCGTTCCCGAGACTAGAACAAACCGATTGCAACCCCACGTATTTTTCTTTTAATTGACGATTCATTTTCTTAATACATTTTTTCTTCATTTCTTTATGGAAAAATAACATTTATGTAACTTTCTACGAGAATTTATTGTATGCTCAGGTAATTCAAATTTGACATGGAATTTGGTAAAAGAATCAAGTTCGTGAAATATCATGTAATGTGCTTATTCTGAAATGTTTCATGCATTCAAAGGTGAAATAAAGCAACTTGCCAGCTATCTCGAAAGCTTCCAACAATTCATAGTTTTAACTTGATTCTCTCAAAGTTTATTTTCATTGAGCAAAGTAAACCCGCTTGTAAAAATCGCTTTGCGATAGAAATATCGAAACGCTGAAATACGAGGCATAACAAAAGTATAAAATACAAAATAAGAGCTAAAAGTGTAAATTATGCAACATAATGATAACGTGTCAAATAGAAAGAAAGAAATTATCTACGTCTGAATAAACGAACTTTCAGGCAGAACTCATAGTGTGCTAAAAGAAAAAACCACGATATTTTTTTTTCGTGTATGATGTAACACTTACACAAAGTAATCGACAAGTGCATAAGAAGTCCAAATTGACGATGTTTAAGGATATACGCGCGAATGCGATGACGGCCGTTACCTACGTGTCGGTATTGTGCAGTTGGCTCAAAGTCCGTACAATGTATTATTATTATAACAACTGAGTTTTTTCCCCATTATCGGCAAAATATGTATTGGCTTGTAGGTATATACGGCGAAGATGAGTAGGCGTCATACAGCGCTGAGCAGATTGCACTACTGACCTATTTCTAATAATGACGCCACTCGCGTATATGCAAGCTCGCGTTGTAAAAATGAATAAAAAAACTCAACATATCCACCAATCGGTTAAAAACGGAAGCTTTTACCATTGCCCTAAGACGATTCGTTTACTTTTGCAAGTACGGAGAATAAAGATTTCAAGTGCATCGTAATCATGCATTCCTCATTCCCTAGGTATGAAATAATCCATCAATGATTAATTATTCATTAGTTATTCGTCATAACGATTTTATCTTAAAATCGATACTCTCCGTAAATATCTTTCAACGTGGTTACGATAGCATACAGTGGATAAGAATAAAGGTTATCAAGATTATTATCTTACCTAGTAAAAATCGGTATGAACCATAGTCTGGAATCGTCACCGAAAACTTCTTGAAAATTATTGTATTTTCCAAGACTGAAACCGTCTTTATCTTTCCCAGTGCGGAACATAGGAGGTCGGAATGCCTCTGTTAATTTTAAATAACATTAATATAATACTTTTCATTTATGTATAATTATTATAAGAATGTAATTCAAAAGAACGTTACGAAGTTCATTAACTCATTTATGTCACTTTAATAAAATATTCACATTAATAAACTTTTCTTACTTTCATTCATTCAAAACGATAAATATCCCATTTTCTAATATATTACAATAAAACATATAAGTTAATTGTGTTGCAATTATTTACCTAACGTCGATCTGTTGTGCAAAATGAGGTAGCAATGGTAGAAGAAGAGTGAATTGAGACTGATGGCGAACATAAGCGCAACAAAAAACAAAAAGAGCAGGTGAAATTTACCGTCTCCTTCTAATTCGCCCTGTAAAATATTTTTTTTTACAATGAATCAATGTGCTAAGTGGTTTTGTTAATGAACAATGTCCAATTATAAAAATATTATAAAATTTACCCTCCAAAACTGAATAAAGTATTGTAAAGACGTGGCAGCAATATAAATACAGTAAAGAAGAGCATAGGCTAAAAATAACATGAAGAACTTATAATTGTGGAAGGCTACACAGTTATTCACCCATGGGCAGTGATGATCCATTTTAAGGACACATGTGCCACAAACACTGCAATGATGTGCTCTGTCAGGTTTAACCAGTTGACACTGATCACAAAAGCGGATTTCTAAAAAATGTAAAATTAAATATACTGAATTTATTCTTTTCTTTTGTAATAATTAAATAAAAATTATTTTCATTTACCTCCTTTAATTGTTCGATTTGTGACAGGCAAGTCTTGAGCAAATCTTTCCAAAACTTGTCGATAAGTATCTTCACTTTCTGCATGCAATAGTTTTTCTACTTCAGCAGCAGGTAATTTGAACTAAAACATACAATGGAAGTGATTTACAGCTAATTAATGGTATAAATTAACAAACCTTTACATTTTTCAATTTTAGATCATACTAAATCTTACACTAATGTATACAGAGAATCATCAATCACAAAGAAAAGATTTACACCTCAAACACATTTCTGGTGTATCTATTTTTGCTTAACTTTTCAGCGAGGAAAGAAGTCAGTTCACAGTTAATCAGGAACATGAATAAATAAACAAGATTTAAGGTAAGCAAAGAAGTTTTATTCACCTTTTCTGGAACCTTTACTAAATCTGTTATTATGGTCTGCCAGTAGGACCACAGGAATAAGAAAAAAAACACATGGAAGAAAATCAAGTAAAAAACTGCAAAGAATAGTATTTATTATTGATAATAACAATATTATTTATATGTTACTCAAATTGTACACAAACCTTTTTGAACCATGCTCTGTACAGTATCTGTAAATAAAAATTTATAACACACATAAATTTGAATTTCATTCACAATGTGAAAAACCAAAGTAATTGAAATACAGCAATAATTATAATATATTATAACAAACTTATTTGAACTGTTTTGACTCAAATTCTCAAGTATAGAAACCAATTTAAAATTAAATTTTTCTTATACTGCTCTCAATACTAAAAATAGCATCTTTTTGTTTATGATCAACTCTCATTGACATTCCATTTGGAGAGAAAAAATACATAAACATTGGTAAATTTACATAAATGAAAAACCTCAATCATGACACAGATGTGATTTGTAAATAAATGAAATTAATCATCATAACCAATCGACAAATTAAGTTTCATTATACAATACTTGATAAGTTTGTATGCTTCAATTGGAAAAACAATAAAAATTGTGAACATTAATACAATTCAAGATGTTGGACAGTATAATAACAGCAATATTAAAGCAAACTCTACTAAACACAAGTGTTTTAATTTTTATAATGTGACAATCTATTAGAGCTTATAGAAATAAATCAGTAAGATTACAGGTAACATGACTCACAGTAGCATAGCGGCACGACGTAGGCGTAATAGGACCAACTAATGATGCAGAGGATAAAGAGGACGGGCACCCACTTGATTCCTCTTATGCACCAGGAGCAGCCAGAATTACCTTTGCGCTCCATCCTGATCATCGCTGCACCTTATTACGTTCACTCACTCGCACTCCTGCGGACGAGTTTTCGCTACGTGTCACTACGGTAGGACTTGTTCCATTGCAGCAGCTCCTCGGCCTCAAGATTTTATTCAAAACGGAGCTCCGCACACCCTTCTTCTCTTTACAAAACTTCGGCACAACTCTCTGTGGCCTATCTTTCTCTAATTCTATCTCTGTCTTTGCTGGTTTTTCGAGCAGCGGCGTTGCCACATGCGCACTACGTGTGGATATGGATATATGGGTACACGCACGCGTACTTGACTTGACACTTGGCTTTAGTAGTGTATGTAACAGTACTAGCGTACTGGTGGTCGAAAAAGGATACGGAGGGGAGACGTGTTTCGTAAACTCGCGTGTTCATAGCGCTGTCTTGTTTAATGTTCCTTTCCTACCTGCGGTCCTGCGCTGACATCTATCTATGCCCGTTCGCTCGAATCTCGAATGTTAAAACATAAATCCAAACATATATTTCAACTCATCTCTAATTCCAAATGCGTATGAGCATTGGATTTTTCCGGTACACGACTTGTTGATATTAATATAGTTGTTAAGATTTATTTTGTTTTCTTAAACTTTGAAGTATAAAAAAATATACTATTCTTGTATTTCAAGCAAAAAACTACAATTTTCATGATTTATAACTTTTATTAAAATTATATATTATATACAATTTAATATATCACATAAGTTGTTAGATTGTTCGGTTGCAACTTTATCTTGTTACATCTTTTTATAAAAATATATAAATTCATGTACATCTTATAGAGTAAACCCAAAGTTTTTGACCCACTTAAGTCCATCAGTGGAGGTTGTTAAAGGCTTATATTCAAGCCCAATGTATTCGTTATAAGTAAGCTTTTCTAATAACAAAAAAACGTAACGATAATCTATTTCTCCAAGAACATCTGGTTCATTTCGACTAGGTACTTGTGCAATTTGAACATGACCTAAAAATTAAGACATAAACAGTATTTTTTTCTGACAAATAATAAAACAAAACAGACATCTTACCAATATGAGGGAAATAATCTTCAATAGTTTTTGTTATTTTTCCAGTTATTTGTTGTACATGGAAAATATCCATGAGAAGTTTCAAATTTGGACTGTTAATTTTTTGTATTACATCAATAGCTGAAATTTAACTCATACATTAATTAAAAATTTGTTTGAATGAAAAAAACATTTACTAAAAATTTTTAGTGTTCATATATTCCATACCTCTTTTATAATCATTTAAATAATAATTAGGTACAGTAATACTGTTGATAGGTTCAATAAGGCCAATAATATTTTCTGCAGCAAATTTTTCAACTGCATATTTCAAATTATTCTCATAAGTAATATCATTTTCTGGAGTTGAATTTTCAACTTTACCAGCCATCACATGAATCCTTAAATACAAAAGAAATATTATGTTAAAATACTTTCATTTTATTTACAATTAAAATAACTGACTGGAATATTGAGATTCATTGAAAAACATAATATAGTTTTAATTGTGATACCTACTTTTTACAATCTAATGCTTTAGCATATTGAATGGTAAGGTCAATGCTATCCCTAAAGTCTTTTTCTTTTCCTGGAATAGCAGCAAATCCAAGTTGTCCTTTTGAAGTGTCACCTCAAAGCAAAAGAAACATTCAATATAATAACATAAACATAATTATCCACAAAGAAATTGGAATAAATGTTTGTTGTAATACCTGTAAAAACATTAATTAATATCTGCTCAATACCAGCAGCTTCTTTGGCTTGAGCAACTTGTTGCATACTGAAGCCAAGAGGAAAGCCACTTTCTACAGCCTTGAAACCAGCATCTTTAGCCACTTGATATCTATCAATCAATGATGGCACTTCTTGGAACATAAAAGATAGATTGCTTGCAAATTTGTGAGCCATCCTTATTTGTCTCTGAAATAAAAAAAAAATATGTGAACACTTGTCTAGTAATCATATCATTAAATAGTACTGTTACATAATACATTATCATCATCAGCTTATCATAACTTTATCACTTTAAAATTTTTAATTAACTAGATTATTTTTTTCATACTTTTTAGAGTTATTGTTGGTTAGTTAATTTTGATAAAGAAAAATGTATAAAAAAAGATTCTAGATTTAAAAATAATCTGGTTTTAAATATTTTATAATGCATTAAAATAAATAAAAAAATAACTTGTTTAAGTATTAGGTTATTGTGTTACATGCTAAATTGAAGAGGTTTCTTTACAATCATAAATTAATTAGTTACATTTATTATTATAAATCATTCACTCATTCAACACGTTTTGCTAAATTATTATATTATATCTTTTTCTTGAAAAATTTGATATTTTTGAAATACAGCATAAGTATCAGCATAAAGACACAACTTATTCAACCAAAAGATAAATGTATATATACTGACATAAATAAATACAACAAAACTAAAGAAAAACTCTAAACAAATTAAATTCAAAGATCAACAATTGATTTGATTAAATCGTATTATTTGCTGCAAATTATTGTACCCATTCTACAACATTCTGTCGTAACACCTATTGGTAAGTCAATCAGATCCAAAATTTCGGGCTTCATGTCCAGATTGCTCATCTTCTAGAGCAAGTTCCAACTCCAAAGCATACAAACCGTGACAAAGTTGCTTATTGTAATTGCCCTCTAAACTAAATAATAAATACACCGACTTTGAAATTTGAGGTTAAATTTGCAGACCTTCGTTAAATCACATATATTGGTAAGTTTGTCTATACAAAATATGAGTGGCAAAAGAAAACTCAAGCATGACTTATTTTTAAATTTTTTATTTTTTCAGCCATAGTTTACCTAGCATTATTCGTTAATTAGGCATTAAATAATAAGATCATTACAAGGATAATTTATTGTTTGTTTAATTAATATATTATAGAGTAATTTATTTAATAACAGCGGATATGAATATAAATAAAATAAGCGTCTATCTATTGGTGTGTTTGTGATTTTTTTAAAATGCATACCTGTTTTTCAATCAATTAGTAAACATTTGGGTGTTTAGAAAAATACGCACCATTAAAATATAGTGGTTACTATCTAAAGAAAAGTATATCACGATGTTTGCACGTTAACAGTTGCAATAAATTGTGTCCTTGTTGATAATTGTATTGGAAAAATCTTGCACTTATCTCTAATATATGTGTTGTCGGTGTTTTTTTATTCAACATTCAAGTTTACCGACTTGTTAGCCGGCAAAGTAGAAAAATGTTATTATGCCAAAATTCAAATTTTTAAAATTAAAACACGAAGCGATAATAAAGTAAAGCGATAATGTAATAATTTTTTTAAAGAAAGTTTTTAATTTTTGTAGTAAATTATGTGCAAATATTAGAAATTCCTTAAATCTAAACAAATTTCAACCACAATTTCTTTTGGGCGTTACAATTACAGAAAATTAGATCTATTGAAAAAATACTAAATTTAGAGTCTAATACTTAAAATTATGTATCATTCTGAATACATAATTTATTAGCTACGTACAAAAAATAGACAACATGGTGAAATTATCGTTATATTACGTAGAATTGATATCCTTATTCAAGAGTACGTGCAATTAAGAGTTTTTTTTTCAATTTTATCGTTAGCTTTTCAACTTGGCTATTCAATAGTACTTCAATGGACGAAATTCATCAATGCAACCAATAAAATCGATGAAAAGCAGCGAAGTACAGAAACACCTAAAAGGAAAAATACTGAAAGCAATAAACAGAATTTCATCAGAGAAAAACCACAAGAGCTATTATATATCAACGGGGGGTAGCGAGGCCATAAAAGCAAGAAAGTCATCTTCAGAGTGAAGCAGTTGGATGCGACACATGAAAGAAACCGAGCGTGGAAATGAAGCGTGTCGGGCGAATGACTGCAGGAAAAAACGAGCAGCGAAGAAGGCACGTCTTCCGAGAGTGCACCGCCACGGTCGCGGCTATGAGATCATCACACCAAAGAGTGCAATAATGCTTTAGTTGCTGCGTTGAACGCTTTCTGTTAATAAGAGGATCCTATATTTCTATCAATTATTATTATCATTAATGATGGACTTTAATTCAATGAAGTTCGACATTTTCATTACAATCAAAACTTTTGATTCGATACTTAGAAAATGATTAATAAGTGTAAAAATGAAAATTAAACCATGAACTCTGATTTCTTCAATCGTATTAGTAGAAATACGTTGACATAGAAAATGGAATTGCAGTAAAAATCACCCTTATTATATATCTTGGCTATATCTGTCAGCTTAAAAGAAGCTTCGAATAGAGGTGAAGTTGTTACGAAGTTTCTTACGTAATAATCGTTCCGGGAAGAAGTAGAAAAAACTGGATAAATAAAATTTTTAATCATCCAGCTTTAAATATTATATTCTGCCGACAAAAGAACAAGCATATATTTCGTAGAACCTAAAAATAAAATAGATTCTTTGTTCGTTTTTATTATATTGTTAATCCAATTTTTGAAATCAAATTCATTGATATTTCTTTGAATTCTAAAGCTTCGTATTTATTTATCGTGCAATTTTCGTATATAAAAGACTCTTGGAAAATATTTTCAAGATGCAATGCTTTAGCGCTCGATAAAAATTGCGCAATCGTTCCTACGATTATTACAAGAGTATTCGAAAGTGTAAGCTTTATGTACTACAAGCCCTATATGCCGGTCATACCAGAGACCCAGTAGAGTAATCGCGAGCAAAAACAAGTCTATATAAGGGACGACTTCCAGGTGTTCAGCTATCGATCTGGTAAATTTCCGCTCGACGACAGTGCAGCATGCGACGGCGACAAGGAGAGCGAGCTTGCGCGCGCAAGCGCCATTCCCTTCCTCGCCGTCGTCCGCGAGAGCGTCCAGCAGCAGCAGCAGCAGCAGCAGCAGCAGCAGCAGCAGCAGCAGCAGTGGAGTCCGGGGCACACAGCACGCTCATCATTCACATTTCACCAACCTCACCTCACCTCTGTGCACCGTACGAGGTAATCCAAACGAGGCGCCCTTTCTTTCTTGTTCGCTTTACATAGGAAGCTCACCGTTTACCGTGCGACCGCAATGCCCAGCTGTTCCATTCGAGTCAGCTGAGTGTTGTGTTCGCCCTCGCGTGGGGGCTGCTGCCGAGGATTTTTGGGTTAGTCGGTACAAGTGCTCGACGCTGCTGGCCTTTGTGGTTGCAATGCTTTCAAAGTTCTGTTTAGATCACGGCCCCGTGGCATTTTCGATTTTCGCTAGGGCTAATAAATTTGGTTATTCGTCGACGACTTTTCAGTTTCATTGGGTATCTTGCATTGTAACTACGTTGGAAAAAGACAAAAGCTCGCACGCATACGCGGCAATGCGTGAGTACACCTAAATCCGTAATGTAATTGTCTTAATTAGCTTAACGAGCGCGTAAAAAGTAGAGCTATAGTCTTATTGGGGGAGTGTCGTTCTCCTTGATATTGAAAATGCGTTTCAAGGATGGTGACATTGATCGCGGCGTTGAAAACGCTCTAACACAGAGAAGCAACTTTCAGTGCGTTTTTGGCAGGTGTGAAGCATGTGTAAGTATGTATATCGATGTATCTATTAGTGAAACCGTGTCAATGGTTGGATTTGGAAGGACTTTGCATGCGTTGGCTCGCGCGGTCGGATGCCAAACATTTTGGAAGCTTGGCATGTATTATATTCTACGACAACTCGTTGTTTCAGTACGTGCTTCAGATTTTGCAATTGTTTTTAATATTGAAATCGATTTTACCAATATCAATGCAGCTCCGTTAAATCATTTTTTCATCGACTAACAACGGATTTTCATAATTTGATTATTGTCTACTTTAAAAAGGCATCCGTAAGCTTAAATTCAAGATGGAAAATTGCGCAAGGGAGTAATGCAATATCGCGATAAAGAGCCAACTGCGACGACGTAGGTTTTCGTCACAGTGTTGGAAACAAGCACTGATGTTCGAATCGCAATACCGTCAGACTTCGCATTACGTTTAAATTCGCATGCGAGAGCAGTGCCATTAAGCGCTCACCAAAGTGCTGACATTTACGTATATCGGAAACGTCGGAAACAAGCCTTTAACGGCTGTTCGATATCATCTCCAGCTATTAGTATCGAAGGCCCCTCACTCTAGTAAAAAGCAAAGGCGAATAAAGTTGTGTGCTTTAACGTGGCAAACTGCATCAGCTTACATTCCTTCTCGTTTTACGTTTCAGCATTAAAAAGAAAGGCTGATCCACAGAGAGCTAACGAACGGACCAAAGGAGACGTTTCAAGGAAACAACACAGGGGGACTCTGGCACTCCCCTCGCCCCGTTGACTATCCCCCGTTCTAGAGGGATCGTCGACCGCACTGTTAAGAATTACGTAGCCATATAGGTAAGCTCCGTTCTTTCTTTGGTTCGCTCAATTTATGAGTCACTGGTTAACACTGGCGCGATATTCCATTTTCCATTCTGCTAGCTTAATTTAATGTAATGTAGCCGGAAATGTAACGTTTTCAAGTAGGTCAAAGTGCTGTTGCTGGTTAAATATGTACTACTTAAGCTGGCTATTAAAATCAGTGTAGCGAAACTATTGTCAGGGTGTAAGGCATCTCAGATTTTCGTATTCATTAAAGGTGACATATTTAACTGTAGATATTTTTAAGCTACAGCAATCAGTCCTTAAGATTCCATCTTGCTTTAAAGCTCATTTGCAGTCTGAAGTCAAAACAAGACCGTGATTATTGTTGAAATTTCTTTGTTTAAACTGACAAGAGCCGCAAGGAAAACCCATAAGGAATCAGCAATCGTGACGAGTGAAATCCAAGCAGATTACCCCATCAGCTGCCTCTTTCACTGAAAATAGTTGACCCGCGGCAACAATATCCGAAGTCAAAGCGAAGCGAAACCCACGAAAAGGCGGTCCAATGTATCCGGGTTCTCGCTACGGAGGCCCAGCGACGAGTAGCAGCGACGAGCAGGTGCAGAAGAGGCGGAGGAGCAGCAGGCAGCAGATAATATCGCGAAAATGTCGTTACCGCGCGAGTGGAGTCTTCATCAGCAGCAGATCAACGGTGAGCTGCTACTTGGCCGTTCCCTCGACTATGCAACGACCAACATCGGCAATGGTACAGCGTCGCAGAACGTCGCAGCATCGACCCAGGACGTGGTCGCCGCCACCGCTTCTCCGCAACACGCTCACGACGAAAATATGAATAACCAACATCACAATCTCTTAGGCTCGCTCTTCTCCATACACTCAGCGCCTGTTTACGATGTTTCTTGCAATCCCGATAACAACTCGTCCATCAGGTCAGAACGTCTTCCTCTCGAAAACAAAATAAATTTAGCTACGTTTCTTTACGCTTTAATATGACGTGGAAAGTTCACGTCTGGCTGAAATTGGGCTTTATCGACTTGCTTCTGCTTCTCGCAACGTTGATTCAACTCGCGAAAACTCCGCACATCAGCTTTCTTTGACTGTTAAAAAAGAGACAATGCTCCGTGAACAAACATTTGCCCACACTGTTGCGGCTTATCGATATCTGCCTAGAACTTTCGGAGCAGGCGTGTGGATCAGTCGAAAATAAAAGCATCGCGTTACCGTTGCTTACAGGCCAGTTTCACTGGTGGTGCAAGCACAAGCGACATCGACGCCAGTAGTGCCACCTCACTTGTCACCACCTGATACTCTCGAGGACGAGGACAACGATAACTTGCTGACGATATCGTCATTGACGGCACGGCCTCTCATTGCCAAATCACGCGAGTTGAATAAAAAGCGCGCCAATCATCAGAAGAAAAAGAAGCAAGACGACACTGGCGCAAAATGCAAAGTCAAGCGAAGGAGAAGAAAGCTCAATCTTGAACCATTGGATGGTGGTTACGGATGGGTCATCGTCATCGGAGCTTTCTTCGTGCAATTCTGGGTGGCCGGATTGGTCAAATCTTACGGGGTGTTTTACGTCGAGGTTATGGAAATGTTTACCGATGCTTCGGCTTCGTTGGCTTCCTGGATACCGGCCATACTTTCCTGCTTGTGCTTAGCTCTAGGTAAGTATTAAATTGCTCCTGTGACGTTGATCATGATCTTTTTTTGTCATTTCGTTCATCTCGAGCGAACGCGCTCGACGACAACTCGAGATAATAGTCAAGTTAATGAAGCCATTTACATAGGACTGTTCGTGGCACGACAAAATTAGTTTTAATTCCGCTTGTATTATCCTCTCCGCGCGAACATAAGAAAAGAGGAGTACTCCGTTCGCATCCGCTTGCTGCAATTTTCGATGGATCAAAGCCGTCGACGTTAACTTTTCTTTTCCGTCGACGATTGAAGCACTCGTCGCAATTCTAGTTTTATCCTTCCGACGCACACGTACTTGCCCGTCTGTACACGAGTCTCGCTATGTTCACGCACACAACAAAATACGCAGTTGGGCCGACTACGATAGGATCGATCTCTTCGCCGCGGCTGGACGCGTCGTATACTCGAAATCGCTGCCGAGATGAAGGGAAAAGTCGTTAATACACGAGCCACGCAGTGCTCCAACTATATAAAACTTCGACAAGCAGTTTGTTCAAAAGCTCGTCAAAACGTCTCCACGAAATCGATGATCCGACATTCGGCTTCCCTCGGTAAGTATATCAAGGATCAAACGCAATTGTCGTAGACTCTCGTGCGAGGACAAAAAGTGGCTCCGATTGTCAGTCGCAGGCCGAAACATCGCCGCAAAGCAGTCCTGCCTTTCCGCCGTCCGTGGAAATGCACTCTATCGTCGAGTGCATTCGCTCCGCCAGGCTACGCGAAAGCGGCCGCATCTGACGATCTATTTTCCCCTCGACTGCGCTCCGATTTCGCGTCCTTGGCAGCGGCTTTACATTCTTTTCTTGCGCAGCGATTGTTCGCTTCGCGCGCGCTTTCCAAGGCGGGATATAACGCGCGTCGCCACTGCCGCTATCCAATCTGTCAATGTTGCATGTCACATATGGCTTTTGTCGCTTCTCGTTTACCCCCTCGAGGCTCGCGGAAAAAGTTTCTATTGGTGTGTATACGATAACCAACACGAGTGGCGTCATCAGTCGGATGCTTGTAGTTGTCATGTTCTATTTTGTTCTTTTGGTCAAAGCGCAAAGTATGACTTCGTCTATAGTGATTTCTCCACCTGTTCCACATAGTATTTTCAGCTCTGCTAAATTCATAGGTAATTTTACAGTTAGTTTAGCACCCTCCATTAGTTGACCGAAGTGATCAATTAACATTTTGCATCAAGCGCTCTGTTCGTCCATATTTCACTCCAACTGAAAAAGAATAAAGAAGCGCAGCAAACTGAAGCATAATAGCCTCTGGCAATTTGACTTTGACCTAAATATTCGCTGCATAAAGTTTATAACGAATCATTACTCGGCGGCGTACCACCCATCCGTAGAATACTCCCTCGAATCTCGTTCCGCGTCCGTGATTCCGACTTGCCTCTCTGATTTGGAAACCGATAAACAAAGTGGTGCGCTGATTAGTCGCCACTATAGTTACTGAAGAGTATCTCACCCTCTTAAATTAACATTAGCTGTTCAGTGTGAGTGAGTGTCTGGCCATGACAGGTCAAGGTCAAGCTTCAACCATCCAGGTGCACGTCTATATGTCACGACGCGCGCAATGGACTTGTGGAGAAAGAGTATACAGAAGCTTGATGGTCAGAGAAATTTAGTGGTTTGTTGAATTTTGTATTTTTAGAGTTCAGCAATGTACCTACTTTGGCGACAAGAGAGGACTACTTACGTTGAAGCTTGTTTCGCAGTCATTTCTTCTTTAGTGCAACCGTGTGCTGGCTCTTCGAATTGTTTAAACTGACGTTTTATTTTCAGAGTATATTGGTATAACGAGTAAAGCCATATAGGCGAGAATTATTTTTTACCGTGAAAACAGAATTTTATTGATCTAGATTGACATGACATCTTTTCTAGCTTCGATGCAATTTTGCTGTTCATTCAATTTCAGTTCAATATAATCTTAAAGTAATCAAAGAGATACCACTTCTGGTTCGTCAAATAAACGGGATATGTGCAATTTTATCATAAGCTATTTCTCAACATTCATGAAAAACCATTGATGAAAATCCGATTTTCCGAGTAAATAAAAAGCCACTTAAACGGAAGCAGCATGCAGCCAATAAAAGTCATTTCTGTACACTAGTAAAGCACTTCATAAAACTTGGCATTCGCATTTTTGCTTATACTGAAATAAACTTTCCAAATTTTCTTTTCCAATAGTGAAACTAACATTGACGCGCAAGTGCATCTGTTTAACGAAAAAAGTAACTTATTAGCACTTGACATATATTTCGGGGGGAAAAGCGAGAGGGACAGGAAATGAAAGTGGAGCTTTTGATAGTCAATGGCGGATTTTCATCGGAAGCAATGAAGCGAAAACGCTTTCCACTCTCGAGTTTTTCAAATGTAAAGATCAATCGAAGGACAACATGCCTGTAATGTAAACTACTACGTAGAATGGGAAATCACTTTTAGGATAAGCTCGTGGAAACACGAGTATAGGCTTTTCTTTGTGTCCGACATGTTAACGCGAAAAATGTGCGACGATAAATATCGTCACGAGCGAATACAATCGCTACACACTTTCGTATTGAGCTGAACGTAAGTTGTATGTATATGTACCTATAGAAAGCTTCGTGCGCCTATACCATTAATTGTATTGATTGTAAAGCTGGAAGCAAAGAATTTAAATGTCATTCTACACTGAGAAAGCTCTCTGGTTCGTTTAAATAAGGAGTTGATATTTCTTACTTCCAGTCGGGATTTTACTTCTCTACAAATGGATAAATCCAGCTCAGCAAATAATCATTTAATAAAAAATTATTACGAAATTTAATAACGATAGTATGAATTCGTTCGTTAGTATTAGCACCACAACTGGTCTTTGGAACTCACAAGCAAATATTGTTGGTGTTATTCACAGTTCATTGGGAGAAAGTTCATTCTCCGCAGTGGACTATTTTAGTCCTCTGTACGTATCACAGTCAATATACACACGAAAATACTCCATGTACAACAAACTCAATCTATCCGTTATTTTACACAATACCGGTAATAAAAACTGCAAAACTAACGATATTCAGATGTGCGGATGGAGATAATAATAATAGACGAAGTATATTAAGAACTAGAAACAGGCAGGAAGTTTATATCGATTACGTAGAACAAAAATGAAGTATCATCAGACTGCGTAATATGACGTTCATAAACTGGTAGTATATGGCAGAAAGTATCAATGGAACGTTTTTATCTTCAACAGTAACGATAGTAGCTTGTTGATAGACGTATTTGTTAGATCCGTTTACGTAATATTTAATATTATTTGTAATAATACATGCTTTTCCACCGTATACTGAATTATCAGGGTGATTTGTGTTACATATAAAATATTGCGGTATATTAAATTATTGTTTCTTAGAAAGGTTATTTTTTTTATCTAATTCGTTTACATTCTGAACAGCTATTTTAATTTCTGCCTTCATTTATCTTATTTATGAGTATTATAACCATATTAATAGTATCCATTCTGTTTATCAGTTAAATTGCATCATCGTAGTTTCTAGCTGATTGTTATTGGCCGGTGACGGTTGAATCTATGTTTGTTTGGGTTCCTCTCATATTTTGAAAACATTGCTATTTATTGCCTACACATACATCAGGTATGACTTAATGTTTTCGTTAATTTGGATTCCTCGTGGTAATCTTTTTGGTCTAATGTAAATAATTTTCGTCACAGTAGTTTTCTCGCACTGCACAGCACTTTTCCACGTGATATGAAATATTACATTGAAAAATTCACTAAAATATTTCACATACCTTGCAAAAATGTTGTAGAAATGTTCGTGAAATAAATTATGAATGTTCCATTAAAATGTTTCATGTAATATACCTAACGTATTGCAAAAATATTTCATTGAAATATTCCATGTCAAGTTTTGAAACATTATATGGAAACTTTGCATAAACATTCAAAAAAAATAGCAAGAATTATTTTGTGAAAGATTTTTGGAATGTCAATAAAAATATTTTGCGAAGTATTAGCATAAACTATCAGGAACGTTTTTCTGTTGTATTGTGTAAAAATATTCCATAAATATTGTGACAATATTCCCACAAATCATTCCCCGAAATAATTAAAAAATAATTTTAGAAAAAAAAATCGCATGAATTTTTCGAAAACTTATTATAAAATTCTCATTGAAATGTTTCGATTAAACCTTGCACAAAACTTGCAGAAACATTGCTCCACATATTACATAAAAATGCTTTGGCAATTTTTATAGAAACATTCCACAAAACAGCGGTGAAATATTGCACAAATGATTTGTGTAATATTGCAGTTAAAACTGAAAATGAACTACTCCTAAACGTCATCATATATATTTTCCTATTTTTTTATTTATCAATGATGGATGAATACACAAATAAATTAAGAAAAAGTAGACAGTTTAGTGTCAATTTTTATTGACACAATTAATTTTCCATAAAAATTGAGCACTAGTATGGGTCTGAATTGATGACAAACATACCTAATGTATCTGCTGGAAAAAGCTAATCACAGGAAACGAGACCTCCCAGAGCTCTCCCCCCCCTCCCCTCCAACCAACATAATTTATGCAAAATAAAGAGAAAAAAGTGTAGTAAATAAATTTTGATTCAAACCTGATGCGAAAACCTCCTAGAGCAGCACCGTGTCGGCGTCACGGGCACGGCCCGCACTATGCTGCCCTAACGGTCAAGGTGAGCTGGGTTGCCGCAATTTTGAGTGCCCTGAAACGAAAATATCTCAGAGGATATCGCGATAATCCGACGTTAACCCAAACGGATTTCGTTAGCCATTGTTGTAGACGCTGGGTCGCCGAGTCGCTGTCACAAAGAGGCACACACAGGTTTACGCACGCAACGGACGTTTGACAGCGATGTAGTGGAGGCGCTAGGCACTCACACTCACCCACAGCACACACGTAGCGTAAGGGGCGTGTAGCGCAGCAGAACATTCGCGTGGCAATGATGGCACCTGCACGCAGCGCAAGACAACACAGTGTCGAAGAACGCGGACACAATCGCCAACACTACTAACTTAAAAAGCTGGCAATCGCTTGATCATATTATATCGCTTGATTCGTGTCTGTATTTCCATCTATTCAACAACAATAACTTTATAGCTAGTACTCCTTCATCCTTCTTTATGGCCTGGCTGCCACTTCATCTATTCGATAAACAATACTTCGATAGCTGGTAACCGCTTAGCCTTCTTTATGGCCATACCTGCACCTTCATCTATTAACACCTTCTACTAGGAATATTCTTGCGCACCTGAATAGCCTTACAATTAGCCCAAATAGCCGACAATCCCTTGACCATATTATGCCGTATTTGCCATTCCATCTATTCACACCTTCTACTAGGAATATTCTTGTACACCTAAAAATCCTTATAATTAGCCCAATAGTCGACAATCGCTAGACCATAATCGGCCACATCTGCCTTTTCATCTATTCAACAATAATAACTTTATAACCGGTACTCCTTTATCTTTCTTTATGGCCATACCTGCATTTTCATCTATTGACACCTTCACCTAGAAATATTCTTGTGCACCTGAATGGCCTTATATTTAGCCTAATTAACCGACAATCCCTTGACCATATTATGCCGTATCTGCTTTTCCATCTATTAACACCTTTTACTAGAACTATTCTTGCGCACCTGAATAACCTTATAATTAGCCCAATAGTCGACAATCGCTAGACCATAATCGGCCACATCTGCTTTTTCATCTATTCAACAATAATAACTTTATAACCGGTACTCCTTTATCTTTCTTTATGGCCATACCTGCATTTTCATCTATTGACACCTTCTACTAGGAATATTCTTGCGCACCTGAATAGCCTTACAATTAGCCCAAATAGCCGACAATCCCTTGACCATATTATGCCGTATTTGCCATTCCATCTATTCACACCTTCTAATAGGAATATTCTTGTACACCTAAAAATCCTTATAATTAGCCCAATAGTCGACAATCGCTAGACCATAATCGGCCACATCTGCTTTTTCATCTATTCAACAATAATAACTTTATAACCGGTACTATTTTATCTTTCTTTATGGCCATACCTGCATTTTCATCTATTGACACCTTCTACTAGGAATTTTCTTGCGCACCTGAATGGCCTTATATTTAGCCTAATTAACCGACAATCCCTTGACCATATTATGCCGTATCTGCTTTTCCATCTATTAACACCTTTTACTAGAACTATTCTTGCGCACCTGAATAACCTTATAATTAGCCCAATAGTCGACAATCGCTAGACCATAATCGGCCACATCTGCTTTTTCATCTATTCAACAATAATAACTTTATAACCGGTACTCCTTTATCTTTCTTTATGGCCATACCTGCATTTTCATCTATTGACACCTTCACCTAGAAATATTCTTGTGCACCTGAATGGCCTTATATTTAGCCTAATTAACCGACAATCCCTTGACCATATTATGCCGTATCTGCTTTTCCATCTATTAACACCTTTTACTAGAACTATTCTCGCCCACCTGAATAACCTTATAATTAGCCGAAATAGCCTACAATCGCTAGATCATATTCGGCCACATCTACCTTTTTATCTATTCAACAACAATAACTGGTAAACGCTTAGTTTTCTTTATGGTCATACCTGCACTTTTATCTATTCGCACTTTGTACTAGAACTATCCTTACGCTCCTGAATAGCCTAATAATTGACCGAATTGATTAAATAGCCGGCACTCGCTTGATCATATTATGCTGTATCTGCCTTTCATTTATTCAATTAGAATAACTTTATAGTCGGTAACCACTTGATCTTTCTTTATGACCATATCTGCCCTTTCACTTATTGAACAATAATACCTCGATAGCCGGTAACCGCTTAGGCCTTCTTTATGGCCATACCTGCTCTTTTATCTAGTTGTACCTTCTACAAAGACTTTTCTTGTCCATCATATCTAAATATTTTTCAATTAGCTGAAATGACCGATAGTTGCTTGACCATAGTCTGCCGTATTTGCCTTTTCTCTGTTCATACCTTACATCAATATTCTTTACTAACTCATAAAAAATTTCTTTATAATCACCGATTTTCTTCAAATAAGTTATATTTGTAAGTAACATAGATATAAACATTATGATTTTGGAGACCACAATATTCATTTTTTTAAATGCCATTAATTACCCACGGGCAATTTACAGCAGCTGATTTTCCGGCTACTTAATGCATTTTTTATATTTCCGAAATTTCAAATTTTCCAAATTAATTGAACTTCAAAGAAATTTTCTATTTTAAAGCATTAATTTTCCACTTTCATTGATTACAAAATATTTGCTCTATAGACTGGCAAATTGTATAATTTTATAATGGATACCATTAATTATCTCATGAAGTGCATAATTTATTATTGATAAGTATTAAGAACGCATAAACGAAGACTATCATTCATCGCGTGAAGTGTATAAAGCCTCAAATAATCATAAATTGAAGTCGCGCGTCGTTTATAAATGTCAATATTAAAACTAACTAGTAAGGCATACTACCAAGTGCAATGCAACATTAAGTAAATTAAAAATTTCTCATAGCGCTGCAAATCAAATTTTTCTATAATATATTCTTTCACATGCTTACAACATATATATAAATCTAATCGTACAACTAAAAGCATGGCTCGGAGAGTTGGCAGAGACGCTTAACACCTTGTGTATATTACTTGCGGCTAGGCGTCAATCGATTTTCCTATAGTAGCACCAGGAGGAAAAAGAAAATTACGACGATAAAAAAAAATATGGAGAATTTTCGGCTACTTTCTATGAGTCAGCGTACTGATGGACAGGTTTGGAGTATCCACCAGTTATGACTGTCTACTACCTGTCGCATTGTCGTCCGCAATAATAACAAGGAATATAGATATTTACGCTTAATGTGCTAGCAATCTATTAGCTTCAGCTTTAGCCTAGAAACCAAGGACCTTATTTACCTGACTTGCTGCAACCGTGTTTTTTTGGAGAACTGCGTTTGTCTCCTTCCTACTCTCTTTATTCCAAAGTTATTTATAACCGTAGACCATAAAAAAACTTATATAGTAGTTATACTCGAGTAATGTTTAACGTTATAATTATAGGGTTGAGTCTTCAATCATTTTTACAAATCATGCATCACCCAATGCAAAATATCTATTTTGCGATAATAATAAAAAAAATTTTATTGCAGCTCCAATAACAAGTATGCTAAGTCAAAAGTACAGTTGTCGAGCTGTAGTATTTTTTGGGGGATTGTTTTGTTCACTCGGTCTCATGCTCAGTTATTTTGCCACCAATCTGATTCACCTTCTATTCACTTTCGGAGTTCTAACTGGTAAGCAACAAAAAAATTGTATACAAAATAAAAAAATAAAAATTGACGCGTGAACTGTGGGTACTTTAGTCAATAATCCATCGATTGCATCTATTGTACATATTAATAGGTAGCAAAAAATCTTACAAAATAGGAGTACATGTAAAAAATATATTGAACAGGTATAGGAGGAGGTTTATCAACAACACCAGGGATAATCCTCGTTTCGCAATACTTTGACACGCACCGCGCCTTGGCAAACGGGATCTGTGTGTCGGGGACTGCAGCTGGCAGCTTTGTCTTCCCACTATTGATTGAATTTCTCGTAGTACATTTTGGTTTTCACGGTACCCTACTAATCCTTGGCGGCTGCATGCTACACGTCTGCGTTAGTGCCAGTCTTTACCGTCCACTAGAGAAGAATTACGAGAATGAGGATGTAGCCGAAGACGAGAGGAAAGAACCAGGAACAGTAATTGTCGAACGCGAAACTCCTGAAGCTGAGATCAAAAGGCAAAAACTGGAAATGCTTTTCGCCGCTAATGATACCACCGCCAAGAACAACATGGTCAACCAGATGTTTCATCAGAATAACCATGCTAATGGTCAGTGATTTTTTTATTAATCGATATTATCGTATTGTGGCTACGGAGATATTTGCAATTTGAAGTAGTTCGGTAACTTAATCTTCCATCTTTTACGATTAATTTCATTGTGAAAAAAAAAATGAAATTGCTTATAGTTGATAAAATAAGATACGTTAATCATAATTATATCTCTGCATAAAGTTTCTCATATTGGTTTGACTTCATTGACAATACAACTTGTGATAGTCAATGCGATAATCGACCTGCGAGCATAAAAACTTCAATGAAATTTCCCCGCAGCAATCTTGTATAATAGCGCGTTTTATAAACTTCAATTGCAGAGCCAGCAGTAGGATTGACTGACAGCGAGGAGGAGAAGGACATAATGGGCGAGTCACTGAGGATGAAGCCAATCTCGAAGATACGCAGCTCGAGTATACTACATAGCGTTGAAGACTTGTCAACGGATTCGACTTGCTTCTACAAGAGCCGCTCGTCTCAAAGGTCAAGCCTACGTAACGGCACTATATATCGATTTAGCTCACCGCCGCAGTTGTCACGACATTAAAGGGACGACTTTTGTTAAATCAATGAAACCCATTATTCTTCGCCTAATAAAACTTTTCTTTGTGGAGGAGACAAATGTTCTGTCCTTCATATAAGTTTGTTTTCTTCATTTTTGTTCGTTGACAAAAGTTTCAAGTAAATTATTGTTATTAGGTTTCACCGCGTTATCAAACACAATTATTGCTTACCCAATGACATCATAATGTAGAAATTTACATTCTTGCGCAATCTTTGAAATTTTGTATTCATAATTTGATCAACGCAATTGTGTGTAAGTTAATTTAATTGTGTATAAGTTAGATTTAACTAAAGATTGATATAGCCGAGGAAATACCTAGTAAAATATATGAAACGTTACCATAAAAAACTTTAAAAGTAGAAAATAAAAATCATTCCAATAATAGAATTCATTAAAACGATAAACTCAAATTGAATTTTTTCCATAGATCTTTGCGAGCATCAGCCTTAGCAGTGTGTCCAAATGCACGAGACAGTATAGGGGATGTACCTCGGGTAGATTCAGAGGCAGCGATGCAACAACGGCACCATAGTAGTCTGACAGCCGAGCAATCAGCATCAAAGGAATCATTGTCACAGCGCATAATCAACCGATACATCGACTTGACTTTACTTCAAGAGCCACACTTCATTCTCATGTGTCTTTCTGTTACCCTCATGTCCACTGGTAGCCCGTACATGCTTTACTATCTGCCTGCCTATGTACACGCGAGTGGTTACACCAAACCCGAGGCTGGATACCTTGTGGCCATTTCCGCTGTGTTGGATCTGTGCGGTAGACTCGGTTTGGGATATCTGTCTGACTTGCAGCTTTTTGACAGGAGGAAATGTTATATCAGCAGGTAAATTTGGACTTCTAGTTTTTTTATATTCTTTTCAAATACTATGCATCGAAGCTTAATTTCAATTACTTGAAAGTTCAAATAAAAAAATGTCGGGACTCTGCACGCTTCACCGTGCAATCTTGAGCATACAACTTGTATGATATATTTTTCTTAAAGAAATATGAGTTTAATCAAATGTTTCTTTTTAGTATCGTTGGAGCCGGCATAGCAGTGTTAATGATTCCTCTAGCACAATCATTCTACGTTCTTGCTTGTTCCGTAAGCATTTACGGTCTTTGCCTCGGCAGCTGGTTTCTTTTGGTTCCAGTACTGCTAGCTGACCAGTATGGTACTGACAAGATATCATCTAGTTACGGACTTGTTAGAATGTTCCAGAGTATCGGTGCTATCACCATTCCACCGTTAGCTGGTAAATATATGTCTTTTTGTAGACTAATTTAAATTTTTTAGCGTAATAATAATAAAACACGAAATACACTTAATTGCAACAATTATTTAATCATCGATTATCATAAATATATACTTCGATCAGTCTTCATTAGCATTTCAAAAATAACTTGTTGTAAATCAGGGGTAAGTTAACGACCAGAAAATTAAATTAGCACGTATTAAAATTAGTCTGTCAAGTCGACTTCGCCTATTAATTACTATGGTAACATATTGCACTGACAAAAATATGAAATATCCTTCTCAGCCGGGTATCTAATGTTAATGTATCTTTTTTCCGAGATATAAATTTATGTCGTTATATTTTCCCCTTTATCATCCAAACCCGTTTATTCTTCCATACTTGGACCATACTTGCACATATCCTACACGTCAACTACCTTCTAAGAACAATTCTCCATCATAAATAAATATTTTATAAGGGCATGCTTAATTATGACGCAACTTTTCTCCTTAGGTCAAATTTACCTATAGGTCAACCGGATTGCGTAATGATTACCTACTCTTTTCTAGATATATTTTTTTCCTTAGTATCAATTTTTTACTGTTTTTAAATTAAACTTTGTTAAAAATTATTAGACCAAATCTTACGTTATCAAAAATATCATTTTTAAACATTAAAAATTATTTATTTCACTAAACTTGATGATAGAATAAATTTGAAATGTATATTTTAAAAGCATAATTCAAAATTAGCAGTTAGACAGGCTACCGACTCAAAGTATCTATACACGCAGTATTTTATAAATAGATGTCAGAGTTTGCCTGCCAAAATTACCGTTAGATTGTAAAAGATACATTATAAAAGAGCATTATACGCTTTAACGCGGGCTGTCGCTCAGTTAAATTTGTCCATTATTTGCACGATCATGTTACAGTCATGACAATTTTGCACATTTGCAATGAAATACAACCCATGCTAATTTTAATTAAATTTGAATGATCGTCATACTTCGCGTTAGTACCGGAACTAGTTTGTTAGGAGGTACGTAGTGCTTCAGTTTAAGTCTGAAAATATAAAATAACGAATTCATAAAATTTTACTATTGTATATTTATGTTAAAAAAAGTACAGATAACTTTCGATACAAATACAAAATAACAAAAATGCGTTTGTGGTTTATTGAAGCCATACGTAAGAACTCCAAAGTCAAAGTTATTGCTCTTTATATCCAAAAAGTTATTTACCCAAAGAATGTCGAAGGCGCGCCAATTGCGGCACTCAGCAAGGTTCTCTCCTGAATACGTACGATCGAGCGCACGTGCGTGTATATTCATCGAACGTTAGACAAAATAACGATAAGAATAAAAGGCCATTCTTCTACGCGTGTGCGTAAATTTCGCCTTTTTTCCAGGCGTACTTGGACGTGTTGACATTGAATTTTATTTTCGTCGTCCCTCGAGTTTATCGATTGCTTTTTGTTCTTGGACAAAGCCGTTCTCGTTCTTATATGGGTTGTTATAAATAACTAACGATATTTTTTATACACTTCAGCGCATTGTGTATCTTTACTCAGGAAATAAAATGTCGTAGTAAGATCAAATTCAAAGTTTGATTAGCGCAAAATATTGTTGAATTAAAAAGATGTAAAGAGTGACAAAGTACTCCGTGTAAGTTATTAATAACTGCGAACGAGCAAAACGCTATGGCACCTTACAGTAAGAAAAAAAGACAAATCTAACGTAAAATAGTAATATTTTGTTGGCCCAAAGTCTATCAATTCGCAACGAGAATTCGATTAGAATCATTTCCGTGCACATCGGTCCTATATACTTGCGGTTTTTGCCTATCGATTCGCTGCAATCGCTTGACGTGATACCGTATAAATATCCGCAAGGCACTAGTTAGAGTTCAAGGCAGTAAGACTTTAATTACTTTGCGTTTCAATCGGCTCTAATCGGTGCTTTACATTTTCAAATGGAATAAGATTAATGAAAATCAATCGGTTGAATTAATATGATTAGCATATAAATTACACGTCACTCTCAAATTAGAATAGATCAAGCATGTGAAAACGATGATTTTTCATAATTACTTTTCCTTTTTGAAAGTTTTTGCTAAAGTAGCCACTGTATCGATCCAAAAGATTTTACCGGTTATTTACGTATTTCTGATAAATTGATGTCATAAACAAATAAAATTGCAAACGTTTGTAGCGTCACGCTTTTGCAAGACGTCGTCGTCGTCAATTAATAAGACTGAACGTGAGTCGGCACACTTGGGGAATTTCTTTACTTCTCAGCTCACACATTTGATTTGATCGAGACACAAAATTCGTTTTCTTTTTATTTACTTAGAAAGCTATACGTAAACAATTTATGCTAAGAATGTAAAGAAAGAAGCGTAGAAAACAAGCTTAACTTAATTTTTTTTCCAATGTTTTCTTTCAATATTTGATAACGACATGATTGATTTTCCTTAACTGCTTTTCATATACTTTTGTTGTTAGCTTGAGCTTGTTTACATGTTTTCGTTCGCCTTCATTGATTAAATACGCTATTTAGGTCATTGATTACCTAATTTATTATAAAATAGCGTTGTTTATCATAAAAAATTACTTATTTAATTCTTGTGTTTATGAATGGCACAGAAAAAAAATAAAAATAATAATTACATCTATTAATTTTCTTTCAAAAATACATGCTTTTTTCGAATCCTTGAAACAATACATTAAATCAAGTCATGAAATTCACGGTAGCTTAAAACTTTGTTTTAACACTAGCCGTAGTAAATACCTGATTACTAACAAGAGGGTCTCCTTACTTTTCAGGATTCATGCGTGACATGACGGGCAGTTACGATGTGTGTTTCTTGTTCATGGGCACGTGTATGTTGATGGGTGGTCTACCTCTGCTCCTCGTTTCCGATAATAACAAGGCCAAGCAACCCGACCAAGAGGCAGCTGCTCCTACCAACAACTGGAAGATAGGCGATGATGATATTTTTGAAAAGAAGAAACGTTCTGTCGACGAGTGTTAAATGTTGCTTTAAGATAACTCAACATTCAACTCCATTTTATGGTTTTAGACGCAAATTGAAACAGTTGATGAAATCTTCGTTAAATCTATATGTAGCTGTTTGGTTTCTTTGATGCTTTGTGATTTGAATAATATAATAATTATATGAGACTAGCAAACACTTATATTAGCAAGAAAAATTTTGAACTTATCAGCAAAGAAAACGATCTGAAGAAATTTACATGTACCTTGTTTTATTCTAAAACTTATTATTGCATATGTAATTTAAGCTTGGCTTGAGGATACCTTTAACAAATTGACAAAAATGTTATTTTTTAAATGTATGATAAAATTTAAAATTGTTCTTGTATATCAAAAGAAGTTGGTAGTCTCGAATATTCGAATCTTTTGTCAGTTTTAAACATTACTTAATGTGAAAAATTACTGAATATCTCTTTGGTAATAGTAGTAATTGTTAAAACTGGTAGTTTTTAAGTGTTAATTGTTATGGAACATACAACATGTTTATACTTTGACTTTAAAGATTGTTGAAAACCCAAGAAAAAAACACAACTAAATACCATATTATATTATTCTTATGTCTGCAGAAAGCGAGAAATATAGTACTCAAATCGGATATATTATTATATTGAAAACACACATATTTTTGAAAGAACATTATTCAAGCCGTTTGTGCATCAATTAGGAATGAAACAAATCACTTGATTTGATTTATAATCAATAAACAAATATTCTTTCAAAATTTTCGAAAGTTTTATATAACAATAAGTATGTTTTCGATATACTTCTTGATATAGTAACTCCTATATTTTAGATCAAAAGTTCATTTGCATTAACAGATCGATTTATTAACAGAAAGGAATCATTTCTTGATCTATCATTTTTCTTCGTTTTTTCTTGTATAGTATTGTATGCTAGATTTTCCTGCGCTTTATATGTAATATTTTTATGCAAATTCAATTTCAGAATCTTAATAAAATGTACTTACACAAATATTTGTATTGCCGATAGTAAGTACATTTTTAGTTTGCTAATTTGATTTAGAAAACGAAATGTGAACAGCGAAGATCGCTTTTAATCGATCGAGTTCTCTTCATTTATTTTATTATGATACCCACTAGAAACGACTGCCGATTAATCAAATTATACTAAAGCCAAAATTGTACGAAATGAAAAAAACATCGTTTTTTATAAATATATTAGGTAGCGTATGCAAGTGATCTCATATGACATGACCTGGTAGGATACATTTACAAAATTTATCAATACAATTTTATTATTTTTCAATTTTATGAACAAAAAAGTAATTAGTTTTAATGGTCTAACTAGAGTTTGTTAAATAATTTGTAATATTTTTTCAAGCATTAGTTTAAAACATTTTTAATTTCATTAAACTAATAATGAATAAATTTATACTAAACAATATTGAGGTAATAAACCAATAGTATACAAATATCAATTTAAATAGAATATATGCTAGATATTTAAATTCTACGCGCGTCCTAACGTACGCACTCTATGTTCAGAATTTCACTTGTAAGTAATAATTTATTGTTCTAATTATGTACAAGAATCGATGTATGAACAAAAATAAGCAAAAAGTTAATTTTATGGGGCCTTCGCTATATTAAATAATTTTTTATTCACTTCAAAATTAGTTAGTTCGTTGATTTCAACAATACAGCACTGCAAAATGGAAGGAATATACTTTCTAATAACAATTCGATGGCTGTGCAAAGTGATAAAACAAAATAGATGATTCAAGATTGTATAATTTCATATTTATTATTTTTTCTGCATCATTTAAATAATCGTTTTTAAAGTGTGCCTCTTAAAGTCTAAATATTGAGAAGAACGTTCATTGCTTTGAACAAAGAAATAATCAGCAAGAAAGTTTATTCGAATTAATGTATGCATAATAATTATAATTTTTAACAAAAGAAGAGCTTCTACGTGTCACAAAAACTTAAATTTATAACATATATTCATTAAAAAAAGCGATTGCATAATATGTGAACCAGGGCATATGCGTTCATACTTTCATCGCAAGCGCGATTGCACCAAAAACTCATCTGCATAGAATGAAAGAAAGTTGAAATTTGTATTTTAATCATATACTGTCTTTTTGTCTCCAACAGAAAATGTCTAATCTACGGTTCTTTAGACCGAGTGACAAGTGTATGTTCTTTAAGTTCTTTTATAAATACAGTACTCTTTTCTATACTTGTAAATATTATAGATTTTATGAAAACTAATGATCCTGTTTATTTGTCAGCGGAATTAATAAATATAAGTTTCACACGAAAGTATAAGATGCGTAGAATCAAAAGAAAAAAATCAGATATAAGGAAGAAGGGTTTAAAATAAATTGTTTTTCTTCAGGTGGAATTAATCGTATTTTATAAAAGTGGCTGGTTCAATAAATTCGATGAAACAATTAGCAAATTTAAATGTGTAAGCAAGAACGATCTATAAGTACTTATCAGCTTTAGGAAAGAGATTCAGCAAAGTATGAACGACTCTTCATTAATGAAAAGAATAGAGAATTAGTAGTGTATTTTTTCTAAATGAAAACGTATTTTATAAACTTCTTGACCACAAGTACATTTTTTCATGATAGACTTAAAAAAATACAACTTCGTTCCCGAAATGAATGTATGTCAAGGACCTAACTGCTATTCAATTTTTAAGGATCTAAATGATTTAAAAAACAAGTTTGTATAATTGGAAATTAAAGTGAGAATTGAAAAACCGAATAAGCATTGATTTCGAAGAAGTAATTTTAAGTGACAAAATGATTTTTAAGGAAAAAAGAGAGAAGAGTAACGTTTTTCATCTGACATCTGGGCACACATAAAAAAACTATAACTATGATAATAAAAATAATGGACGAGTTTTTTCCTTCCCCGTCATACGAATTTTTTGCGAGCGACTTTGAATGAACAAAGTGAACGAGCTATTTTCCCGATGCGCATGCGATACAAAGACTTGATTTTTCTGAATAACATAAGTTGTGACAGCTAAAATTATCGTACAATAGAAAATGTTTGTTTAGTACGGAGACAATATACAAGTGCGATAAAATTTGTGTTGCGCGCTTACATTTGCACGCATCTATTATGAATGTGAACTGTATTTGCCGAGCAAACGATGTTTTTTCTTTCGCGCGGATTCCTGGTGTGAACTTGGATAATTGTCTAAAACGAGATTGAAAAATCTAAAGAATTATTGATAAAATAAAAGATGCTTGAAAATATAAATAATATAAATGTAGAGTTGGTTTATTTACTCCCATCAACAGTAAGCCTCGTCCCAATTTCGTTTATCCTGTTAAATTTAGTAACTCGATCATTATCACAGCTGCTTTTGGCTCGAGCTTACCCAGAAATTGGAAGTAATTGCCATATGACGTAGATTTTGTGCCGAACAAATGACTCTGGGCCACAATAGAACGATGCGGAAAAACGAGGAAATAAAAAAATTGTGCACAAGTGTATCGAGTGAAAGAGAATGAAAAAAGGCCCCACTGACAAGGCAAATGGCTGCGGTAATGGAGAGAGTAAGCGCTATATTTGAAACCTTGACTTTGCCGATCCCGTGCCGAATATAGGTTAACGCGAGCACTGCTTGTTTAGTTGGCAACCACGCACCGGCGAAGCCGTGCGATAGCAATCGAGGAGTTTGCAAATCGTCGAGGAAAGTTCGCACACACGCGGGCTGGAGCTACCGATGGACAAGTGTACCAAGCAAACACGCGGTCTTGCAATCGATAATCCCGGGACCGTTCCTGCGCCCAAAACTAGCCTACGCACTGCCGTACGTGGTAACGAGCGACTGCAAGGAATGCGTGAGCAAAAACGCCGCCGGTCGCAAGCTTCGCAGTGGTATACCCGATCCCTGGCTGGACTACCTCGCATGGAAGGAAAACAGCTCCTCGAAGGACGCGCGCTCGAGCTGGGACTACGTGTGGCTCACGGACTTCGTTTGGCGTAATCGGCGACTGGCGATGGTGCAGGGCATTCCCGATCCCTGGAGAGTCGGTCGGACCAGTAATTGGATGCCCGCTGCTCTGCCAACTTTAACGAGCGCTGTTTTCCAACCGCAGACTTTGATTGCTCGTGCTACCGAGGCGACGACCACGCCGAGGCGAGGAAAAAGCCAAGGCCCATAAGCGACGAGGAGAAAGTTTCGAGCGCTTTAGCGGGGCGTGACTCGAAAGACAAGGGCGATGCAAAGAAGACACCACCCGAAAGACACAAGAAAAAGGAACACAGTACTTACGAGAAAGTCAAGGATAACATGACCAAGCTCGAAGGCGAATTGAGATTGAGAGACGCTGCAAGGAAAAAGATACTTCGACGAGCTGCTGCTACTACTGAGAAAGCTGCAAAAAGTAAAAGCACGCTTTCTGGAAAAGTCATTCACAGGGAGAAGGCAATTGAAAAGGTAGCAGGTAATCCACCGAGCGATGCTCGTCGCAACATCAACGCGAGCTTCGAAGGCTGCAAAGCTGAAATAAGAAAGTACAACGATGACGTTTCGAAAATCAGGAGAGACGCAAAATTAGCCCAACAGAAAATCCAGAAGCTCAGAGAGGAGCAAGATAAGCGTCGTTCGGGAGCCAAGAAAGCGAACGACGAATATGTTTTGTGCCCTGGAAATTGCGGACGCGTTCGCCGGCGCGACAAGGTACCGACGTCGATTGTCATTAATAATGACGAGCGTGACGCCGCCAGCGTGTCGGCAGTGACGACGGCCAGCATTAGAAGCGCAAAACACTTTCTGCGGGAGATCAACGACAGAATAGAGTTGACGAAAGATGCCCTGAACTCGCCCGACATAAGCACGAAGCGCAGATCCTCGGCGCAGAGACGCGAGAGAGGAGCCGGCGACGATCATTACAACGCCGACGAAGTGGTCGTTTTGCAACCTAGTTTGTTCAGTCGACGTGCGATTCCGATTAACCGCAGCGCTTCTGAAATTCTGGATCACGCCGATATCGAGTCAACTTGTCCCGAGCGGCAACGTTATCGGGAAACTTTGCCGCGCAAACGTCATCGTGCAGCGAGAGAAAGCGAACTGCTAATTATAGAACCTTTTTCCGAGCAAGACTAATTATTATCAATCAATCTATTATTAAACTAGATCTTGCGCCGGAATATACGCTTCTTAGACATTAAAAAGCCTTGCTAATCGTTTATTTATTCAAGTATATCATTCGTGTCAAATAAACGTAATTGCACAAATTAGTTTCTAGCAATATGTACGTATACATATATATTTATATACATACATACATATATATTTTTTCTCGCGTTACCAATCTAATTCTGAAAGACTGCCAATGAATAAGCCGCTAATACGAACGAAATGTTCTAAAAAAAAGGAGAAATGTATTTTCAGAGACTGTCTTTTGTGGGGGTCTAGAAGTCGCGATTCGCACACGATCGCGAGTACACGATTATCGCACATGATCTTCTGACGTAAGGCATCGCAAACAGCTCGCGCGCTCGAGCCTGGAATGTATAACGTTGCGGACAAATAATGAAGCCACTCTGTGCATTCTTGCGAAAAGAGATTTTGTACAGAATTTTTTGAGCTTTATATGTAATTGTTCTCGCGTTTTCTTGAATTAGGCTCAAGGATTTCATCATTTTATTTCTATTCGAAAGAGAAATTTTGAATAGTCCTTAAAAAATTTGTAGTACAGTTATTTATATTTGAAATTCTAAATAATTTATATCAATATTGTTAATATTTATATTAATTTTGTATGTTTAAGCAAATACGCCTTACAATATTGTATTAATCCTTGAACCCATTTATCAACCTCGAAAATAATACGTAACGAAATAACGGGATCTGATCTCAACGTATCATATAATGTTTAGAGTATACAGCTTTTTCACAAATTGGTTTTAGTTGCATAATTCGTCACTTATCGCTCTAGAAAAAATTCATAGCAGCAAGATATCAATCTCAAACTGTATCGATTTCTCGAGACGAACGATGAGCTAAAAAGTATTGGGACGAGCAATGTGGTACTTGTCGTTTGCATTTCAATTGTAGCAGCATGTGAGATTCATAGTAAATTAGCTTTCGAACGCCCAATTCATAAGTTTTAGAAATATTTCAGCCAATAAAGATAAAGCCAAAAAGAAAAAATTACAGTGAGCGAAAAATCTCAATTGGATCCTCGTGACTTCAGTCATCGCTCAGCAGAGTCCTAAAGCATTACGAGAAAAGATGAGAAAGAGAAAGAAGAAGAGAGAGAGAGACGCATCGCGCATGGTTTAACCATTGGTATCGTTCGCTGAAAGGAAACCGCAAAGCTGCTGCAGGAGAGACAGGAAGGACTCAATCAACGCCCGTCATCGGCGAGTTACGCCTGCCGAAAGACAAAGTAAGCGTAATTGAGCAACGACGATATCCTCAACGACTAATCGTTCAACTGGCGAGAAAATGCTGCCAGCAAATACCGGATACTTCAGCCCCAATGCCAATTGACGCTGATCGGGTGCGTTGAGCTTCGTCTTCGTCGGAAACTGTCGCATACGCGCCTCGTCACTTTTTTTTCTTTTACCGCTGCTTCATCGCTCGCCAACGCTCCGTTTCGTGGTAAAAATCGCGCGAGCTCGAAAACTCATTCGGTCGAGTGGCAAACACTCGAAGGATGCATATATTTATAAAATTTGTTGCTACTTCAACTTCACATAGCTCGTAAGATCAACGATAAAGATTTACGACACTGGAATCTAACAGATACTTGATGTTAAGACAAATACTGTATAAAGCGCTAAATCCTTCATCGCTCGTTGCGTGTGATCAACAATATTCGACATCGAAAAGTAACACACGCATATTGCACGTAATCATTGATTTAGCAAATACTCGTTTTTTTCGCATGATAACATGTTTATCTCGATGAAAATGCAATAATTTAATAGTCAAAATTTTTCTAATTTTTCTCATTAAATAATAATATATATAAATTTCCTTAAAAATATATATGAAAATTCTAATTGTAACGCAGTAGTAGCTTTGTAAGGGGATAATATTCATTCTGAAAATATGTATATATTTATCATTACATGCGCTTATCATCGGGTGACATAAATATTTTTCTTTTCCAAAAGGCGATTACAAACAACCACTTGAAGTGACAGATGCGGCGAAAAGATATAGACTCTCACAATTTATTGACATTATTGTCGCGATGCTAAAATGTGTTACGCTCGCTTTCTTATACGAACGATAATGAAATTGACACAGATTTTAAAAATAAAATTGCAGACGATATATAATAATAAAAGATATCGCTGAGCACGGGGAGCTATTAATTGCGCAAATCTCCAGAAACTCACTTTTATAAATAATAAATATCCTGTATTTTATGATCAAAAAGGGACTCGACACGACTCGGACAAAATAGAACAATGACTGCGAACGTTTGACGCATGAGTGAAGCAGGTCGCGAGTCGATAAAACCACCGTCAGGGTCGTATTTGTATACCTGGAGCAGCAGTATACATCTTGCAGGCTACGCGCGGGAAACCACGAAAAGTGACGTTGTCTCTTATCGGGTCAGGGCCACGTAGCGACGTGGAAAAACCGAGCGCGCGTTTACTTATTGTTCTTATCTCGCGTCGGCGGAGACTGCTTGGCGCGCTCGCGTGCCTCGCTCCTCGGCAATTCGGCGCACGTCTTCACCTTGGATTCCTTCAGGGACTGCACAGCTCCGATCATCAAGCTTTTTCGTGGATGATTTTTCATCGGCGAGGTGGATGACATTAGCAGCGTTATCGTCCAGAGAGAATATTGTTTGCTCGTTAAGATATTGTAACGAGGAGTAAACAATATGTATGTCAGGCTGAGTTGAATGACAGAGCCCCACGATTCGTTTAATATTTGTAATATTTGAGAGTAGTGTTATTTGCTCGATGTTGAAATCGAGACGATAAGTGTCGATGGTCGATTATACTCCTTTTCAAATGAAAATATCAAATGTCTGAGTATTGGTGAATATCCTTTTGTTCATTCAAGTCTTCACTCGTAACATAAATTTGAAATTTCTCCGTGTAAACGTACAGCCAGCATGAGGAAGTGAAGGTTCATTGGCTTTTGCATTTTGGCAATGACAAAAAATCAATTGGTTGTACGAAAATCGCGTCGAGCAAAATCAACGTAGAAAATTCATTTGATGGGCTGTTAGTAAAATAATTTAGCGAAAATCAAACGATTACTACTTGTAATAATAGTAATTTTAAATAGAAATCGAGAATGAAATTCGTTCATTCGTTAGTTCAGGCCAAATCCAATCAGTCCGGTACCAAAAATTTCCAAGCGACGGGACGTAAAAAAGAAATCATGTTGCAACAAACGAAAAATTCAGGTCTTTTCCTACTCGCTCTTTTTTCGTGTTAATTTTTTTGTCTACCTACCTTTCTAGCCTCACGACAAAGAGAGGGAGGGAGAGAGAGAGAGAGAGAGGGAGACAAACAAAGATGATCGAATGGCGCGTGTTTGAGCAAGGAGAGCGCCAAGTGTGCGTCGGCGCAGGTATAAACGCATGCGCCAGGCGGGGGTGGGGAGAGAGAGAATGAGAGTTGTGTGGGACGTACGTGTGTTACACCAGCTGATCGCTCTCAGTCGCGTTACGCTCGCTGTCGAGTGTGCATGCGCTTTAGTTTTTCGGGACAGCGCGAGATATCGTCGCTGGGGGGCGAGCGAGCGAGCTTGCAATTGTGAAAGCAAGAGAGAGAGAGAGAGAGAGAGAGAGAGAGAGGAAGCAAAGAGCACGCGAGCGAGGTTAGGAAAGGGCTCTCTGCGAGTTGTCTATATGTGCCGTTCCAGAACTCTGCCAGCTTGGGGGCCAACCGGCCGCCGGCGATTCACAGCAACAAGTTCAAACTCCTAGAGCTTTTTGAGCGTCTTTGTTTCGCTTCGTCATTGGCTGCATGAGTACCCGCTACTGTCATTGCTGCTGCTACCTTGTGTACTGAGAGAGCGAGAGAGGACGCCAAGATGATGCATGACAAGGGAGAAGACAATGGCATCAACATCAAGTTCGGCGAGGACAGAACCAAGGGTGATTACCGGCTTGTCAAGCCCAATAATGCCGCTGCCCTCAATGGCAAGAAGAAACGTGCCAATGGGACTGCCAAACGAGGTGAGTGCACGGGCGTGGGGACGAGCTTCTTGCTATCGAGCTCGTTCTTTTCTATTTCGACGCTTGCCACTTTTATCGCCGTCCAGTCGTCTGGCGAACAATAGTGCGCGCTGTTTTCAGCCTGTCACGGGCGTTTTAATACGCAGCGCTTAGCGCGCGCGGTCACGGTGTGTTTGTGCACGTAGCGAATATCGATTGTCACGGTGCGGACATGTAAAGCGCGCGGCCGACATTTAGTCAATGGACGTTTCCCCAGCACTAGCCAACTGTACTCGACTCTTGCTTGAAACAGCGACCGATGCGCGTCTATACCGAATGGCGACTCGCTGGAAAAGTTCCGCTGTCGCCGCTCGAGGCGAAACACGCGTAGGAAGTAACGGAAAAGAGCGCACCTCGTATCGCTGGAGGTCAGGCTGATCTTTAATTCAGCAACGGCGCGGAAGCTCGGGCTGCGCTGGCTTCGCAATTCAATCTCGGAGAGCGCGCGGGAGCCTCGGCGATCAGAAAATCACGGTTTGCGTCATCAGTCGACGAACGAGAAAGAAGACCACGAGCATGTGCGCCGCGAAAGCTTAAAAGTCGTCGACGAGCCGACGAACACGGAACACGGAGCGTTTTTCTCTCTTTGTTTTTGTGCATTTTTTTTGCTTCCTATCGCAACACCTCGAATGCCCAGCAAACGCTCCAAGGCTGCGGATTGCGGGCTCACGGCGACGAAACATCTGCGCTAGGTGGATTTCCGCGCGCGATAGGCCAGATCTTGACCTAAGCAATGCCCGTCGCGATTTCGTTCGCGCGAACTGCGCGTTGGCCGTAGTCCCCTCGCTGTGATTGTTATTGTGGCGAACTATAGATTCGGCCTGGTCAGCTTTCGCGACGTGCAATCGAATCGCCGAGCCTGCGTCCGAGATGAAGCCTCCCGTCGACTCGCGGAGCAGCGTGCGCGCGTGTCGCGTGGAGCGGATCAATTTTCATTTTAGCCGGCGAGGCGCTCGCGCGCGCGGAATTCTCAAAACGCCCACGTTTCTCGTGCGTCATGCTATTTTCGGAAGCATATAATAGATCAGAAGCTTGAACTTTGTTTGGTTGACATGTTGGCAAGGTGCCAGCCGATGATCTATTTAACTTTGGAGGGCGGCTGATTATGTCGGCCACGCGACTGTGTTATGTTTCGCTCGACACCGTGACTCTCGAGTCTTAATATTATTAACGCGACGACTACTAAGTTTATTACATATATAGGCATGCGTCGAAGTTTCGTATTTGATCTCGCCAAAAACTTCGTACAGAAGGTACTGACAGCAAGATATTCATGTTTACATAGAGCAGCAACGTCGATCGTTAGCTTTTATATACTTGCGCGTCGCGCGGCTTTTTATCTGCGTGAGCCGCTGAACAAGCGACGAGTGTGTTTGCCTCCGCGAGATTACTCGAGTGGGTCTGCTTCTCTCTTTTACGCGAACGACACGCCGCACGCCGATACGAGATTCTTCAGGATTCGTTTGGCTCTCTTTTTCTCGACTTTACGACTCGTCGATTTAGATAGCGGACCGAGCGACAGGCTTGAAAACAAATAATTATATTTGTTATATCGGCTCGAGCTGTCGGCTTTCATTGAAGTTCGATTAAAACTTCAATTACTTCAGTACAATGTTGTCTGATCAAACAGATTAATCACAAGAGAGCGTCACTCGACTGTTGACATAATTGAGCTACTTGTGAAGAGCTTTGCAATCGCCACGGGAGCGTCAAGTTCACACGCCCAACTGAATTTCGCCTTGGACGCCGCTGTTCACTTCACGCCAATTCCCGGGAAACATATTCACGTTGACGCCCCGAAAGTGAACAAATTGCGCAGAAAACAATCGACGAACAATTAATAAGCGGTCGCTCAGCCATGACGCGTGATAAGCGCAATCTCGGCGATACTCGAGAACGAAAAAAAAAAACGTCTACGCGTCGTAGATGTCAAGAAAAACAAAATTTAGTATATCGCGCGATGTCCGCGCACATTGAGTAATTGCCGAGAGTTTGCCGTAACCGGGCAGTACGAGCTTGTATACGTCTCATTTCTTGCATAATGAATTGGTTAAAATACTACATCGTCACTTTGCCACTCTGCAGAGCCAACAGAGCTATCTTGACAAATTCATTCGGTTTTTTAGATCAACAAGCTCGTTGAGTGCGCTTCATTGAAATTCATCGCCTGCAGTGCGAATTAATTATCGACGTCACTTTTCTCTTTTTTTTATCCACTCCTTTTATCGATACAGCGAAATACGTAACGTGACGTTTCGCTAGTTTTAGAATATTACGAGAAAGAAGACCATGAGCTCCTGTAAAGATAGAAATAGACGTGTATCGCACTGCTTAGCGTTTGAATTTCCAACGACACAGCAGCATTGAAAGTAGTATTTCGCTCACCTTTGCTGAAGAAAATTCGGCCGAGATAACGTAGACAAGATTGATAATTTTAATTGAAAGTGACGATCGAACAAATCGTTCGATCTGTGGCAATAACAAAATATTACGCGAATTACAATTTCGCGATAAGAGCCTCGTTCGAGTAATGACAAAATAACTTTAATAATCATTTAGACACCTATTAGTTATAATCGGCCTAATATATTTCTTGTCACTATAATGAACAGCGAAAAATATCAACAAATTTACGAAAAAAAATAAGCGTAACTACCGCAATTCTAGCGCAAGCTTGAAATCTTTACGTCAAAACATTATGAAGTGTATTTTTCTTTCTCGCGCGCGTGTGTTGTCACACGTATGTCAGCGATAATAATAATAAAAAAAAAACAACAACGAAGAAGAAGAAGCCAAAGACGTGAACTTGGACGAGCCCCCACTGATGACGCGTCATCCCTCGTGAGAAACAATAGACATATCTGTTCTGTGAGTTCGTCGCGCTCAATGAACGTTTATTATGTAACGTGATGCATCTCTATCGACTTAAGACGTGCGCTCATTTCTATTCTTGCGCTCGTATGAATGAACATACTTATAATCTTTAATACAATGATGGGGCTCTATAACCATTGTCAATATAAGCTCATGGAAGCGTGCTTCGACAGAGATACACTTGCCTTGAAAACTTAAGCAGATAGAAATAAAATTTTTAATGACATTTCGTATATCAAAAGCTTTTTTAAGCGAGACTACAAATTTCTCGATCGTTTCTCACTACCAAAGCTCTTACTTTTCTTACTTTTGGCGAATCAGTTTTTATAAGTTTTTGTCTTTTAAGAATCGGAGATACTTTTCAAAAGGAACGCGCTTTATGATCAAATAGCAGTCACCTTGAAGGTTTTCACGGTTATTTATGAATGGTGTTCAAACTGCCGTGAAGACTTCTGTTGAAATTGCCTTCTTTATATGCTTCTTTGTACTTTACGCGAGAGAAAACTTCAAAGGATGAGTCCTGTATTAAGACGAGTAATAAAATGGTACACCATCATTGTTCAGTAGCTCGTTCTGTATAAAACTTGATGATAGAGGAAATGTCATAGCTTGGAAATCGTTGGAAATGTGCTGTTCTACTTTTGACAAACAATTTTATTGGTTTTTTGCAAATCAATTTTTACTGCTGATTATTAGAATGGATTTATTTGCTCATCGTATGCCCTTCGTTCATTTATGCACAAAACGTTTTTTGCTGAAACTCAAACTTTGAGAAAACCTTGAAATTCCTCTGCGACGTATAATTTAAGTATTTAAAGTTATTCCGTATACCGTGCAACGAAATTTTTTTTTGGAAACTTAATTAAATTTCTTGAGCGAAAACCTTATACAAAAGTTGCTTTTCAATATGTAGCTAGAAAGTTTTCATAAGGCTAATATTAATTTTATCTAGAGTGCTTTCAAGCTTCCAAGGTGCATAACAATTTCAAGTTTCACCATCTCTCATCACATTCTAAAATGTCCGTCATAGTAAGGAAGCGTTCACGGAATCAATAATATTGATATTCATTTGACCTCGAAAAAAATTATCACGAAAGCACAAAAAATACAGCACAGCATTAATATTTCTTAAACAGAAAAGAACGTATAAGCTACTTGAAATGCCCCTGCGAAGTGACCTCGATGAAAAGTGCATCCCCCAAGAGGGCATGTGAAATTCACTGTTCGCACACCTGTAAAAACCGCGCCAACTTTTCCGCGCGCGGCGGTTCTATTAAAAGCACGCACGTGCAAAAAAAAAATCGATCGTGGTAAAACAACCGGCTAGCGTGTAAGAAATTCAACCGAAGCTTCATTTCGCCTTGTCACGAGATATATAAACGCGAAGTGCAATGCACCCGTACTCGTGTTGAAGTTTCTGTATGCATAACGTATTATTTTCAGTGCTCTCTTGTGCTTGACTTTTTGTTTTGGATTCTTCGTTTAACACGAAATTTTGCTGTTTCATTTGCAATTAGGTGGTTGATGAATCAAACAGGTGTTCATCCGTGTACGGGTACACTCGCAGACTGGAAATATCCAGTTTCGCACTTTTATGGCTTGCAAAAATAAAAAGAAAAGCGCCGTGTATTTTTTAGTGTATGAGGAAACTCAACACCAAAAACTATTTGTGAAATAAATATTTATTCATAAATGCAGGGGAAAACAGAGATTGAGTTGCATTTAAAATCGAGACGGTCCATTGATAAACTTGACATGTCGAGTCGCAACTGGACAACTTTTTACTGCGCGCGCGCGCGAGCGCTGCTCGCGTAATGGTTCAATAGGAGAGAAAACAGCCGACGTTTGTGAGCTGATTAGCCGTAAAATGGACTTTCAATTGATCGGAATGTAAAAGATGTGTCAATTTTCTTACGAACGCTCGACGACGGATGCGGATACCGGTTCGACCGAGCTTACAATCGCATTCAGCCAACTGACGGTAAAGATAGGTGTCTCACATTCGTCATTTTGACTGATTTATTTTTAATTTAGCCGAAACGAGCTGTTGATTAAAGTGGGCAGCTGCGCGAGGCGCATTTTCACAG